TCAATTTCTAATAAAACTTGCCCGGCTTTTTTTTCTCTTTTTAATGCTTGTATACTTAAAAACGAATATTCGAATCATAAATTCATATTCGAATATCAACTCATCGAATGAATATTCGAATATTCGAATATTCGTTGACATCCCTATTTTAAATATATTAGTCATTTCACTCATATCACGCGCCCACACGTGCAGGCGTATGCGCGCAAAATGACCTTCGTTCCGCACACCTACACTACACACCTATTAACCCTAAAAAGGTTTTAGGTCAGTTGGGTGAACAGTTTCTGAGAACACTCGCGGACAAAAAAGTACCGGAGAACAAATAAGAAAAAAAATAATAATAATAAGAAACCGAGTAAAAACAATATGTTCCCAAACTCCGTTTGGGGAACATAATAATAAGAAACCGAGTAAAAACAATATGTTCCCAAACTCCGTTTGGGGAACATAATAACACAAGGAGTGCAACGCATTTTAGGTCACCTGGGAACCCCTCGCTTAATATCAAGGCTGTCGCACAATTAATCTTCAATCGAAAATTATAAAACACAAACCAATCTTTTTGGAAGGGACCATTCTTTATGGCTCTTAATGCATATGATTTCAAACGCATGTTATACAGCAGCAGCGGTGACACTTCTCCACAACTTCGCTCAAATATCACGTCACGGGCGCGTCCATTTACCCAAAAAGGAACAAAACTGCCTGAAATGCTAATCTAGATGATTGAGGTCATATGCGAAAAGAAACCAGAGACAAGTTAGCAGACATTCAAGAAAATTTAAAACGGGGGAGGTACAAGTACTTGTACTCATATCTAAACGTAATATCGTTATCTCTAGTTAATTGTGTATGATTGTTTTTTTTTTGTTCCTTTTGGGTAAATGGACCGCCCGTGACGTCACGTCATGGTGTCGCGGACAACGGTTGCACTACTTGTTTTATTATTATAGGTATTACGTATCTTTTTTATTTACCGAAAATTTCAGCAAAATTGATAGGTACGCGAACTCCTGTGATCAAATGCAGCAATGATTTAACTATCTCTGTCTTTGCATGCTTTTTGAAACATCCCTAGTATTAATATTGATAGTCATATATATATGCTTGTGATTTTTTTGTATTTTTTAATAAAACCAAAATTGTGAAAAGTTGCATTGAAATAGCTAAACAAAGCTATAAATGAAATAGTGCTACAGTAGGTAATTCCAGCTACATAGCTAAATGTACTATCATGCTGATTGTGCTGGACCTGATTCCTGATCAATCTTGAGGATTAAAAAAAAAGCCCAAAAATGTAGAACCTGTCACACTGCAAAATTAGCTTTGTTCATTGGGTTGCCACACATTTCACATTTGCTCCAATCAGACAGATTAGCAATAACCCTATAGATCAGGCTAGTAGGATGCCATGTATCTTACATTACCACATATCTATGAATGGGAGTGACAACTCATGATACAGTGTACCGTAAGATGAAAAATGCATTTTGAATGACATCAATGTAAAAAGAAATAAATAAAACAAATCAAAAACAAGAGGCCCATGGGCCACATCGCTCACCTGAGTAACTTTGGTGATGCCGTTCTTTACCAGATTTCCTCCTTTGTAAAACCTATTGTGGCCTCGCCATACCCCCCACTACCATGTCACAATTTTTACAATTCAGAATCTACACTACCCCCAGGAGGCTTTCACATAAGTTTCAGCCTTTCTAGCCCAGTGGTTCTTGAGAAGAAGATTTTTAAAGTTTAATTATTTCTATATATTTCTATGTAAAAATCTGATTACCGATTGTGGCTCCGCCCAATCCCCTGGGGTCATGATTTTAACAATTTAGTATTTACACTATCCCAAAATGCTTCCACATAAGTTTCAGATTTTCTGGCCCAGTGGTTCTTGAGAAGAAGATTTCAAAATTTTTTTCCTATATATTTCTATGTAAAATTTTGATTCCCTATTGTGACTCCGCCCAACCCCGGTGGCCATGATTTTAACAATTTAGATTCTACACTACCCAAGGATGCTTCCACAAAAGTTTCAGCTTTTCTGGCCCAGTGGTTCTTGAGAAGAAGATTTTAAAATTTTTTTCCTATATATTTCTATGTAAAACTTTGATTCCCTATTGCAGCCCCGCCCTACCCCCGGGGGTCATGATTTGAACAATTTAGAATCTACACTACCCCAGAATGCTTCCATATAAGTTTCAGAGTTTTTGGCCCAGTGGTTCTTGAGAAGAAGATTTTTTTATGACCCACCCTATTTTTGTCTTTTCCTGATTATCTCCCCTTGTGAAGAGACTTGGCCTTTTATTTTAACAATTTAAACTCCCCTTTACCCAAGGATCAATCTACGCGAAAGTTAAAAATTTTTACAGGACAAAATGTCTGGTAAAAATAAAATTTTTACCAGACCAAGCAATTTTTTACCAGACCGACTTTTTTCCTTTAAATCTATACATCATGATACTGAAATTGAGAGGGTGGGTGGGATGGGGTTAATTCTCATTGTGAAATTTAACCTTAAATAAATTCAGAGTGAAATGGACGAGTTATCTATTTATAATTTTCCTTTGTAAAAGGTATCTATTTAAATACAATTGTATGCATTTTTTCCTTCAAATTTGACACCTTATACAACATACACTGTATCAAATATTTTCTTAAATTTAATATGCACTTTCAATGCATATTTATTTTTCCTGAAACAACTCATTATGGTTACTCAAGTTCAATAATCATTTGAACAAGCTAATTCAGAGAATTCGTGTCCCCCGCTTAGGGAAAAAGTCGGCTCCCCCTGACTGAATTTGTAGAATTATTAAATGAGATTGTATACATGTATACTGAAGGAAATAAAATACATGTATGTCAATATGCATATAAAGATTTGATTGCTTATTCTTTATTATGTGTATAGAAGATTTTTTCATATGGAATATTTATCACACTGTAATGATGATTTTATAACCTCATAGATTTTTCATTTCACATGCTGAATACTATCATTTAGTAAAAAAAAAAAGTATTTAAAAAAAAAAAGAAAGAAAAAAGAACGATCCGACCGAGATTCGATCCCGGGACCTCTCACATTTGAAGCGAGAGACATAACCACTAGACCACGGAGTCGCTTTACACAGAGTGAAGTATATGCAGAACTGAAGTCACATACATGTATATATTCATGTTTTCATGTTCGGTATTCTCAAAATTTTACACAATCCATGGTGTTTGTTTTATTTAGCCTTTATTAAACAGTTCTAATAGATGTAATAAGAACATAAAGTCTGCCGAGAACCTGTTTTATACGCAATAACTCTCCTGATGCCCCTGCGCTAAAAATAGCGACATGTAATACTATAAATACTAATAAAACAAACGGGGCGGGGCACTTTGAGAGGAGCGAGAGACGTCCTAGAGAGTTTTGGTATAAAATTACATTGCATCAGCTCAAAATCTTCTTGAAATATCGCCCGGAAATGATAGTGTTACACACAGACAGAATGTATAAATTTACGACCTTGAACTTTGACCTTTTGACCTCAAAATCAATAGGGGTCTTCTTTAGGCCACAGGGAGTTGTTATGTAAAATTTCATTGCAATAGCTCAAATGGTTCTAGAGATATCGTGTGGAAACGAAAGTGTTTTAACAGACAGAATTTGCTTATTTATGACCTTGACCTTTGACCTTTTGACCTCAAAATCAATAGGGGTCTTCTTTAGTCCATAGGGAGTTGCTATGCTAAATTTCATTGCAAAAGCTCAAAGGGTTCTCGAGATATCGTGTGGAAACGAAAGCGTTACAGACAGACAGAAAGACGGACGGACGGACGGACAAACCCAAATTAATATCCCCCACTTTTCAAGCGGGGGACAAAAAAAATTCCCAACCGAATCTACGTATAAGCTGTCTAAATATTTTCCCAACCAAATCTACGTATGGGCTATCTAAAGATCTCTAAAACCGTTGACAGAGGAAATTCGAATTAGAATGAAAACGATCATGACAGGGTTGTAATACTTAAAAATTAATCAGGTATTACTGCTAAATTGGTCAAATAAAGGATATTTGTGGGGAATTGGACCATGTGTACCTCTTAATTTAGATTTATTTTGCCTTATTTTTTACCAGACATTTGGTCCTGTAGACTGAAATTTTTTACCGACTAGACCTAAATTTTACCGGTAAAAACCGATGGTCCGGTGACTTTCGCATAGACTGAAGGATGCTTTGTACCAAGTTTGGTTAAAATTGGCCCAGTTGTTCTTGGGAAGAAGTCGAAAATGTGAAAAGTTTACAGACGGACGGACAGACAGACAGCTGGACAGACGGACGGATGACGGTTACAAAATGTGATCAGAAAAGCTCAGTGACACTTGAGCCTTCGGCTCAGGTGAGCTAAAAACATTCTTAATTAGTGTTCGCTTGACCACTTCAATGTCCAAAAATTTACAAAAAATATATGTATCATCATTTGTTTTGTAATGCAGTTGTGCATTTGTGACCATGTGGTGAAAGGATTTCAACTTAATAAGCATGCATGATACTATCTGACTAGATTGAAAAAAAAATTAGAAACAACAAAAAAGAATTGAGTGATTAGAGAAAAACTCAACGACTGCTAATTCCTATTAAATAATAAAAAACGTATCTAAAACTTACCCTCTATAGTGTTATACTCAAGAAATTCATGTGGGACAAATGACAAAAACAACTTGTTTATCATCTAAGTTCTCAGAAAATCTGTTCATCCCACCGGAAGTGTGAACACTAAATGTGGAATCTACTGATTCGGAAACATTTTTTACGTATTAGATCTAATTATTCCAATTAGATAAACTAAAAAAAGAGAGATTTTTTAGGTAATAGCTAAATGCAATGATCAGCTTGACCAAAATATGTGAAAGAAATTTAATTTTAATATTTTTCCCTTTGCAATCTTGAAAGTTTATTTAGTAGTTGTACGATAAGGTGTGCTTCGTATAATAGCCAAACCATTTTTTCGCCGACTTGCAGCGGAAAAGAATTTTTTTCTCACCAAATTTGTTTGCAGTCACAAGCATGTAAATATCGTCAATGGGCTTTTAGCATTTCTCTTTTCAATCTGATTGTTTTCGAAATACGATTTATATAATCTATTCATTGTTGACACGATAAAGACTAAAACAATGTGTTTCAACTCGAATTATCTCAGTTTACCCCCTAGTCATTAAACTATTAGTCTCTTATTATAAATTGAATAAAATTGGCTCTAAGTTATGGTGGTTTAAAATTGTGATCTTAAGTATTAGGTTTCCTTTCTCAAAAGTTTTTCTTGAGCTGACATTTGGTAGTGTTCACTTCATCTGTTCATTTCAAATGTAAAATTATAAAATGTATCGGTTCTTCTTCCGTTAAGGAGTTAGACTCTATCAAGAGTTCTGATAATTCCAGATTTTTTGAATATTTCGATATTTCTCAATAATTTATACAGAGCAAACCCCGGCTTTTAGACTGTTAAGTTAGTCTGAAATGATCTGTAATGCCTTGCAATAATGTAGCCCTCTCCAATTCATTTTAAATCTGATATCGAGTAAAAAATGGGAGAGGGCTACATTATTGCAGCTATAATGCCGGGAAGTTGTGCTGTAGTAGAAAATATTTTCCTGTCTCAGACTCACTCCATTTTTAGCGAAATTACATACATTGTAGATTTTATGTCAAAAATATCCAGTTTTAACTTTTTAATGCTGTTTATGAATTATGACAAGAAATACAGAGAAAATTTATTGATAAGACAGAATAAAAAGAAAAAAAATATGCAACAAAATGTTGTTGACTGAATTACAAGGAAACGACTCAAACGAGCCTGCCCTCTGTCTTTGTGCAGATGTGGGCCTTGCTAACATTTAACTCATTCCAGTTTACCATGCAAATACCTTGGGAAGGCTCATTTCCTGATATTCAATCAATGAACTGTAGATATCATATGTTTGTACTTATATATCAGTCATATTCTCATGTCACATGAAATTGGAGTAAAACACAAAATGCCAAATTACACTCTACTAATGTACGCCAAAATGGTATTATATAAATATTGCATGTAGTTGAGTGTAACATTGAAAATTTTCATCCCAAGAAAACCATTGTCAACCGAGGCGCAGCCGAGGTTGACAATGATTTTCGCATACATGCCAACTTTCCCGATTTTTTCGGGAGTCTACCGATTTTGAACCCTGTCTACCGCTTGTCTACCGATTTATTTTTTGACCACGTATCTACCGATTTTTCGAAAATTCGGATTTTTTACCGAATCGGTTTGAATAATACAGTATTTCCGTGTGCAGAAAACATGGCTGTTACAATGTCTATCGGTAAGATATCTGTTTATTGCCGCTGATAACAGGTAATCAACAAGGTGTCAACTGTGCTACTAGTCATTACAGTGGATTTAATTGCTCCTGATTCTCATTAACAGTGTATATTAACTTTGACAATAAAGCCAGATGTGGAAATTTTAGAAATACACACGACAGGATACAAACTGACAAACTTGTGAGAGTTCACACTTTACAGCAAAATTCAACAATATACATATAAACCTTTTGTGAAAGGTTTCCAAGTTTTGGAAATATGGCATTTCTCATTAAATTATCTACTTCATGGAATAGACACTGCCAAAATCCAACATGAAAATATTTGCTTGCAACTGCAAGTACAAACCAATAGGCCTGATTCAGAAAAAGAGAGGAAAAGACCATGCCTTTGCAGACTTTGAACGAAAATGTTGAAAATTAATTCTTAATATTCCCTCTGATTTAAAAAAAATGTGTCTGTGACAGTAGCCTTATAAACTTTGTAATTTACCAACAGACAATGAACAGGAACCTGGGACATTGTAACTGCAGCATAAACTTAACTTGCTTCAGCTTATTTGTAAAGTTTAACATCCTAATTCATGTAATATTAAGGCAGGAGGTATGTTTATCTTAAGTTTATATTAACATATTAAATTTTATGATTTTGAATAAAATTGTCTTTTTTTAAATTTCAAATGATATTGTATTAATTTGTGCTTTTGCTGAAGTTAGTAGAGAAGGAAACACTTTTTGAAGAAGTGATATATATGATACAAGGTAGCAGACTGATACTTAAAAAATAAAACCCTACAAATAGTTATTATTCACGACAAAATGCCGCGAATTAAGGACTTCGAAAAATGTTGTTACGCGCAATCTCCCCCAAGAAAATTTTCAAAAGTTGGCATGTATGATTTTCAAGGGGTGAAAATTTTCAATGTTACACTCAACTACATGCAATATTTATTATATTATACTGAATGTTTTATACAAAAACATATTACAGTAAACCGTGCGCGCATAAATTCCGCGCAGTCGCTATTTTTTGGAATACCACCCGTCGTCAAGCAATGTTGACTGTTGCTACACAGGAGGGCGCGGCTTCATTATTCAGCGGGTAGTAGTGTTTTTTATCAAATGTTTCTCGACGAATCAGATTCAAGTAATTTACATGAAAGTATAATATGATAATTTGTCAGTACAGGTTCTATAAAAAGACAGACAATATTCAATTTAGCATTCAATGCTTAAAATGCATAATTTATTAAAGACTTGAATGATTGCTTCATTGCTTGCATGAGATTTTGGAGATATAACCTTACCCCTTGTGTCAAGTATTGTTGCCCATTTCTGTGTAATATTTGTATAACATTTCATCTATAAATTGATTCATATGCAAATGAATTAATAACAGTATGTTTTCAAATATTTTATACTAAATATTTAAACTGTTACTATTATGGAGACAAGATTTAAGATGTAATGCTATTTGATTTTGTCTTTTGTTCTTTTTTTATTTTTCACTTCCTTTTGGGTTGAATGAGAGTTACATGTACGAGGGCCGTTCAAAAATTACGCGGACTTGTTGCACAGAAGAAATATTTGACGACATAATCGGGCAAAATTTCACAAATGATATAAAAGAATCTTTACTTATATGGTCTTCAAAATTTCATATCAAAATGTTGTAAATTGGTATTAATTTTGAGTGATTTTTCAGGACATATCATTGAGTCACGGCGCAGCAAAATCTTCGACGTCACAAGCATTATAAAAAATATGTGATTGAGCTTTCATTTTCTCAACATTTTCCCTTGAGTACCTGTATAGTTTGAGTTACCTTATCTACTCAACATCAAAACACCATTTCTTGTCAAGCTTAAAATCTATTAAACAAGTAAAGAATATTCTTTTTTTTTTTTTTTAAAACCAAAAACTACTTATGAGATATAGTGTGATATTGGTAACTCTCAATCACGTTCTTTACAGTCCGGATAAAGTTAACTTTTCGTCTATAATCTTCTTCCCGTCCTCCCGTATAGCCTTTTAACAGAGGTCTAACTGTCTAAAATTTCAGTTTGCTATTTGTGGGCAAATGTCACGAGTAGCCTAGTTTACTACATGTTTTATTATGCATATTTTGGATCTATGTTGCCGATATCTCGAGCATTAAACATATTTTGACAAAAGTGTGTTGCGCCGTCAATTCAGGAGACGTCATTTTCACAGTCGTTTTCACGGGAATCGCATCAGAGAAAAATCACTATATTTCTGTTAGTACTTCAAATATTACGTCCGAAATCTAAATACATAATAATTGAACAATTTAAAGGTACATTTCAGAAAATTGTTGAAAAATATCGCAAATTTTAGAAAATCAATGAGTTAAATTTTTGAATCCGCATGCTTTTGCTTCAATTTTTTTGTCGTGCGCCGTACCTCTCCATCAACGATATCAACATACCGATAATTTTAGTAGAATTTTTTTAAAATACAGAAATTTTGCCCAAAATTTATTGGAATCTTTAAGATACATATTTCTGTGAAATTTTATAACTATATGACGTCTGTAAGAGTAAATAATAGCACAGTCCGCGTAATTTTTGAATGGCCCTCGTATATTCTAAACCAGAAAATGAGATCTAAAATTTAGCCTTATTTTTATTAGGGTAAACAAATATAAGGTTTTCACTGTTGATTTTTTTTTGTAGAACAATGACAACACGTGAAGAATCTCCCCCACCACCACCTCCACCCCCAAAACCTCCTGGGGACAAGGCATCCCAGGCATCAAAGGGGTACCAGTATCAGCAACAACCAGTCCACTATGGCCAGAGTGAGTAAACTCCTTCAAAAAAAGCACTTTCTTTTGATTTAATACCATTAATTTAATTACAGTTTGTTCTTTAGATTAATCAGTACATGTGTATTTCTTCAATTTACCATTTTAAAGTAAATTATGAGAATTAATGCATGACCAGTCATGGTATTCAGAGTATGCAATACATGTATACCCAGGTTACTCAACAGCTGAAAATTCCTATTATCAACCAATGTCAACATCTGGTAGTACTGCTACAGCAACCAGTGCCGCGAGTGGGACAAATTCTCAGTATATGTATCAACCAAGCAATGCCAGCTCATATCAAGGTATTATCTTGTAACTGACTCTTCTTTATTAGGACCCTGCGTTACAACACACTTTGAAAAAAATCTTCAAAGTGCGTTAAATTTGGGACCACATCAACGCACTTTGAAAAAATGTGTATGGCTAGGTCAAAATTCTTGCAAATCTTAGTTATGATAAATAATTGAACCTGTTTGATAACTCTTCGGTGATGAGGTCACTTCAGGATTTGAAAGTGAGAGATTTTGATTTTTCCATACTTTGAAAATTCTTTCTCTCTAAAATGTTTTGCTGTACTTATTTTTTTTCCAGTTTGCATGCATTTTATTTAAACTAATATTTATTGAAAGTTTTCAACATTATACCAGTTATGCAAATACATATATTTGGCGTAGCATAGGCATCGGTGCCGGAAGGGGGGCTTAGGCACACAAATGTTTTGCAAAGATATACGTAATATAGGCATTGGAAATTGGGGCTTCTCTTGGGGGCCTGAGGCTCCACTTTCAATTTGCTACCGACGGCTATGTACAGTGTATAAGAAAAAAAGAGTTAAGCTGAGAGACCTTCTCGTTTTCTCCATGTTCTCATTGAGGTTAATTATAAATTAGTACATGTAAATTAAAAAGTTTTTCGAAAGATATAACTACATTTATTACAAATTGATTCTCTCAGTTACTATAATCTTAGTCTAGAATTTTTGGTTTTATACATTTTTTTTCAAAGTGCGTTAAATGTCCCTGTGTTAAAAATGTCTATGTACACTCTTAACGCACTTTGAAAATTTTTTTCAAAGTGCGTGAAGTGTGTCCCAAATTTAACGTACTTTGAAATTTTTTTTCAAAGTGCGTTGATTTTGTCCCAATTTTAACGCACTTTGAAAAAAATTTTCAAAGGGCTTAATTTTTTCAAAGTGCGTTGCCACAACCCTGCTCTGCAGGCACCCTATAGTGATCAATCTGTCCGTCCATCTGTTCCATCCATCAGTCCATCCTTCTGTCCGTCTATTCGTCCAAGATCTTTTGTCAGGAGCATATCTTCTCTCTCCTTCGCCCAATCTGGCTCATACTTCACCCACAGAATCCCTTTGGGAAAAGGGTGTGCAGTGATCTTGAAACATTTTTCTAGGTCAAAGGTTAAGGTCAAAGCATGATTATATGAGAAATCTTTGTTTGGAGCATATCTTCTCTCCCCTTTGTCCAGTGTGGCTATTACTTAACTCACAGAGTGCCACTGGTCAATGGTTGAGCAGTGACCTTGAACAAAGTTTCTGGGTCAAGGTCAAATCCCTTTTCCACTACCTTAAATTTTCATGCACATTGCTGAAAGCAGGGTCTTTTGGGATGGGCACCATCTCAATGATATCTAGTTAATCCTTACTGTCAGTTTTTAATGGGGATTATTTTTTTCTAGCTGAGAAAACAAGATTTTTGAGGAGAAATGTTTAATAAGTTTCAATTCAGCAATTTACTTAGAAATAAAAAATTGTCTTCAATTATATTCTAAATCTTAATATTTTGTTATTTTTGAACATGCTTTATTATTATTATGTGAATTTTGATTTACAAAAAGTTCTGTGTATAAACAAGTCACAGTTAAACAATTCATATGCCACTAAACGTTTTATGTGACAGTCTTTTATTTTATGCCATATCATTTTGCATTAAATATAATGTCCATGTGTATATTTTTGCAGCAGCAAGTTACACCACAGCTGGTCAGCAGTCTACCCCACAGAATACCCAGAATTCCCAGTACAATTACAATAATCAAGGTACACAGTAGTGAATACTTAAGTAGAAATTTTTATTCATTAAAAGGACACATATGGATCACTTGCCCTACATTTGTTCTTTTTGATAGAGTCACACCAGTAAGTTGTAAATTCATAAATAGAAAAAGTTTAATTTCACTTTTTAAGGGATTTGTGGCTTGTGGCTTACTTTTTCCTGCATTTGTTCTTTTTGTTAAGCAAAACAATGCAAATGGATGAAAATTTCTTTTAACGTAAATGTACTTTTTCCCCTTGGAGTCATGATTCTGCAAAATTATTGCTTCTGCCAAATCCACTGGAAGAAAATCGCACATTTCTCTTAATACTAAGAATAATAAGTACCTATACAGAAGCACAACACAGTTTGTGGACAGTCTCTGAAATGATCCATGACTACAAGTAATTGTCAACATTAACAAATTAAAACAGAGCTCTTGCCCTAGCTGTTTACAAAGACAGTTTACGTTTCACAGGTTATTATTTTCAATGTATGTTTAATTATTTGCTATGACTTAATTACCAAGTCTTCTACACCCATTTGTCAAATTTGTAACCTAACCATAGTTCATATTTCTATTTGTAGGTAAAAACTAATTATCACACTTCAGTTGCTTCTTTATTCATTGAACAACTTATAAATAATTGAATATTTATTAAACAGTCCCACTCCTTAGGTTACATTTATTCTTAAGTCATAAATGAAATGTGTTACAACCACTCATATTCTCAATTTCCAAGCTCTGAGGCACATGTATTAGGACAATTAAATACAGATGATGAATTTTGTTGATTTCTAGGATATTATGATGGACAGAATTCTTCTCAAGGACAACAAGCCAGTTACAACACATCTTCAAACACCACACAGAGTTATTCCCAGTACCAAGATACATCAGGCTACTACAATTCTAATCAGAACTACGACTATTCTGGTTATCAGACAGGGAACCAGTATCAGTCAGGGAACCAGTACCAGCAAGGGAACCAGTACCAACAATCAGGGAACCAGCCAAATTATGACTCCTACAGTACCACTAACTACAATGGTGACTATTACGGCAGTGGTTATGATAGTTATGGGAATTACTATGGGTACGGGGATAGCTCCCAGGATCAGAATGGAACATATGGGTATGGCACTTATGGTCAGAATTATACAGGTCAACAAGATGGCAAGACATGGAGTAGCAATAGTGGAGGTAACAGTACCAATGGACAGCAAAAATCTGCTCCTCAAAGAGATCCTCGATTGGAAAAGAGGGGAGGGAGGGGACAGGCACAAGGAGTTGGTAATGGAAGAGACAATCACCAGCAAGCAAGCACTGAGAAACAGCCAGACACAACAGGGGAAGGGAGAGGAAGAGGGACCAACGCAACCAGACCTGACAGGGGTGGAAGAGGGGGGCATGTTCCAAACAGAGGGGCTTACCATGGAAGTTACAGAGGAGATAATTTTGATCCAGGGAGACAATATGAGGATAAAGATTATAGAAAAAGACCTCAAATGCCTCCAGTTCATGATACTCATGACAGTCAAGAAGGTAGAAGAAGGTATAATGATAACAGAGGAAGTGGATACAATCAAGTATATTCAAATGAAGAAGAATATTACAAACCTTACCAGCATCCAGATAGAGCATGGAGGGAAGAGAACTGGGGCAGAGGTTGGCATGAGGGCTATAGAGATCCCAGAGGAGGGGATCATGGTAGGGAAAGAGGTGGAGGCCGAGGCAGAGGAGATAGAGGTCCAAGGAGGGGTGGTTATGATAGAGGTGGTGGTCCAAGTAGAGGCAGAAATAGAGATGATGGTGGAAGCTTCAGAAACCAGCCACCATCCCCGAATCATGGTGGACCAAATCAGAGAGGGAGAGGAAGAGGAGTACAAAGTCTACCACAAAACAACAACAGATTCGAGAAGAGTCAGAGGCCATCACCATTTAAAGACCAGAATGTGAGGGAAAGCAAAGACAGTACTCATAGAGATAATAAATCAACTCCTATCAACAGAAATAACAGTAAAGACATTAAACAAACAGAAAAACACAAAATTGATATGAAATCAGAGAAAGCTGAGGATCAGCCTCCAGTGAAAAAGCCATGTAAAGTTGAACACAAGGTAGGAGTCAAAGCAGCAGCTTCAAAACCAGCAGCAACAACTGAAGTCAAAAAAGAACCTGTTGTAGAAAATCCACAAAAAACTGTGATTGAAACACAGAGCACAAAACAGAATGTAGTTGTGAAATCTGAAGTCACTACTTCAGAAGACACCACAGCTACCCTTCCAGACAGCACGTCCAAAGACAGCATAACGGGTCCCTCAGCTCCAAAGAAAAAGAAGCCAGCTGACGATCTGATAGATGACCCTGAGGTTCAGAAGGCATTGGAAGAGATGATGAGTCCCTTGTTCTGTAAGCTGTGCAATTTAACAATCAGTCATCCATCACAAGCCCAGTCCCATTACAATGGTAAACACCATGCCAAGAAAGTGAGGCTGTATAAACAGTCTGCAGCACTGGAGGCTACTCTTGCTAGGAAAGCAGCCCAGGGAGATATTGTGACCACGTTAAATCTGGTCACTGAGGTTACCCCAGCATCAGAATCTGATGATGCTCCCAAGGAAGAAAGTAACCAGACTCTCAGTGAGGTACATTATCCAAAAAACTTATTGTAATTCACACATTACGTGATAAAATGTCACCAGTGATATTTAAGTACATGATAAAAAGTGATCAAGTTATTTTTGACATAGGTAATCGAACGTCAATTACATATGGTTCAAGGATATTTTTGTTTTATGTTTTAGAGTGTCATTGAGAAGATGAAAGATGAGAATGACCGTGTATACTGTAAATTGTGTCAAGTCGCATTCAACTCACCAAAGCAGGCCATCCAACATTACGAGGGGAAGAATCACGCAAAGAAAATGAGAGCTGCTGGTATACTTAACATATCAGAGACAGACAAACAACATGTCAAAATGTAAGTCCTGTATCTATATTTATAATATGTGACACATTTGGAATCTGGGTGCATTTTAACAACAAAATGTTTTCCTTTTTTTGATATTAGACACAGTAGTTGCAACTTTTCAGAAAAATACATTAAGTGAAAATTTTGAAGTGATTGCAGTTTTGTGTTATTAATCAGTCTATATTGGAACATTGTTAAAAGAATCAAGAACAAACACCTCCTTTTAGCTTGGCATTACATAAAAATGGATGTAGAAGTAAACTGTATTTATTGTTTCAAATTAGCAACAAAATGGTTTTCATAAGAAAAAGGAAGAAATAGTTATAGTGGAAGTATTTTTTCAATTTCAATAACAATACCCACAGTGTGTCAGTGTCTTTAAAATCCTGAAAATTTTACAATTCCTGTGTATTTCAGAGATGGTGCTGTGTTTGAGTGTAAGATGTGCAGTGTTCAGGTGACCTGCAATGAACAGTTACAGTCTCATTTGAATGGAGCCAAACACAAAGGCAAACTGAGGTCCCTGGAGAGGGCGTCCGACTCAAATCGAGGTGGCTGGGGAGGGAGAGGGAGGGGCAGAGGAAGGGGGAGAGGAGGTAGATTTTGAATTAAGTAAAACCATAGAACTTAATTGTTTTTAAAAAGATGTTGAAATTGACACACACTGTTCATTTTGAGATAATTATTGTCAATTCCAAAATAAACATTGAAATCTTTATCTTTTTTTTAAAGTTTTTGACATGAAGACTTTTGATTTTATATACAGTTTTAGGTTTAAAATGGAAAAAGTCTTTTATGCATAACATTGATATTATATTCTTTCTTTTTTTTTTTTTATAAAAACTGTTTGAATGTTGAAAAGTCATTGATAACTTGAAATTTCTTCATCAGCACTTGCTGCATTAGCCAGTGAAGAACACAATGTTGTGACCATCCAGACGCAACAGTCACGGAAGCGAGGGCGAGATTATTCCAACTTCCGAACACCGAGTGGGGGGTATTACTGCAGTATTTGTAATGTGACAGTTAATGGTGAAAATCAGTTTGCTCAACACATGGACAGTCGCAAACACAAGAGTAAGTACGCTAATCACAAGATAACAGAAGAGGAGCAGCAACAGGATGTGGCCAGTTAGAACCGGAGTAAACAAGTTCTTCAAATGGAAACCTCTATTGGATGAGCAAACAACAAAAATGTTTATTTTTCTCCTAATTTTCCATTTAGGCCATAATAAAAATATTCCTAGATTCTCATCCCCGCCCGCCCCGATTTTATACCCCCGCCTCGATTTTTTTATTATTTTTGTTTTTCTACGGTTTAATTCTGGAGTATTCATCTACCATTCTACTTTCGTTTAAAACCCCGCGAAAGTCGTCATGATTTTTGACAGCTAAAAGGTGGTGATTGCTGTTATACATGCGTATATATTGTAAACAAGGGTCATTGGTTGAAAAAGATTGGTGATAATGTGAAGTAAGCGATAATTGGACCTTTACTATGACTTTTATTCGGGTATTGTAGATAAAATTACACCGATTGATAAGGTCAATAAAAAATCTGCAAAATTGAACAAATAAAAAATATAAAATAAAAGCCGCCCGCCCGCCTCAATTTTTAAAAAAATTCGGATGAGAATCTAGCAATTTTTTTATTATGGCCTTAATTCAGCAATTAATTCATGATTGCATGAATAAAATGTGTTGGCTAAATATTGAATTTGGAACAACTTCATGAATGTGTATTTTGTATGATAAACAAAATGTAATTTATTGAAAACAAGCAATATAATCATTCAGTTATTGTAAAATATTAGTGTCACATGTAAGTTTCTTATCCAGTTTATATGTGTACATGTATATACTGTACATGTCATACATTGAAACTGTTGGATTAAAGTTATTTCCGTTCATAGATAATTTTAAAAGGCAATTTAGACAGGAGTGTACTTGTAAATAAAAGTATTTAATTGTGATTTTATTGCATTTATAAAATCTTATAAAATTATAAATTCCTATGAATCAGGATTTATCCCTTCATCTTGACATTAACTCATCTATCTAGTTTTTGTGTTGTGACAAGAACATGAAAATCCTTGGTTACTATAAATTTGTGTCCTCCATGAAATGTAAAATTTTCATACTACAGAATGTTTCTTCCTAAACCATACATTGAAATATTTTGGAAAAAAAAATTCAAACAAACCCCCCCCCCCCCCCCCCCCCCCCCCACACACACACACAACACATATTTTTGCAATATTTTGGTTCCCACTCCAAATGGCAAGAGAAGGTAACAACTTTGAGCAAATTACATCAGAACAAGATTAACACCATGGATATTTGCTGTATATGTTTTGTTAAGTCCTTTTGAAGTACATATGCCCTAGTTTGCCGAGTTGTCCCATATTAAGAAAGTTTTGTATGAAAATGCACAAATAAATTGGGTACATCCTACTTGTATCTCAGAGATTTTTACTGTGTCATTGAAAATATTATGGATTTTTTTTATTGTTATAGCCAACAGCAACATTGGTACTTTGAACTTTGTCCTCATTTATCCACCATGGGTACAAGTAAATGTACATGCTTATGTGTTGTTTTTTATATGAGATTTATGATCACAGAGATCTTTTCTGTGTTAAGAATTCAAATTGTGTTGATCTTTTTTTGGTCATTTTTTGTCCAAACAGTCATATCATTGACAGAGAAAAGTGAATCCTTCTTGTTTTCTGTCAAACATTTTGTACAAAAAGTTATGTTTCTTGTTTCTTTTGAAGTCCTCACTGAAAATCATTGTGTTTAGCATCCATGTATTAATGTTTTCTGTTTCCTATCTTGTTCTCAATCCATGATCGATCTCTCTCTCTCTAGGAAAACTTTAATGAGTTTAACTGATTTAACTGATATGGAGTATGATTTCCTCTGCAACTGTCAAGAATAAAACAGAATTTAATGCACAATTGAAGGTCAACACTTTAACTGAGCTCTAAAGGTAATGGACGTAAAGAAAGTAAAAGCATATTTGATTCACAATTGACTTCAAAGTTAATGTCATAAATATTTAAAATGAATGGGCATTAATTACCTTATCAACATGTATCTGTACAAGTAATGTTTACAAAGTTGCATGTAAATGCTCTGCTTCTTATAATTTGATTAATTACAATGTAATTTTGTTCACTACAGAATTTATTGATGCGAAGTTTAAAGTTTGTATGTTACCACTGACATGGATTTTACAAAGTAAATCTTGTGTTGAAATTGTGTATTTTCTTCTTTTTAGAGTTTACAGTTTTGTTGATAGATGTGTTATAGACCATTTTCCTATGACATATTTTGTATCAAAGTTATTCCCCTTAACCGCCATCTTGTAGGCCATAGTAGGGAATTTTCCTATTTGAGCAACCAATTTTAAACATGCATGCAAGCAATATATGGGGGAAAATATTTATGATCTTAAAATTATGAATTAAAAGAGGCTTTAACAAACGTATATTCATAAGAAAAATAGTGTTATCTTTACCTCAGTAACCAGTATAACAAATTGAACTCAGTTGAATAATGAAGGGATCTAGGAATGTTGACCTACATTACGGCGGCCATGGGGAATCACTCTTGCTTAAATCACCTTTAATGGAAAACACTCTGTTATGATAAACTTTGATGTCAAGGTTCAAATCTTGAGGGAAAACAAAATTTGCCACCTTCTCACTTTTAAAACAAAGTATGATTTTTAGTCTGCAAGGGGATTTGATTACATGTAATTTACCAAATGCACTGCCCAGTCTTCTTTCAGTAAATTTTCCCTCTTACCTTTTAGCTCCAGAAGAGCTTATAAATTAGGGAATAACTGTCTTCTAATTTGGTATTTGCGACCGTTAATGCTGATTTAACGGTCGCAAGCTGAGTTTTACCGGCGACGCGTAATTGCAATTACCAATTTTAAAAAGAAATGCAATACGTAGAGGTATATCGTTAAATTACGTTTTTGAGATGTTCCCTTACCTGTAAAGTCCGCAGTCCGTAGTACGTTGTCAGGTGTACGTGATTCCGAAAATGTCCAACCCGGAGTAGACAGTCGAGGAGTCATAGGACTGTAGGGCAGGTAAAAAGGAGAAAAATTTCCCTTTCGTTTTTTCCCTATCCTATGTCTCCTCTCATAACTTATTTTCTCTTACACAACTCTTTCCCTCTTTCTTACCCTCTCTTTCTTTTTTATGCGCCCGGATCGATAGATCCGAGGCGTATATTGTTTTTGTCCTGTCTGTCTGTTTGTTTGTCCCCAAACTTTAACCTTCGCCATAACTTTTGAACCATGAAAGATAGAGACTTCATATTTAGTATGCATACTCCACTAATTAAGCTCTTTCAAATGACACCAAGGTCAATGACCTTGGGACCTTGACTGTGACCTATATGCTAAAGTTAGCTTTTTTCGAACTTTGTTGCTGCCGCCGGGCGCATAGTGTTTCACAAACACATCTTGTTTTTTAATTTTTCTGCTTTACAACGTTTCGCCGTCTACTGGTCGTAGAAAAATTTATATATGGAAACATTATCAAAAAGTAATAGTGTTTTAAGTCTGGCATTACTTTTATCGCCAAAATTTACGTTACTGGTTAATTAGATTCAAGCTAAATCACAACCATTAATATCTAATTATGATTTTGAACATTCTTGAAAAATTAATTTTCCAAAGAAACATATATGTTAATTTGTAATGACAAAATAAACTCTAGAAATTTGCAACGCATACAAAACGTTTACGCTAAGAATAGAGCAATTGAAGCACTAAAGGTGCCATAGGCGCTTCCCATTCCTATTTAAAAATTGTATATGTATGCCAGATTTTTAGTCTAAAATTGTTTTGCAACTTTTATTGGTAATTAAAAAAACTCTGTACAATATAAAAACCTACATGATTATTCACGTATAGTTTGATTTTTATGGAATCACTGCCTTATAGCAGAACACTACTATTGCATTGTGTCAACCTTCCATTACATTATGTCAACTCTTTATGACATTAACCCACACTACTATTGCATTGTGTCAACCTTCCATTACATTATGCCAACTCTTTATGACATTAACCCACACTACTATTGCATTGTGTCAACCTTCCTTTACATTATGCCTACTCTTTATGACATTAACCCACACTACTATTGCATTGTGTCAACCTTCCTTTACATTATGCCAACTCTTTATGACATTAACCCACACTACTCTTGCATTGTGTCAATCTTCCATTACATTATGACTCTTTATGACATTGTGAATATAAAACTTTATGACATTAAAATTGTGTCATTACATTATTAATACTTATATCATTGTGTTAACTTTCCTTTACATAGTGAACATGTCACAATTATAAATGCATTCTAACTTTTCCTTAGTTTTTATTTATCGTTGGCGTGCATGTTTCTGGCCTTTATATAGGATTTGATTTATGTAGAAGAGATTACGATTTGATAATGACATCTTTAAATGAAAACTTTAAGGACAAATTTATCTTGAAACGTGGAAAGCCTTAACACTGCGACTGTTTAATTTGGTGTTTACTTTAATCTCATAATTAAATAAATCAAATTCAATAATTTTTTTTCTTTTTATTTTGAATTTTTTTTTTTAAAAGTCTTAAAAATACATTGCATTAATTTCACAATAAGCTCTGAATTAAGTTGAAAACTTTTTTTCTATAAAACTATAAACTGAGACTGCCGCCTGTCTCCAACCATATACCGCCCCCCTTCCTTGTTCAAGATTCCCATATCTGCCACTGATAATGCATGCTTACTAAGGCATATTCAATTGATTTAGTCTGGTAGATTTTTGGTTGGATTAAAAAAAATTTATTGGATCCAGTCAGAAAAAAATCATTTACCCGCAAAAATGACAAGCCAAGAAAAAAAGTCCAAGGTTTTTTAAAAAAGATATATAAATTACCCTTAGTGGATTACATGTATACTTCAACAAAAAGTGTTGTGTTTCAATGAACATTACATTTTCTGTAAAGCTATGGAGAAGGCGGGGGTCAATTTTTTTATATATGATTTATGTAAATGTTTTTTAACATAGGTAATGAACTTTTGGAATCAACATGATAAAGAGTTAACACAATATAAAGATATTTTTAAATCACATAAGAAAGAGTTGACATAACGTAATTATATATCTACATCACGGAATGGAGTTTTGACATAATGTAATAAAGTATTGTGTGTGTTACATTATGCTATACACTTTTTACACCACGTAATAAAGCACTGACATAAAGGTACGATGTATTCACCTCACATCATGATGCCCTCGCCGTAAAATAAAGATAAATCCATATCACGTAATAATGCTTTGATATAATAGAAATATACACTCTCAAAAAGGAATGGGGGGGGGGACGTAATGCAATTTTGACCTCACATATTAAAGAAATGAAATGATGTAAAGAAAAATTCATATCATGCAATAAAGTTTTAACACAAAATTTACACATTATCACTTGACATAAAAATTCAAGTTATGAAGTGCTGACATAATGAAAGGATGTATTTACATGTAAGACATTGACATGATTTAAGATATTATATTCTAAAATATAAATTATCTATAAAGATTATAGGACAGATGTTACAATCAAAATTAAAAATCACCTTAAAAGCCGATCGAGGCACATGCAAATTCTAGTAATATTAATCATTGGGGTGTCGATTGGTTGGTTATTGGAAGCAATTGAAAGTGGTACTGAAGCTATGGAGAAGGGGGGGCTAAATGATTTGTATAAAAAAAGATGTGTTTTGTATCTTCAAAAAAATACCTGACAAGCATTTTATTATATTCTAAAAATAAAAAAAAGGGAAATGTCCAAAATTAAAAATCACCTTAAAAGCCACGAGGCACAAAATCCTATATCCTTTTGAAATGGAAAATCCTATATCCTTTTGGGGGGGGGGGGGTTTCGAACTTCAGTACCAAAATTTTTTTTTCCAAACACCACCACTTTCCCCATTTTTAATCTATATTAAGACGTATCTGTGGAAAGTGGGGGGCTAAACCTACGAAGATATGTTCAATGTCTATACTAAGTATATATTTGGAAAAAAAAGTGGGGGGGGGGGGGGCTAAGCCCCCCTTGCCCCCCCCCCCCCCCCCCCCCCCGGTTCCGACGCCTATGTTAATTACCCCTATAAATATCAAATAAAGAGAGGTAATGTTTTGGATTTCAAGATGATGTTTTGATCAGGAACGTGTAGATGTACAAATATAACCCAAAACCCTACTAAAAGTTTGTCCCCCCTTTTCTGACGGATAAGCCTTTAATACCCCCCCCCCCCAAAAAAAATCTATTGAATTACTAGTATTTGCCTACAAGGAAATGTGGGAATTAGATACCAGGTATATTGTATCTAAAGGGAATACTCTTTCTTCTTATTCATTCCTTCCTTTCCTCCACGGTTAAAAAATTCCTGAATCCGCCAATTTGTGTTTTTATTGTAATCTATCATAAGTTTTAATCAAAGCATGCGTATTAAAGATATTAAAGATAACAAAACAGGCATTATCATCTTTGAGCAATGGCAGTTTGCAGTATGCAGTAAGCAGCTGGCTGTCGTATATGGAATTCCTACGATGTTTTTTTTTTTTTTTTTTTAAGTTCAGTGTTCTTAACATGGAGAAAGAATTTTTGTGCAAAATTCCAATATTTCTCTTTACACACAAAAATGCAAACAATAAAGCTCATTCAAAGTTTCATTCAAGAAAAAAATAAAAACGATATCATACATAAAATACACGACATTTAAAGCTTACTCGCGTGAACTGGTACCTAGAGACTTGCATCCAAGATCTATATCATTATCATTTATGGCTCTGTAAGGATTGGTTTTGACATTTTCTCCCAAAGGGTCACATATTACATGCAACTTCCAAAAACTTGTCTATTTGCAGCATGAGACTTACTTGGAATCGTAAGCCATACTACAATAATAGCGAGAATCTGACCTTTAACATTTTCTACGTTGACTTTCGTACAAAGGAACTGCAAAATCATGTTGATTTTTTCCCATAACAAACTTAACCATTTACAGGGTATTTCGGAAAAGCCAGTTGGTCAAAATAGAAAAAAACTTTTAATTTCAAGAAATCGATGAAAATATCAATTATCCTTGACAAGATAGATTTCCCCCTTTGGCCTATGTTTTGCGACTTGCAATGTAGGCTAAGGGATAGAGGAATAACATGAATATCAGTTACTGTATAAGCAATTACTTGCTGATACATAAATGAATTTATAAATAAACAAAAAATGATGCAATATATATAAGACCGATTCCTGCCAGCACAACACTTAAGATTCCGTTTGGAACGATGAAGCCAAGTTAATGGCAGTTTCTCGGCACATTGCACGGAAACTTCATCTTCATCTACAGATTTTGATTAGTCGCCAGACAGGACATTTAATCAACGGATTGGATTTTATTGCCAGAAACTCTAGAAAGGATGAGACCAGCTCAGTCATTTTTACATCACTTTTGCCAAAGTTTATGGACATTGAGTGAAATGGACCTAGATCGATTCAAAAGGCTTGACTGCAAAACAAGTAAGGATATTTAAGCTACAGAAAGGAACTTTAATACCCAAATGGCGAATACATTTCAGCCAAATACAGACCAAGTAATTTCTTTTAGTAATTTCTGAAATAGGTCCAGCACGTTTATCGAGGATACAGTCCTTTCTAGCCGATTTTCCCTTCAAATAAAATCTGCAACTTCTTCAAAGTATTAAGTCGTATTGCACAATTTATTTGCTAAAATACAATCTGCCATACAGAGATTTTGCCATACTCTAATGACTCACGAATCACACTACAGAAAAACAAACGATCGTCTATAGTTGCTTTCATTTTTCGTTGTTTCTGCCCTTATATGGTGCGTGACGAGGAACCCTTATGTGCTCCCTCAACGGTATGAACCACCAACCACTAGAAACATTGATAGGTTAGTCATAATACACTACCGTGCACGGGATAGCTAAATTCTTCCCTCGAGATCACACACGATCTTGTAAACTAAATGCAGAAAATAACAGGAAAATTGCTAGCTTGTCTATTTTGTGTTAGAATGGACTTCATCGCTGAAACTGCATGCAAATAACCGAAGAAGTTCGATGAAATTCTAAGAAAAAAGGTAGAATATTTTCTTTTAACAGGAACATATACCAATAAGCTTGGCAGTTACATACTCTGTAAAATATATATGTATCTCAAATCAATGGTCGGATTCTATGTTAGATACTAGAAGTCAGGACACGTGAAACAAAAACAATTAATATCAACTCAACCAACTGTAACAAAATGCAATACTGTTGTAAGACTAGTGTGACAACGATTTATCCGAATTTCCTTAACAACTTGTTTCCTGAAGAGATTGACCAATATATCAAGATGTCAGTATTATCAACTGTTGCTTTTGAGTCGTTTGGTGGTGAGTACGTAGAACTCTCTATATTCATTCCTTCAGAATACAATCTTCTCATTACTACAATAATCCGATTTAATTAAGAAGGAATGATTGAAATGATGGTTGGAATTAAAGATGTCCAAATGAAATAACTCGAGAGAAAAATAAGTAATATGTGCTGAACTCTGCACAACTGAAAGTCAAATAGAAACATTTTTCATAACATTAATTGTAATAATATGAAAAAATTAATTGAAGCTATAAACTTTGCTATGATATTGGAAGAAATGACATTTAGTCTCAATTAAAGTCAACGTTTCACAATTTCTTTTTCTATACAATGACCTTGTTTACAAATGCAACCTTTCATTAGGTAGAATGTTGAGTTACGTTTTTCAAATAAATTATTTTTAAAGGATTTTTTTCTTAGTCCGATCAAGAGATTCCAAGGAGCACATGACGGATGTTTCGGGCCGAAAAGCGATGCTTACTCCTCCATGGCACCTGATCCAACCTCTATGAGGTCTGTGTTTGCACTGCTCCAAATTTTTATAGTTCCTTTAGAATTTAGAGTCTTATTACAGTTCTTGTCTTCATATTTCATGGTAAATGTCACCAAGGCCAAGTGTGATTGAGACTGTCAAAGCCATCTGCAGAAACTTCCGCGAATCAGATCCGTTTGGGGTGACATAATTAAAAGTTACGTGTCTTCAATTTCAAATAGTTTTTGATGTTTATGTTCTAGATTGATTAAAAGCAGACAATTCATTTTTCCATACAGAACAAAGACTTTGTAAGACGGTACTTTTAATAATGAAACCCTCACATCCAACAAAAAGTGATTGATTTATACATGAAATAGACACATTTATTACTTTAAGAAGCAAAACGCAGAATCACGTGACGCTGTTAGTTTCTGTCTTTGACGTGTCGGTCTTCCGTCTACGATTTGTTCGATGCTGAACGACCAAACGAACTGCACTGGTTGTCAGCAGAACAACACATGCATCCGTCATTCTGAAATGACAAAAAGAAAAAAAAAATGAGAAAAAAATTTGCTTGAATTGACAGCCAGTTGACACGGAAGTTCCCAAAATTTTGTTTCAGCTCACTGATTAAAAGTGAGTCTTTATTCCAAGTATTATTGAGTAATTCTCCTTTGCGACCTTAAAAGTTTACCCCTTCCCGTTGATATATACTGTATGTTTTTGCAGGAAAATTTATGAAATGATTTTCTATCGCTCCATGTGCTTGTGGCAGCATATACAAAGGGGCTAACTTATGTTCTTTGTAAAATGTTGTCGATTGAAGCGAAAAATTCTAAGATCTTGCTTGTTTGTTTTTTAATTAAGGCATCAAAATATTTATCTCTTAAGGACATATGCAAGGTACCTTTCCTACTGATAATTTTTCAAGAAATTCTTAAGTTAAGGTAGTCCGATCCTCAGGTTTAAAAAATTAGCTGTTAAGTAATCAAAAATAGTCATAAAAGTATATCTGAATCCACAAAGTTATGAAAATTTATCCACAGAACTATTTCTTTAAAGTTAAAGATTAAAGTTAATCATATTATATAGGGAAAATTGTCAAATCTCCAATATTTTTGCAGAAAAAGCGTATTGGAATATCAGCAATGCATTTTCTAATTGCAAATTGATCAACAAATGTATTTCAGATTAAAAAAATATAGGTATCCAGGTATTCAGAGAAATAGTGATTTTTATACAGGTCTATTGTTATTTTTTGTCTTCTATTTTCGCCATGTATTCTATGATACATAGTGTAAAAGACTTTTGCTATCATTGCAAGACACCACAAATCACTTCTTATTTCATATCCTGCTAATAAACATTGGTATCTAAGGCTGGATTCAAGAAAATCTTATTTCTCTACAACTGTATTAATTTTTTTTCCTTTTATAGAGTACAAATTTCAACTTTTATAAGACCTTTTCTAAGACTTCCAAAAACCTTGAATCTTATAAAGATGAATAAAATGAAAATTGTTGCATGAAAAAATTTCATTTTCATGCATTTTTAATTAAAAATTAATTTTTGGAGTTATCCTTTCTGGCTGAGGATCGGATATCCTTAAGATCATAGTGCCATCAAATGTTCATAGACAAAAAATCAGCATGCATTACCAGGGTTTTTTAGAAGATATCAAATAATGAAAAATTTTGCATTATTCAAAGAAAATTATACAAAAATTACGAAACATAAATTCCAGCTTTTTCCCCATCAAAATCTGTTTGAGAAGAGATGTACAAATCCATATATAAATATTAAAAGTATTGCACACAGATCCTTCGTTTAGTGGAACTCTTCAACTCCAGGGAAGAGCCCAATAAAGTTAAAACTACGTTGCGTATGAACTTAATTCAGAAATTGATAAACAAATATTACAATGATGGATCAACTTATTTGGTCACTTTTTTTAAAAAATCTGAATCACTCAGGTTTATTCGTTCAAGAGTTTGGACTGAATACAATAAAACTAATTGTACAAAGCGACATCAAGATACCTCCAGTAAAATAACAATCCGTTAAATTTCTTATACGTCAAGACTAACCTATCAATGTTTCTAGTGGTTGGTGATATTGTTAAAATAATAGCCGAAAAATGGATTTTTTTGCTTCATCAAAATAGTTCTAATTTCTCTCTTTCGTTTAGAATTGTAGTGTTCCAATGGAAAACATGGGCATCAAAGCTGAAAAGATAGCATTCGCTATTGCACATAAAAATATTTATTTCCAGATAGAAAATACATGATTCGTGGGGGAATGTTGAATCGTGGAGGTGCCTTACATCAATCTTCTCTGCAGCCCTATATTGGTATATTTAAAATCCGTTTTTTTTACGATTGGGGGCCCGGACATGACCTGTGACCTACAGAAATGAGACTGACTACTGATCCCGAAACTCTCCTAAAAATAACAGTTTCATACGACATTTTTTATCAGACTAATTGCAATATCATTCTGTCTTATCCGTCATGAATGTGTGTAATCCATGATGGATCAAATCAGATAGAAAATTCCATGATTGTATACAATATTTTTTCTTTTTGTAAAAAAGACATTAAATTGCAGGAGGGAAACACTACCAGAAAATAAATGGCTATTTTGGAAATTATTGGGTAGGTAGGTTTGCATGTTTAATGCTATTAATTGAAATCATAATTGGTAAACCGGTATTTTGAAATAAATGTTTAAAACATATTTAATTAAAGAATATTATAGCATTAAATGCACATTGCTGAGGAATACAGTTACTTTAGTGTCAGCAAATATTGTCCTTCTAGGATACTACCAGTAGTACTCGCCATATCAATAATGATATTGCGTCATACAACTCTTATAATGAATAGAGAAACCAAAATCCTCACTGGAATACAGAGGGTGATTTATAGTATACACTTGATCCATTTGAATTTAAAATTATTCGTCTTAACTTATTATTGTACTTTTTGTCTTAACACCATCCTCTGGCTTAGTAAAAGCTGGTACCATTTTTATCCGAGTATTATTAGTAAGTACAGAAATATTATACCGTATACCAACAACCTGACCATATAATGAAACAACATGGTCCGTATTAGTATGTAGCTTGATGTTATATTAATTTACAACAGTACCAAAAATATAATTAATTCGATGTGGAAAGCTCATTAGACATGAAATGTATTTGATAATAAAATCAATATTCGTTCCTGATTATAGCACCCTCTATTTTACTTATAAGTCACCGGTATATTTGCTATTAATTAGTTGATAAAGTACATGTATAATAATATGTATACTTAGTTAAGAAAATAGGAAGACATATTTTCAATAAACTATATGCAACTTTAAAATAAACTCTTACCTGTCAAAAAAACGAATTGTCAACTGTTTTTGAATATCCTCATTTATTTTCTGTTTCCAGAAATTATAAACACGGCACACTTTGACCAGAGAGGACACACAGAGAATAACTGTTAAAGTGTAACAAAGATACAAAAGTCTGTGTAAAAGACGACCTTGTTGAACGCGATAAAAACTTAAGAATGATAATGAATTTGGCAAGGTGATGGCAGAAGGGAACAAAAGTTCCAAAGGTTGAGTTTTTTCGCTACAATCAGAGTTCATACTAATAACTTCACTATCTGCCACATAACCACTACCTAGATTTCTTCTGCTTATTCTGGTTATTCCCGAACTATTAGATGAAGCAGGACTAATGTTGTGTTTGAATTCTGTATGATCATTGACACACAGAGTATCAGATTTATTCAAATTGCAACAGGATCTAGGAATTTTTAGAGTTAAAGGTGTAGCATCCGATCCCTCTCGTGGAAATGACATTGACCTGTGACCTTTTCTGGGTAGTCCCTCAGAGTCTCTTTGATTCCTCGAAGCAAAAGGTTCATCACTGAGCTCATAGAATAAATTTGTGTCTGAAGTCCGTTTCACACCTTCATATTTACCTTCTTCTTTTATAAAATTACATGCCGACGATTTAGAAACCCATCTGTATAGAGAGACGTGTCTACAAGTACTGTATTCCACTGTCGATGACTTTGTTTGTTCTGTCAAACATTCAGAAGATTCTGAATCACTGACTAATTTCACAGAGTTCCCGCAATTTCTGAGACGAGGGGCTTTTACGCGCTTCACAGAAGACTCACGCGAGGAATAATTCCTTTTTGATAGCGTATGGATGCTTATTTCTCGCTTGACATTTCTCAATTCTTGTGTGTATTTGGAAAGTTTAGGGGCACTTAAAATAAAACATACCATATGATAAGACGCATAACAAATAAAAGAAATATCTGATAAAATTATCAAATTCATGTCAAAACAGGTGACAAAATTTAGGATTTGAAGAGTTATGGCCATCAACAGCATACCACAGGTAGTCAAAATAACACATTTAATTCCATTATATTTAATCGGTCTCACATCAAGACGAGTGAGTCTAAGAATTACAACTTGAGTCAGACAGAAACAGTTTATGACGAAAGGAAAAGATAAACTTCTCACTAAGTCAGAATAGTGGCTCACAGACTCAAATAAAAGAAGAACCAAGGAAAGAATTGAGCACAGGTTTGTGATCTCTATATATATGACTAAAAGAAAAATATCCAGAAGCTTAATGGTTCTTTTTCTGTAGTGTATGAACAGAAGTCCGTTTGTCACACCGATCACCAAGAATATGCACAGAAATACAGACACAAACACTATGAGTTTCCAGGAATAGCTTAACTTAGTATCTGTCGCCAAACTGGACGAGCAGTTTACCCCCGTAAGGTTCATGGATATTCTGTAAAATTACCGTATGATTTTAGGTCCTAGATTAGCAAGAAAAAACGTTTTCTTTTTCATTTCCAATAAACCATGTGGTCATCTAGCGACAATAGGGCTTCCCGGTAGCTGTCATCAACACAATTCTTATCGCAGTTAAACGTCCCTTCATTGTACAAGTACATCGTGGCGGTCCTAGCAATGCCTTAAACTAATGTGAATACAATACTGTATTTCTTATTAAGTCATCATCGATCATATTTGGAAAACTGTCTGCACCAATATTCTCACCAACATCGACATGAGTGCTGAATATCGGTTTATGAACCTTTCGTAATTGGTATCACTCGTTACCCCATGTGCTAATGGAGGCCTCTGAACGGTAATTCTGAGGAATAGACTCTAATGAACAAGCTCCATGCTTCACAGTTTTCACACTTTGGGGAATAGGATATGTCAAAGTGTTGCTGCAAAAAACAAAACTGGAATATCAATGTCCTCTCTCTTTTCATGGAACATTACGAACTCATAATTAAATGCTTCAACCAGTCCATCAATGGTTGTGAGAGGGACAGTTCATCCTTTCTGAAAAAAAAAAAATTATACGTAAATTATTTAAAGAAATTAACGAACAAATATATCTTTTAAATACATTTATACAATTTATATTTTAAATTTACAATGTAAATTACATTTTAAACAACAAAATACCAAAAATAACAAAAATACAGAGTATTTAAAAAGCTTCATTTTATTATAAATACAGTAAACAGTAATGCACAATCATTGCTGAGTAAGATTTTCAAGAATTTGAATTTTCAAAGTTTTACTTTCTATGACTATTTCATGCCAACAATATATAATCCACGACCAATAACAAAGATCTTTCAATAAAGCTACCATAATGAGATAACAATGCTTCAAAGCAAATAACAATTTCATAGGCTTTGACCAATTTGGATAATTTGGACCAATAGATACGGGAAATAAGTATATCATCGGCAGTGGCTCTATTCAATTGATCGACTGTTTCCTGCTATTACAGACTTATCAGGTGTAATTACGATGCAAGTCCGTGTTCAGCAGCTGGATTTCTATTCATTTTTCTTTCTTTTTTCTTTTTTAAATGCATGAATTTAAGGATCAAAATTAAGTTATATATACCCGGTATCGTTCAAATTCAGCAAGATCAAATATACGTAGGGATTTCTGACAAATACTATACTCAGCAGAATATTATAATGATGGTATGTGGGCGTTTAATTCATTTCGAGCAGATAGAAACGACTCGATAAATAAAATGCAGCAAAAACAAACTTGATCATTTCACCCCTCACACTCCATTACCAGCATATTATTTCATTTTCATGCAATTTCAGTGCAAGCAATTCCAGCAAGATCGGTGTAAAATTATCAGATTTGTGAATTGATAAAAATCAATTTACAATACAGATAAATGAACGCTAATTTTCTGCCGTCACTTCGGCAAAATGATTCTAAGTTCATATATCTGGGAAAAAAGTATTCAACTGAGAATATCTCCAGGTTATTATTAAAATTTCTCTGTTGTTTTCTGCAATGATTTTTCAGGACTACGAAGTTTGAATTTAATGAGGCTATTATATAACAGATATGACAATTTATTAATTCCTTTTTAAATTATATATTCTGGATGTTAGGGTTAGGGTTAGGTCTGGGGTTAGGGTTAGGATTCCCCAATTATGGCTAGGGTTAGGGAAGGAGCATGAGTCTTGTAATGTTGTGAAAAGAGTTAGGACTGGAATTAGGATTACGGATGAAACATATATGAAGATAAAGAACAGTATTCAAGATCAAAAATCCATAAAACAATACAGAATATGATCAGAGCAATCACAGACCTCAAAATCATCAGAGGTGGGATCAGGTACCATGGAAGAGTGAGCATCCCCTGCCGACAGGTCACACCTAACGGAAAAATCCGTGTCAATTCAGTGTGTAAATAATGGATTAACAAATAGTATGAAAAACGTCATTCAGCACTGGACTCAATGACAAACTATATTTGCTGACAAGGTCATTGTATCGCCCAAAGAACTTACAAAATGATGACTTTAAACTCTTGATATTGTTGTTATATCAACTTGTTTGACAATAATTTACCTCGTTTTAGAAATTATTCATACGTAGAGCATGCTCTTGCTTATCGAATCAACTGAGATGTATATAAACTCCGTATGCAGATGATGAAGGTGTATATTGCTGCATAAGCAAGCGGAGTTAACGTTTGAAAAATTGAAGTCATCACGTTTATCATCGAGCTTGGTTGAAAGATTACCATTAACGCATGTTTTCAAGTAAAATATCCAAATATGAAACAGATGTGTCAGACTCTGTGGTATCTTTTATGATATCTCAAGCTCAGCAGGATATATCGTAACGACATAAGAATGGAAATTACCATTGTTAATTGACAGTACGTCGTCGATATATCTAAATGTCGAGTTGAAGGCCACAGCAAGTGTTTTCTTCTTTTCACGCATACGATTTTGCACAAATTCTGCTTCATGTGAATACAAAAATAGGTCTGCTAATAACGGGGTGCAATTGGTTCCCATGGGAATTCCAATAGATCGTTGGAAGACCTGGTCTCCAAAAACCAAATAGATATTGTCAATTAGAAACTCAAGCATCTTTTTGATGTCAACTTCAGAGTACTTGTGTGTACAATCAGAATGTTTTTTAACAAAATAATTTTGCAAATGACCAATGATAAGTTAAGTAAATCTACGAGTTCCATTTTTATTGAAAAAGCAACAGTCAATTATATCAAAGAGCCTGGACTTTAATTTATCACGGGGAATGTTTGTATATAAATTGAAAAAGTCGTAAGTCGTAAGTTTTTAAGCTATTAGTTTTGGTAAATCTTGTGGGTTTTTTTCAAATTGCCCTTGGAATTTTTAATTACTTAGTATCCACATCTGATTTACACCACTTCTTGAATATAATGTTTCACAGTACTTTAGAAGTTTCTCCTTCACTACTGTTAATATCTTAATGAGGAGTGGCCCCGTGGGGATCCGGGTTAGAATAGGTCCTCAGTACCCCCTTGCTTGTCGTAAAAGGCGACTAAATGGGGCGGTCCTTCGGATGAGACCGTATAAACCGAGGCACATGTCACGGCAGATGTGGCACGATAAAGATCCCTCCCTGCTCAAAGGCCGTAAGTGCCGAGCATAGGCCTAAATTTGCAGCCCTTTACCGGCAATGGTGACGTCTCCATATCAGTTAAATATTCTGGAGAGGGACGTTAAACACTATACAATCAATCAATCATTCTTAGTGAGGAGTGAAGAAAGAGGCTTGGTTGAACATTTACTGTAACCGGATGTATATCTTTATAAAGTTTCGGAATCCAATATAAATATGGTAGTTTAAATTCATTTTGGTTCTTTAGGATATTAAAAATATTTAGAACTGACATATGATTTTGAAGATTTTTTTCCTTAGAAAGGGAAGTATATGGTGTACAACTTGTAAAATTACAACTAGTTCTTCTAAAATACTCTATCTAATTCTTTTTTCACTTCTGGATTATTGAATACAGAAGGATAGATGGTTTACCTATTGCCCCTCAATCTTTTTATACGGAATTGTAACATGTTTCTGATATATTTAATCCATTCTGACAAAGTGTCAACGTCTTCTTTTTCATATCTGGTCCATCGCCTGTCGTAATCCTCTACTGAATCCAAAACTTGTATGAAATTCCGACGTCAGTTGAAGGATCGGGGTTCCCTATATTTAGGACCCTTTAAAATAAGAGATTTAAGGTTCTCATAATAACTATATTTACTTCACATGTAATAACGTGTCCAGCAGGACTGTAGGTATGGAGTGAAGAAGAACCTGAACACGATGAAAGATTATGTTTCAGAAAATCGATATCCAGGCCCTGTAAAGATTTCTTGTAATTAAAAAATTTGGAAGCAATTAGTCGATGTATATTTATAGCAAATACAAGGTGTAGTCCATAACTTGAAATATGGTGGAATACAAGACTGGATCCTTTTATGATTAAGAAAATTGCTGATATAATCCGTGTCAATTCCTTTGTTTGCATCTTGAAGTTTCAGAAAAAGACGGATAGTTTTAGCTGTGTGATTTAAAATATCCATCACAGATCCAAGGCTATATTCTGGTGTCGAGGAATAAAAAAATGAGCTAATGATAATGAGCAGGTAAATTAAAATGTTTGCGTAAAAGCTGCTGACCCCATTATTTATTTGAAATCGATGACCTAATATTCTTTTATTAACTAGTGATCCCTTGGTTTCACCAACATAAACAAGTCCACACAGGTTACATTCTATTACATAAACAAAATAAGATTTCCAGTTCAGATTTTCCCAAGTTTTGGTATAAAAACTCTGTCCAATAAGATTACTGGTAAAAAAAAAGTGGTTAGGGTTAGGGTTAGACTGATTCATGCATTTAGATTTATTGAGGTGTCCAGAAAAGGATTTGAAAACTATACTGGTAATTTGTAAACCGCTGTAAAGGAGAATGCCGATATTCTTTTTACATGATCTTGTTTGTCAATAAATTGCATTTACCTCGTTTTAGATATTGTTCATACGTAGAGCTTGTTATTGCGCATCGAATCCTGTGAGATATAAACTACATATGTGGGTGATATGATTAAGAAATCAATGTTATTAATGTTAACAGCATGTTAACAACCTTTTAATTAAAGAAATAGTTTAAGCTGAACAAGACTGAACAAGGAAGAAATTAATCCTTGTTTGCCATATAATGATCTCTTGACATTTTCACTAGTCAGTCAAAACCAAAAGAATCGTAACAGAAAATTGAAAGACAAAATTCGAACTGTCTATCGTTTTCTTTTCATGAAAACGGCGGTGATGGAAGAATTAGATAGATTACATGAGCAAACTTAGCTTTAAGGCTCCTACATGTAACAATGACGTCATTTTCGAAAGGCTCATTTAATTAACTGCATTTAAGAAAACCTTGGCTTTAATTCTACTTCTGTTACCATTTTTTTTTGTATACTTGCAGATTACTTTCTAAAGATGAAATACTTAAAAACTTTTAAAAGGCACCCAATGTGAAATCAATCTACCCTAGCTATACTGGATTTCTAAACTTCATAAAAACCTTTCAAACAGAGGTATATTTTATGAAAAAGACAATAATGGTGATTTAACAACCAAGCTCTATGATGAACTTGATGACATTAACTTTTCTATCATCAACTTCTCTTACTTATGCAGCAATATACCTTCATCACCTGCATATAGAGTTCTCAGATCTCAGTTGATTAAATACGCAAGAGCATGCTCTACTGTTGAACAATTTCAACAACGAGGTAAATTATTGACAAACAAGTTGATGAAACAAGAATTTCAGCAGGCTCGTTTAAAGTCATCATTTCGTAAGTTCTCTGGTCGATACAATGACCTTGTCAGCAAATACAATTTATTATTGCGTCAAATGCTGACTGACGTTTTTCATACTAATTGTTAGTCCATTATACACAAATTTGACGACGGATTTTCCCATTATTTTTCGATCATGACAATGAGCACACGGCGGGTGTGACCAGTCGGCAGGGAATGATCCCTCCTCCATTGCACCTGATCCCACCTCTGATGTTTTGGAGTTCTTTGTTTGCTCTGCCTCTATTTTGTACTGTTTTATGGACTTTTGATCTGAAATACTGTTCGTTATCGCCATATATTTATTCACGCTTCTAAAAATCCTAAATATACAAAATAATAATCCATTCTGGCGTCTCAATATGAGTAAAAAAATCTTGAAAAGGACATTAAACAAACAACAAACAAACGAAAAAAGTCCTAACAAACAAAAATACATATAATTTGCATTGTCCAGCATATGCCATATCGAACCCCAGGCTCTACGCCTTACAAAATTAAGAATGCTGTAAGAATGCTGTAAAGGAGAAAAATGTTTTAATCAGATGCGGATTCTAAAAAAAAAAAGTCCAAAAAACTTTTTGAAAATTAACAATTTTACAAGTACGACTTTTGTACATTCTATACTAACTCATGATAAATTAAAAACTAGGCTTTTTATTTTGAAAACACAGACAACTGCTCCTTCCATAAAATGTAACTTTGGAATATTCATATTTTGTGAAAGATTATCAATTTTGTAGATTCTATGGTCGTTAATGACCTCGGACTTTTGAATTTAAATACTGTTTGTTATCCCCATATATATATTAATTATATTTCAATGGAAGAACATAATAAAGGGTTCTTATATTACAAGTTAAGTAAAAAAAATTAATGGAAAAATCCTTAGTCAATTCAGTGTTAAATTATGGTCTAACAAATAGTATGAAAAACGTCAGTCAGCATTTTACTTCATGATTGATTGTATTTGTTGACAAGGTCATTGTCTTGTTTTGACCCTAGAACTTACAAAATGATCACTTTAAACTCTTGATATTCTTGTTTTATTTACTTGTTTGTCAGTAACTTAACTAGTTTTAGAAATTAATCATACGCAGAGCATGTATTTGGGTATATCAAATCAACTGAGAGATATACATGCCTTATGCAGGTAATAAGAGCATACTGCTGCAGTTCTAAGTAAGGGAATTTACTACGTTTAACATATAGTTTTGATGTTAGGTGACGTCTTTTATTTAAAGAAATATATGAACCATGAAACAGATGTGTCAGATTCTGTGGCATTTTACTTTAAAGCATCTTCCTTTCCCATTTTCCCTCTTGACCTTTTCACTGTTTATTCATATCACCAAGTTGTCTGTATAATATTGCACAGGTACATATGGACATGACCCCTCTCCCTAAAATATCAAACCCGGGTCTTATTTAAGAAATAAAGTCCGCGTTTTCGTGAATGTTGCAGAATAACCTCCGAGGTCGAGAAATGTTGTTTGAAAGATAAAAGCCGAGGCGCTAGCCGAGGCTTTCATATTTCAAACAACATTTCGAGACCGAGGAGGTTATTCTGCAGCATTCACGAAAACAAGGACTTTATTTCTATTCTTCCACGTATGGTACAAACGCTAAATTAAGGATAATCGTTTCCTCTATAGAGAAACGAATTAGGTCACCATGTCTCGATTACGCTGTTTCATTTAACACCAGAAGTAAAATTTGTTTGCTTACCTGTGTATAGAATGCAGACGATTTGAGCTTTCGTTACATTAAAAATAGCCTTTTTACAAATTACAAATATGTTCATAATATGTATTGATAAGTTAAAATGATTATACAATAACAAAATCATGTTCCTGTTTACTGCTAAAATCACGTTGTTTAATGTGTAGGGAGGTCCGTGGAATAGCCCACTTACAATGAAGCGTATTGAAGTGGTAAAATTTTCCGTTCGAATGGAACGTTTTGAGCTATCTTTAGAACGTTTATTGTCAACTTATGACACGCCCATTTCTTTAGAAATGGATAAAACGGTCAATGTGTTTATTCGAATACCTGTAGAACAGGTTTTCCATAAATATAATAGCCAATCAAATTGACGGTCTAAATAAACAACGAGTAAACACGTGTTCGACCGAAACACGTGTTGTGGAAACTTCAAAAGACATGATAAATTCAAAAATATGTACATATTCGTTGCAATTTGTGTTTTACAGAAGCGGGAGTCTCTAACTCTCTCTTCTAATTTTTTAAAGCTCTATTTCAGTGTAACTCATATTGCTTATCGCGAAGAATGGAGTGTCCTAAAACATTACGAGGAATATTTCTTTCTTGTTTCTAAAAATATGGGCGTGTCATTATGTTATAATTGACGTTCAAAACATGACTCAGAACGTTTCATCCAAACGGAAAATTTTACCACTTCAATGCGCTTCATTGTAGCTATAAAACCCGACATTCATCAGCAACTTGATGCAATTAACAGTGTTTATAATGCAAAAGACGACACATCGATGCGGTCTAAACAAGTATTTCATTCTACAGCCAAACATGCATTTGAATTGTTTTAATTTGATACGTGTTTCTGATCTGATAATTTTTTGATGACGTTCGTGATTTATTGGAGAATAATGTCCGGCGGTTTCCTTTGATGTTTTGAATAATCGTGGTAGAATGGATATTTCTTCACAAATTATATTTATTACACTTATTTATAAAGTATACCACAGGAAAATCGGGAAAAACTACCATGGAAAATACTCGTTCCATACATAGTGGGGTATTTCTTTTATGGAACGATTATTTTCCAGTTTTCCCCGATTTTTCCTGTGATATACTTAATAAATAAGTGTAATACGCCCCGAGGTTGATATTTTAGGGGGGGGGTGTCAATCCACATGTGCAAGTACCTGTGTAATATACCAGTAGATAGATTTAAAAGCTACCGAAACTGTCGAATTAGCTTTTGTTTAAACGCAATTTTGAAAAAAAAGGACTACACTGAATACGATATACTCTTTAACATTCTACACCAACATTCATCTCGGAACGTCTGCTCATGCTCTGAAAGTTTAATTTTTCTCTTATCTCCTGATGTCAAATAGCATACGGCGTTTGTGACCGTTCGGTAGAAGATGATCACTACTCCATGGCACCTGATCCTACCTCTGATGTTTTAGAGGTCCTTGTTTGCTCTGCTCCTGATTTGTATAATTTGAATGGGTTTTTGAGCTTGAATATTGTTTGTTATCTCCTTATATTTCAATCAATTTATGCTTGAATTGTTAAAATTGTCCATTACTTCTATAAATAATTTAATGATAACATTTTTAAACTGGGTAGTTTCTTTGTAAAGAATTTTGGTAAATTATAATTTCATTTTGATTGTCAAGCATTTCCTTTCTCGTTCAAAACATCACAGTCACTTCCAGTAACACTGTCTCGGGCTCATTATTCAAGTTTATCATTGGACTTATATCTACTTTCGTTTTGATGTTTGACTCATAAATGTGAAATAAATCCTTTGTTTCATTGGTGTACTCTAAAGGTTCTGTTCTGTTTTACGTGAGTAGAATGAGGGACTGAAATTAAACATTTATTCTGGGTATCACTTTTTTTTCTATGTATATAAAATTATCCAATTTTTTTTATAGAATTAAAAAGAATTAACATCTTATTAGGTTATGAAAGAAAACTGAAAGTTGTATTTTTATTTCAAAGGGCGTTGTTCTTGTTATGAAAAATTTACCATAAATCTTTTTTTAACTGGAGCAGGTGCTCTTGAATTTTACGAGTTACCAGAGAAATGTTTTATTAAGGGCTTTATTTCTAACTTACTGATGAAAAAATCAAGTTTTTGTGGCTTTACAACAGTTGATCACTAGATAAGCAATATATCCGTAGTTTATCCATTTTCAATTTCCAGGAATTGTGTTACCACTGTTACTAAGTATAGAATAATCTACGGAAATCAATATACACACATGGTGAATGATTTTTTTTTTTTTTACAGTTTTGTAAAATGTCCTTTAGTTGTGAATTTCGAGCCCCAGGATTGCCAAAGAAACTGGTTTATACAGCTGTGAAATTGTAATTCACATAAAATGTTTAATTACAATTATATGTAAACTAATTTTCGATTACAGATATGAGTATATAGTGTATGTTATCCTTGCTTCTTCCGGTGGTCTTTTAATCTACAGTGATGCTTGAGAAGAAATATTTCCGGAATGAACTATAGCCTTCTTTTCCTCCTTTTATTTTACAAGGTAAATAATTTTAAATGGCGTTAACTCTCTGCACATTGATAGCCATTTATTTTGTTGACCCTGTTCATATGTCAACTTCTGAGAATGACCGCTGTTAGTTATCTTTATATAACCTCTTTGTTTGGATATAAGCTGAGCACCGGGGCATGCAACTTATATTTCAACTAGGAAAGTACTTTAAAACAGGAAAATCTGCTCCCAAGAGATAAAGAATAAGCTATTTGATATTTCAGTTTAGTTTTATGAGTATACATCTTCGTACTTTTTTGCTTACCATCTAGGACTACATGTGGATTAACATTTTAACGCATTGAACTAGTCAAATTGCAATCTTGTTTTTTCATTGAAAGCTCACATATTTTCATTGTTTATTTACCTATCTTATAATGTTGTTACCCCGTGATCATGCCCTTGATGGATCCCTGATGAGGGAATCAAATTATTATTATTATGGACTTACAGATGCTGTCTTGTTCATATTACTATAGCCAAACGATCAGAGTTTTGAATCTTTTAAAAGTGGATGTAGCATCCCCTTTCCACCCCAACCCCCCACCCCGCCGATTCTCGCAAGGAGGACAAATTTTCTAGTCCGTGTACTAAACCACACTTTTAAATAATGTTCTTGTCTCGAAACTTTTTTTAAAAAGTTATGTTTACATCACAGGTGTTTATCTCTTATGGTGTGGAATGTCCAGGGAACTCTGACAAATATATATTGCGGGATGGAAAACTTTGTCAAAAAATCTACAACTGTGATCCAGGTAAACAACATTTTACTATTCATTTCTTAAGGCTTTTGACCATGTAGGCCTACCAGAAATGTTCAAGATGTATATTATGGTATAATTGATTTTTTTCCCCTCTCATTTCTTGCTATAATAATTGTATGGTATGAATGATTCCAAATTAATTCCATTGATCTGCGTACATGTACGCTTATTTTAGCTTCACATTCCTTCAAATAAGTAGATTTTTTGTTAAAGTAAATTTATTGTCATTTCAGTAGAGATAAACAATTAATTATACGAGTATGTTGTTTATATAACATCATATAAGAATTTTTCACTCAAAGTAAATTTCAGAGATTCATCCCTTCAGGTGACATCTAAACAGCTAGAAGGCATGATTTTGGCATTGAAGTAGAATGTATTTTTTTTAGATAATGTGAACTTTTCTGGTAATATAAAAGGAAAAAAATTCAATATCATGCATCAACTACTGACCAGAAGCACCCATTTCCTTTCATTTTTGAATATGTTCTTTGGTAAATATGCTAACGTTCTAGCCTTTCATTTGTCCCAGCTAATTTGTACCAATATAATTATGGAGACTTGGTTTTGGTGTCTGAATGGATGTTTCGCCTTATATGTATGGCCTTATCTGAAATTGTTTGCTGAAGGGCTGTCTGCGATTCTTAACTTGGTCTCTATACTTATTTCTTGCAGATGAAATTTCTGCTACAATACGCAAATTACTAATTTCTTTCAATCTTGAACTGGTTAGTTTTTTTCTTAACACTTCAATAGTTTCTTTTGTTGCCAACTCACTGTCCTTTCTTTCAAGAGGAGTCTAGCTTATTCAGACTAAAGGTACTAGGGCTGTTCAATAAATAATGTCCTCGGTGCTCGGAAAGAAACAAAAGACGATTTTCAATGATTTTGTCTTCATTTTTTTACTTATTATTCTCTTTTAATTACAACACATGTCCGTAACCTTTTTCATCCAATTTTTGATTGATTTTAGAACTCATTTTTGGGTATGACCCTTGGTATACTGGAAAATGGCAGATCCAATGATTTCCTGGACTTGTTTCTTTCTTATCAAAGGTGTTTTTTTTTCAAGTTTGGAAATAGAAATAAGTCAAAAGGTCAAAGATCTGGCGAATATTGTTAATGTGAAAAAATATTAACTATCTGTATCCCGAAAACCCGTTTACTCTTCAGGGCGTGCGGGTTTGGACGCTGTCAAGAAGAAATTTAATGTAGTGGATTCCTGATTCTGGGTCCTTCCTCTAGTAAACCTTTCGATTTATTTTTGCAAAAAAAATGTTTTCTAGCCTCATCTAGAAATTAAACTGTCTCCCCGAATACGAATTTGAACAACAATACCACTAATATTTAAGAACATTGCATATAAATCTGCCTTTGTGCTCTTGCAATTCTTTGCTCTCCCCAGAACTTCCCTGTTTTTGTTAAGTACATCTTATGGTAAATTTTATTTCGAGGATTTTAAGCAATAGATTCAAGTTTCATTATCTGTTTGAATATCCAAAAAAAACGTGAATAACTCCAATTACTGATATTTTAAAATAATTGTTAAGACATTCACACACGCTGTCGTTTTCACTCATTTTTCGAAATATAGGGTGAGCTTTGAGTACTAAGCTTTTTTACCGTCAAACGTTTCTTAAAAACAGTGTAAACTACCCTCGATGTGATGTCTATCAAACTTGCTATTTGTCTTAAAGTCAATCCTACATCATCAAGTATTTTTTTTGTTGAAATTTGGCAAACAATACATAAGTGTTATTTTTTCTTGGCAAGGACGGTACCCATTTTTGATCCCCATTGTATAATTTTTTATCATTGAAATCCACCTGCTCATTTTTCTATAAAACAGGTATTGGTTGCTGTAAATGTCACATATTTCAGTGAATATTTCTTTGGGATTTTTAACAAGTTTTGGAGCAGCTTTGATTAAGCTTTTATTTTCACTCTAGATTACCGATTCTTTACCATTCATTTATAATGCAGTGTCTCGAAAAGCCCTTGTTTCCCAGCTTCTCACAATGAAACTATGTGATGAAAAGTGGTCACATGAACTGTTATAAATTCATTAAAGATTCAGTTATGAGAAAAAGCCAATTTTAATATCATATGATATCTGTATTGTATGTCATACAGTTCAGGACATTATTTATTGAACAGCCCTCGTGTAACACTTGTGAGACTAAGACTATATAGAATTTACCAATGCCTTTACCTTAATGTTTCCCTCTTCTAATGATACTCCTGATTTTTTAGATGTGTTTCTGCGTAACAAGCTGTCTTCTTAATTGCCAGTTAGTGTTGATAATCATTTCTTTCTGATGACAAATTTAGACCATATAGACGCCAATGATTTAAATGGTTTAAATGATTGGGAGTTTCATTCGTATTCGTTCTGATAATCCAAGAAGTAGGGATGGAAATTCCAGTGCTGATGAATTGACATTAAAGATGAATTCAACTCTTGTCCTCGAAGAATAGCTTCTTGCAATTGCAATTTTCTTTCTTGTAAATGTCTATTAAACGATCTTTTTCTATAATCAAATTATGTATCAATGCTTGCTAAGCCTTGAAGAATCGCTCTATTGAAAACTGTTTCATTTTAGCAATCTGAACAGAACGCGGTCAACATGCCCATGTCTGGGGAATGTGCCCACACATTTTAGCAAAATACTAGTAGTTACAACATATATGCCGTCATCTATACAATAGTTATTCATGTAACAAATGCAATATCTTTTGAAGCTCTTTGTCTTCTACAGAATTTCCAAAATCCATGGCTCTAGTATAAGGTTCTGACCCCCAGTGTGGGACTGGGTTGGTCATTTATTGACTTAAACAATAAAATGCTTTCTTTATTTGTTATTACTGGAATTAACGGAAGCAGCTGTTGCAGAAAAAATACATAACCCGCGTAAGCGGGTTATGTAAATTGTTTTCTGCAATAGCTGCGACCGTTAATTCTAGTAATAACAAACAAAGAGAGACATTTTATTGTTTATATTATAATCATTTAAATTAGGAATAAAAAGATTAATTATTGTATTAATGATGCGAACGTCTTTTTATGTTTCATTGATGGAACAGCCACTGATCAAGAAATTTGTACAGGCGACATGCCTACTGTAGTTCATGCAGTGATTAACGCAATAGGTTTTCTTAAGAAATAAAGGAGAAAATATTCAGTGGATGTAAATATAATGCATTAAACTTTTGAAAATCTTTCACACTAAGATATCTAGAAGGTAAACTGTTTACATAATATGGTAATGATAGCCTTGTATTAAAAAATATTAAATAATATTACATTGCAGTCAAGCATTCTGAACTGAGATTCAGCGTTGGGACTGAATTGAAAATTACATTCTGTTTCAAAACTTTCTCTTCTAAGGAGATAAACAAAAAGAAATAACTGTTTGCTTTATTACAATAAAGTAATACTTTGACGAAAATTTTAACAGTTATAACACATGGGTACTTTTTAATGTAATATTCCGCTATCATCTGCATTTAGTGTTAACTGTTATGTCTCAAAACTAAGTTACTCGTTTCCATAAAGCATGTTCTAAGTACGACCAATACATAAAACCGAGTCAGACTCTTGAAATATAAGTTGATCTTACAGGTATAACGGATTTCTATAACCTCCTTTAATTCAGCAAATCATAAATTATTTGTCCTTATAATATTTTTTAACACACAAAAAACCTTAAGTTTATTTTTATTTCCATATTTCATTCCAATTGTAAGGCCATTGTTTTCATACTAAATGTTAATTCCACCTACCATATATATACAAAGGGATCACAGCAGTCGCTACCGGTCGTCAGGGAAAGACAGCTTCTTTTTTTCCGGGAGTTTCCTTGGTGTACGATTAGTTTGGTCAACTGGATTTTGGAGATTGATCACTTTGTGTATCTTTTCTCTAGTTTCATTAAAAATATCAGTTTTAATATGTGATCACATTTGCGACAACTTTTAGTCTTTAAAGCCATTTTGATTTACAAGTTACCCGCTGTTACAAATTATATATAGAAGAGAATTAAGAAGTTTTTTAAAGTTTGTTACATACACTGACATAGTGTACAGGAGTGAAAAAGGCGAGGTTAACGAACACTGATCGAACTAAAAATAGGGATGACGATTTTGTCCTTTTTTGGATATGTAAGTATGAGAAAAGTACTCGTAAAGATAATAAACCAACAGAATAACTGATTTCTCTCTCATATGTAGGTAATGAAATAATTGCCTGCAAAGATAATTGTTCACCAGAAGAGTGCCACCAATGTTCTATAGGAAAAGTTCAACCATTTCAAATACACTCCACTACCGAGCCAGAAACATACAGGAAATGTTTCATGCCCCTAAAAGAATGTAGGAATAGAGGTAAGTATTTATGCATCTTTGACTAAATGTTTATTTAAAGTGTGTAAGAGAACCTACTGGTTTTTGTTTGGGTGTGTGTATGAATTACTATACAAACAAGAGGCCCAGGGGCCACAGCGCTCACCTGAGCACATCAGCTAGGAAAAAACACATATCAGATCAGAACTGAAAGTTAATTTAAGTTGGGGGGGTTGAATTTTAACCCCCAAGGGGATCATAATTTGAACAAACTAGAATCTACATTACCTGAGGATGATTCCATACAAATATTACTAATCCTGGCTTTGAAGTACTTGAAAAGAAGATTTAAAAAGGTTTCCCTATATATTTCTATGTAAAACTTTGGTCGGCCATTTTGGCCACACCCTTACCCCGGGGTCATGACTTGAACAAACTTGAATCTACACTACCTGAGGATAATTTCACATGAGTTTCATCTTTCCTGTTTCAATGGTTCTTGAGAAGAAGATTTTTTAAGATTTTTCCTATATATTTTTTAAGATTTTTCCTATATATTCCTATGTAAAACTTTGATCGGCCATTTTGGCCCCACCCTACCCCCGGGGGTCATGATTTGAACAAACTTGAATCTACACTACCTGAGGATAATTTCACATGAGTTTCATCTTTCCTGTCTCAATGGTTTTTGAGAAGAAGATTTTTAAAAATTTTCCTATATATTCCTTTTTAAAACTTTGATCGGCCATTTTGGCCCCGCCCTACCCCCGGGGGTCATGACTTAAACAAACTTGAATCTACTCTACCTGAGGATGATTCCACATGAGTTTCATCTTTCCTGGCCCAGTGGTTCTTGAGAAGAAGATTTTTAAAGATTTTTTTTAAAAATGCCAATAATTTTTCTCTAAATTCATGATTCATCTTTCTGGCCCAGTGGTTCTTGAGAAGAAGGTTTTTAAAGATTCTTCCTATATATTCCTATGTAAAACTTTGTGGCCCTACCCCCGGGGGTCATTTGAACAAACTTGAATCTCCCCTGAGGATGATTCATCTTTCCTGGCCCAGTGGTTCTTGAGGAGAAGATTTTTTTAAAATGCCAATAATTTTTCCAAGTTTGGTTGAACTTGAATCCCCTTCACCCAAGGATACTTTGTGCCAAGTTTGGTTGAAATTGGCCCAGTGGTTCTTGAGAAGAAGATGAAAATGTGAAAAGTTTACGACAACGACAACGACGACAGACGACGGACAAATTTTGATCAGAAAAGCTCACTTGAGCCTTCGGCTCAGGTGAGCTAAAAACACTGATGCTTTGGGATGGCAGTCCATGTTGTATATGGCGAGGGTTAAATTTCCTGAATGCCGGTGACACATCAGGGAGAAGAGATCAAAATGGTACCAAATGAAGGCTGTATTACCTCAAGGAAAATACATGTGAAATATAAAAGCATAAGCACAAATAATTCAAAAGTTATGACCAATGTTAATTTTTTCTTAACTCTAGCGTAAAGGTTAAAAAATATTGATACCAAAGGAATTACCTTGTCTCAAAAATACACCTTAAAAATATGAAAGCTTTAACTCTAACGGTTCAAAATTTGGGCCTCTGTTGGTTAAAAATCTATAAAAGTAGGTACGTCAAACTCCAAGATCTGGGTCAATTTTTTTTCTTATTGTTAAATTTGATAAATTTCAGCTAAATAATGGGTTTTAAAGTTTTTTAAAAAAATTGAACATTACTTCATTGTGCGCAAAACCGAGTCAATTTTACCTGATTTTTTTTGAAATATGAAACAATTGAGGAGAAATTGAGCTTTCAAGTTTCAAAGATTAACTAAGACAAATTTTTAAAATGATACAAGTATACATGTAATATTACATTTTACCTGTAATGTATTAATAGGGTTAATATTTTATACATCAGAGCAAATTTCTTTCAGAGCTGGTCCCCATTCGAAATGGAACTGCTACCCCTGGATGTTCCAAGGCGGATGCGTGTCAGTGCGACTTAGCCAATTGTTGGTTTGGCCGCAATCCATGTAGCTGCAATAAATACAAGCAGTGTCTCGAAGATGAATATCTAGTTCCTGTTAATGATGGAGAGTCTGCAAGTTAGTAGTCTACCTAATAGTCAACATTTTTTGGAAAAGACTTACACAAAAATATGATTTTAAATTGTTTTGGTTATCAGGTTGTAAGAAGTGTCCAAAAGGCACAAGGAAAAGAGAGACAGGCTGTGGGCCGTGCCAACTGATTGATTCACTTAACCAGAGTATGACGACCGCTTCGCCAGCTATTGCTATTTCTGGTTTGCTTGACTTTTCTTTCGTATCATCTGTTCCATGTTTAACAATAAATTTCGACATATCTTGAATTTGTATTGTTTTTATTCAGTTACCTCTGAAATATCCAGTTTGCCTTCCAACGTTAGTAATACTGCAGACACTTCTAGGAGTTTGCATGTACTATGGACAGCGTAAGATATACTAGTATACATTCAACCTGTTTTCCAAACAAAAATATAGTTATCAAGATAATAGTCCAGTCGATCGATTTTCGTATTTTTCAACATATTGAAAATTTAAATAACTTAAAAATTGAATTTTTTCCTCTTAAGTAGCTTGATTTAAATAAAAGGATTTAATAGACTACTCACATGCATCCTTTATTCTAGAATTAGCGTTGGATTGACCGTTGTTATTATTGTTGTGTTGGTTCTAGTCATCTATTTAAGAAGAAAATGCCGTTTTAGTGGTAAGTCAGCTATTATGATAAGAATTACCTATTTATAGATATTTTCTGTTTAATATGGATTTTTTAATGGTATGTCCTTCTCCTGAATTGTTAATCCATTTATTTACAAGGCACACCTAAACAAAGAAACATTAGTGATGAGGAAAACCTTAATGGCGCGGAAGACAATCAAAAAGACGATGACACGGAACATGTTATTCCGATCGAAAGGTGAATTTTTAAAATGACACTTTTTTTTATGACAATTATTTTTTTCTTCAAAATTAATCTTACGTGAATTGTGATCCATTGATCCATATAATTATTTGTTCAACATCATCTGACTGCATTTTTGATTACATGACTTTGACTTTTTTGCAGCTAACAAGCATCTTTTAGTGTGTAATTCTTTATTTCCTTTGTTGTCCCAGGCCACTTATCGTGTGTGCTTCTACAGAAGAAGACTTGACCGGTAACACTCCAAAGTCACCAATTGTTTCTGAAACCGAGCAACCAGTGGCGTTCCATCCATGTGATCCGCGAGCATTACGACAACGACATTTTAACGATCGGGATTCGTCGATGGAAGATGATTCATACACCACTAATTATCCGGAAACAACAGGTCCCGAGTATTAAAATGTCTGAGCTACTTTTTTTTTTTATCTCACACAATCTTCCAAATTTAAATTTTAATTCAAAAAATGTTATATCCAGTACACAGACTGCATGACAAAAGTACATTGTGCTCATGGAGATGACGAAAGTTTTTAATTTTTATGATTTGCTAATCAAGTGTTTGACTCATATCGTAGTTCAGCAAATCTAATGCCTTTGATTTTAGACATATTTTACTCAGATATATCTATTTAAAATGTATTCTAAATATACTTATCACCAGTTTTTAATTTTCCTGTTATAGAAAGCTCTGAAGAGACGAATTTCTCAAATCAACAATCTTATACGGAAACTCCACTAGTGGATACTATCGAAAGAAGTGAAGGTACATTGTGTCCTCTACACAAATTTGATTTTTTCAATTACGATGTGTATATGACAATAAATTTTACTGAAAAATTCTTTTTGTAGAGGACAATTGTATTGCTAAAGATAAGGGGCAATGTATCAGATGCTTATCTTCTTTAAACTGGTAAAAAAAAATTACTAAACTCGAAATGGTCTTTGCAGGTGTTGACTACTTATTGAATAAATTAAACGTGGACAATAGTGAAGTAAAACAACCAGTGCAATGTGAGGAAGAGGCATTAAGTTCACAGACTTCACAGAAACTTCCACACAGTGATTTCACTCATCAGAAGGAGATGTGTGATTGGGGTTTACAGAGTTTAACTGAGGAAAAGTTGTTGTGCTCTACTCAGATTTCGGACAAGACTCACCTTAAACATCACATTGACTCTCTCCTTGAAGATACTCAACAGAAGGAGAAAACCTCTTGACGTTAGAGGAGGATGTGTTTCTATTAGAAGATAGAATTCTAATTTTATAACTTTTTCTAAACCATTATGTTTTTCCATTCACTATAGTTTGTTAATATTATCGCCAACAGTGGTCTAGTCTAGTTAAACTCTGCGATATGTAAATCACATATTCCAAATGGACACATCTTCCTGTAACGAAAAAGATAAAAATAACAATTTGAAGTCTGATGAAGAACATAGGCAAGCAGTGTCTGAATTTTCATTTGGATTTTTAATACTGTACTATGTTTATTAAATTTGTATTTGATACATGAAAGGGTTTATACTTAGTAATCACGTGCGTACAAAATATATTTAGGACAATACTTCAATTGAAATCTTGCGCCCAGGATCATGAAAAAGACAAAACGGAAAGGATTTTCTTTTTGGACTGCCTATAAACTTCTAAATAATTTCAGCACCATAGTTAATTTTTGACTTTAAATGCCTAAACTGCTTTATTATCCCGGAGACTCAAGGCAGAAACTTTTAACTTACTTGAAGATCAACCATGGGATGCAATGCGTTTAAGTCAGAATTGGTTTTGCACATAATCAACGATAAATACGTGTCTCGTGTATATAATTAGCTTTCAAACCCAGAAGGAATCCTCTTTGGCTCGGTTTAGGACCATAATGAAAGGAATCATTGGACATTTATTAATTTTGTCAAGTTTCAGGAAAATGATTCGAGTTATCATTGTGAAAAAGTCTGGCCATTGTTCTTAGATAAAGAATAATTGTCATTACCACAGAAACATTCTTCTTCTTGCAGAAACTTGATATTAATAACGATATTACTTATTTATATGTCAAGTATGTTTAAATAAATTCCATTTCTATAAATTGGTGAATTTACTTTTCTTTATTTTTGTAGAAGTGTTACATAATGTCATCTTTTTTCTCTAAGTACAGAGCTTCAAAGCAGCAGATTGTTTAACAAGTTGATTTAAAGCAAGTTGTATGTCTGCTAAATGACACTTTTAAACTCGTTTTGAAATTTTGGAATAAGAATAAGATTAATATATTTTTTTAATTACTTCATGTAATAATTTATAAACGGTAGTGTAATAAAAGGTTATAAATCAAATGTTGAAAAATGTTTTCCTTGAGTTGTTTCATTTGGATGATGTAGTTCTTGCAGTTCTTCCAACAATCTGTTAGAGTTCCTATGGGTACCGACTGCGCCCCGTTATTAGCAGACCTATTTTTGTATTCATATCAAGCAGAATTTGTCCAAAATCTTATGCGTGAAACGAAGAAAACACTTGTGGCCTTCAATTCGACAATTAGATATACATGTATCGACGACGTATTGTCAATTAACAATGCTAATTTCCATTCTTATGTCTATGCGACATATCCTGGTGATCTTGAGATAAAACATACCAAATAGTCTGACACATACGTTTCACACTGGATATTTTACTTTGACTGGTCAGCTCACTCCTCCATGGCACCTGATCCCACCTCTGATGTTTTTGAGGTCCGTGTTTGCTCTGCTGTTATTATACCCCACGCAACTAGTTGCGTGAGGTATAATGTTTTTGACCCGTCCGTCAGAGTGTCAGAGTGTCAGTCAGTCAGTCCTTTTTTTGTCAGCGCAACTCCTCATAAACTGCTGCACAGAATTTTGTCAAACTTTGCAGGTATTTAGAACACAATGTGTAGATGTGCATAATACCAGGAAATTCCGATTCCTTTACTTTTTCCGGGAATTTCCGCACTTTTTAACATTTGTCCATACCTTGAATATAGAGATGAACAGTTTGTCAGCGCAACTCCTCATAAACTGCTGCACAGAATTTCGTCAAACTTTGTCGGTATTTAGGACACAATGTGTAGATGTGCACATTACCAAGAAATTCCGATTCCCTTATTTTTTCCGGGAATTTCCGCACTTTTTAACTTAGGCCTTTGGCCATACCTTGAATATAGAGATGAACAGTTTGTCAGCGCAACTCCTCATAAACCGCTGCACAGAATTTCGTCAAACTTTGCAGGTATTTAGGACACAATGTTTAGATGTGCATATTACCAGGAAATTCAGATTCCTTTTTTTTCCGGGAATTTCCGCACTTTTTAACTTAGGCATTTGGCCATACCTTGAATATAGAGATGAACAGTTTGTCAGCGCAACTCCTCATAAACCGCTGCACAGAATTTCGTCAAACTTTGCAGGTATTTAGGACACAATGTGAAGATGTGCATATTACCAGGAAATTCCGATTCCATCATTTTTTCCGGGAATTTCCGCACTAAAAACTTAGGCCTTTGGCCATACCTTGAATATAGAGATGAACAGATTGTCAGCGCAACTCCTCATAAACCGCTGCACAGAATTTCGTCAAACTTTGCAGGTATTTAGGACACAATGTGAAGATGTGCATATTACCAGGAAATTCCGATTCCATCATTTTTTCCGGGAATTTCCGCACTAAAAACTTAGGCCTTTGGCCATACCTTGAATATAGAGATGAATAGTTTGTCAGCGCAACTCCTCATAAACCACGGCACAGAATTTCGTCAAACTTTGCAGATGTTTAGGACACAATGTGTAGATGTGCATATTACCAGGAAATTCCGATTCCATTATTTTCTCTTAGAATTTCCACACTTTTCAACTTAGATTTTTGGCCATACCTTAAATATAGAGATGAGTATTTTGTCAGCGCAACTTCTCATAAGAAGAAAGTACGGTATGAACAAAAATCCGCCCAGTCCCAAAATCTTATTAAATTGTTCTAGAAACATGTCGAGAGTGACCACTTCCTATGTCATTTTAATTTTTGTTATTATCTCAAACCATTTCTTCAAGAGACCTCTTCAAATATAGGTAGTTTTCGTAAGAAAATAACGCTATGATGTTATGACGTCGTCAACTTGGCGTTATCGAATTTCAACGTTTTAACGTTTCAACTTTTTAATCCCGATACAGCGCCAAAAAAGAAAATAATTTTGAAGTGAACAAAAAAAATTATAGCTTACTCATCTGTTCCATTTATGAACTACTCTTAAAATGTGGAGCGAGTTCGCTGAATATAAAAATTAATTTTCTTTACTGGAAATATTGTTGGTCATTGATTTTGCTACTTTTTGCGAGAAAACGATTCATCAAGAAAGTCAATGGAACATTTATAGCTTGAATTAGTCTACAATTCCAATCTTTTTTGCTCACGGTGAAATCTTCAAGTTCCGAAGAACAATATATCTTTCTTTTATTCACTTTGATTTTGTGTGTGTGAGGGAGGGTGTGTGTGTGTGTACAGTATAAGATAAACACGAGGACATACACCACAGATATACGACATTGTTCGTGTATAATTATGATGGTTCTAAATGAAGACGGCTATCTTAATTTAATTTTTGTTGATAACATGTATATAAATAAACCTAAGACAATTTTTAAATCGGCTTTTTTCTTTATGAGAAAACACATGTATGTATATATACAAGAACATTTTTTTTACTATCTATACAAAAAAAGAACATCAGGATATTCAAACACGAAAATCTTATTTCGTTTGTGAGAGGGGTGTGTGTGTGTGTGGGGGGGGGGGGGTTTAGATTCGAACTCCAGCACCAAATTTTTTTTCCGAACACCAACACTTTCCCCAATTATTTAAGCCTGTACTGCAACATGTCTGTGGAAAGTGGGGAGGGGGGCTTAACCTACGCAGCAGTGTCCGATGTCTTTACTAAGTCTATCTTTGGGGGAAAAAAAGTGGGGCCCGCCCGGTTCCGACGCCTATATGGATCTCTTTAAAAGTATGCAAAACATTCAAAAGAGTCTTTTTTGTTTAATAATTAGCATTGTAAATTCCCCCTCTGATAAGTTGTGTGAAATCATTAATCCACCCTTTATAATTTTATGACATATGACATTGACGTTTCAGCATTATTGAATCACACGTTATGCACATTCTTTAATTGCAGACTTATGAGTCATCATGTTTATTAACTGCAGATCTGTAACTCTCCGAAAAATATATATTGATAGACCGGAGAGCTACAGTGCCACCCATTGAAAAAAACTGTATATTTATTGCGCACCAAAAAGTGCGCTCGGTTGTCGATTTATTTCTCCATGTTTTTAAAACCGTAATCTCAAAATATTACTAACCGTGTGTTCTTAGCATATTCTTTTACTCTGTCCACAACAAAATATTCCTCATAATTGTTGTTAATAGTCCTCCTGACCCTGATATTGTAATCATCGAACATTTCGCTTATTACGCTTATGGTTTCAAAGATAATTCGGACCAATATTCGTCGTTCAGATGTCAACTACGAGAGAATTTGATAGAGGAGAGAGGAATTTTTTGAAATCTTCCCTATTTTTGCAAATGAGGTAAGAATTTGGAAGAATTAATCAAGAACCGAGAGCACTTTTTTTTTGCGCAATAAATACACAGTTTTTTCGATGGGTGGCACTGTAGCTCTCCGGTCTATCAATATATATATATTTTTTTTTTTTCGGAGAGCTACAGATCTGCAGCTACAAGTTTATAAAATGCAAGTATATCTAACCTTGCAATTGGTATTTTTAACGACTTGCGTTTAATTTTTATTTCAGATCTTTGTTATGCTCCGAAATTCGGAGCAAAAACGACATCTGATTTTAATCAGATTCCCTTGATGGCAAATAAGGACGGTCTTTGCACGAAAAATTCGCAAGAGGTTAAACATCGATATATCATTAGTACTTTATTATTAAAATGCGGGATAAACATTCTTCCGAGTTATATAACACTTGTAAATAAATCTCTTTTTTGTATAATTCTGATTTGAAACATAAGTTGTCATTTTAATTTGATTTAATTGAGGATGTAAATTCAAACTAAATTTTTAAACAATATAAAGGATATCTGAGCTAAAAAAAAACGCGATTAAGTGTAGATTAAGATGATACTTGCTATCTGCGTGCAAATTAATTTTTTTCATGAATTTGAACTTTGATATTCCCAAGTTTCTGTGGGTTAAATTGACGTTAAACTGCATCTTATATTTTTTATCCGATCCGGAAATGAATGTATATATACATGTATTATTGTTTTAAATCTCGAATATCTATGAAACCTGATTGATTTATATTATTGTGTAAATTACAGGAATTCAGATCTTTATTTAAAGCTACAAAAAAAATAGAAAGATCTTTTTAATTTTATTTTGTCTGTACGCCATTTATGACTTTAAAACAAGGATTCTCAGGATTTAATGAATATGTTCTTTGCGAACACTGCATCTAAATCTAACATTTTTTCACAGCACTTATTTCAATGAATGTAAACATGAAAATATACCTTTACAAGATGTCGATGATGAAAACTTTCTTAATGGATACGGGTTAATAATAACTAAGTTTATTAAACATTTACTTTTTTATATCAAAGGGAGCAGTGAGTCGGAAATGTGTTACAGCTCTTTTCCCCAGACACAAAAAAAAATTTATGAAAATTGGGACTGATCAGAAGTGGCAATATATCAATAAGGGCCGCCACGCTTACCATTTTTTACTTTGCAAGGAACCGATAAAAATGACCCCCACCATTTTTTTTTACAATAATTTCATCGAATCCCACACATCCAACCTCCCCCCCCCCCCCCAAAAAAAAAATGTGTTTAAATTTTCTTGTTAACTTACGTCGCTTCCTAACTCCGTCGTCTTTTGATGTTTCGGGATCCCTGACAGAAAATTAATTACAATCATTTTTACCAGGTGAAATATAGGCCTTTTTTCGTTAATTCATCGTGGGATATAAACATCTCTTAAAATATAGACTGGTGCATTCAAAAGTTTATCGAGATGGCACAATAAGCAACAAATATAGAGCGTGAAATTAAATATAAACATTTTCAAGTATCGTTTTTTATATTTTCAGTCTGGCCGCTGGAAGGATATATTATGTATCCGTATAGGCCTACTATCCGTATGTCGGTGCCGTATATATGTACGTATACATGTGCGTTTATATCAGAATGCAACCATGTATGGCCTTGGAATATTGATAAATATGAACAAATTTTGCAAAGAATTATTTTGTTTTATATAGGCTAGTGTTTTGAATAAAAAAAATAAATTATAAGAAATTCAAACGAGATCTATTGTGACGTCATCTTTGCGTTATTACGTAATTTATTCACATCTGCTGATGGTAGCTTTGAACTCTCTCATTTCCAAAATAAAATTATACCGTTGGCATAAAAAAAGAAGCCCGTTTTCTTCTTCTGTGCTAATTAATACGATTATTCAATTGATCTTTTTTTATTTAGCGTTTTCTTTGGCTCTTTATCCTTATCGGAAATATTTGACAGATCTATGCAAGTTAGGCCTACACATCACAGGGCCATTGTCATCTGCCTTATTATCCTTGCATATTTTCCAGTTTGTATGCTATTTTTTGACAAATACACTGACATGGAAAATAAATATATTGCCGATGCATGAAGTATTTCTTTATTAACATTTTTTTAATGAATTATGGTAACATAATTTCACATAAATAAAATTACACCTCTCAATGAACTTTCAATCCCCCACCGGAAATAGTAATATAAAGTCAAAATAAACATACTGCACATTCCTCGAGCAAAATCTTATCCCTGTTTTCATACGTCTTTCATCAAAATGTTTTGAAATATATGTGTTTAATTTTGCTCGAGGAATGTGCAGTATGTCAATTTTAGAAATATCTGTTGAAAAAAGTGGAAAAAATAGCAATTTCCGGAAAAAACGGATCTTTAAACGTGGTGTATACGTTTAAATAACGGAGTGTGGAAATTTTGCTTTGCATATTTAAAAACTACCAATCTTCTAGTACATGTACATAGTTTTTATAATTTGGCAAACCTGTTTATTAAATTACAGAAAATACTGGGCCTCCGTATAGTAACTAACGTACTTAATTCTTTGCTGCACAGATTTTCGTCAAACTTTGGAGATATTTAGGACACAGTGTGTAGATGTGCATATTACCAGGAAATTCCGATTCCTTTATTTTTCTGGGAATTTCGGCACTTTACAACTTAGATTTTTGGGGATATCTTGAATATAGTGATGAACAGTTTGTCAGCGCAACTCCTCATAAACCGCTGCACAGAATTTCATCAAACTTTGCAGATATTTAGGACACAATTTGTAGATGTGCATATTACCGGGAAATTTCGATTCTTTCATTTTTTCCGGGATTTTCAGCACTTTGAGTTTTGGGGGAGCGTGGGGTATGTGAGCTTGCTCACTTTTTCTTTCATTCTGTATTGCTTTATGGACGAGTCAAAATTAGGTCTTAATCGAGTTGGGTATGGACGAACTCTAGCATCGGGCCTCCAAGTACAGTAAGTATAATATACATAGCTTTTACGATCCTTTGGGTGAGACCGTATAAACCGAGGTCTCCGTGTCGCAGTAGATGCTGCCACAAAAAAAGCTCCAACACTGCTCAATGAGTGCCGAGCATAAGTCAAAATTTGCAGCTTTCAACCGGCAAGTGATGGCTTACCCATAATAGTGAAAATTCTCGTCAGGGACATTAAACAACAAACGAACAATACATAGTTTTTTGTTGTTCAATAGAATAAACAATTGTTGTTGAACAGAGTAAAAACTTGCTGAGTAAATTGATGGACAGGTATGTCTCTTTGATTGAATGAACATGACAGAGTTACTAAATAACTATTATGAACATGGTTTTGATGCGGAATAAACAGATCCTGAGGCATTTACACCTAACATGTATCAATACTTATATTACAGTCAATAGGAATGTCTTTATCCTGCTTCAAAGGGAATGAGAAAAAAGTACATTGATCATCGGTAAAATATTAGACGCAAAATAATTATTGATATAAAAGAATTTTGTAGATGAATGCCCGAATATAAACCATTAAAAATATTTTAATTCACAAATGTTAATTTGTTCAGTGATAGAATTATCATGTATATGTAAAAAATATAAAAACATTGTTAAAATAAATATACGAGGGCTGTTCAATAAATAATGTCCTCGATGCTGAGAAAGAAGCAAACGACGCTTTTCAATGATTTAGTCTTCATGATTTTACTTATTAATCTCTTTTAATTCATTTTTATCCAATTTCTGATTGTTTTTAGAACTCATTTTTGGGTATGACCCTTAGTATACTGGAAAATGGCAAATCCAATGATTTTCTGGACTTGTTTTTTCCTTCTGAAAGGAGTTTTTTCAAGTTTGGAAATAGAAACAAGTCAAAAGGTCAAAAATCTGGCAAATATTGTTAATGTAAAATAAACATTAACTTTCTGTCTATCTCGAAAACCCCTTTACTCTTCAGGGTATGCGGGTTTGGACGCTGCCATGAAGAAATTCAATGTAGTGGATTCCTGATTCTGGGTCCTTGCTCTAATAAACCTTTCGATCTTTTAGCAAAAAAATTGCCTTCTAGACTCCAACAGATATTAAACTGTCTCCCCAAATACGAATTTGAACAACAATACTACTAATATTAAAGAAAATTGCATATAAATCCGTCTTTGTGCTCTTGTTTACCTTTGCTTTTGTCAGACCTTCGCAGTTTTTATCAAGTACATCTTATAGTAAATTTTGTTTTGATGATTTTAAGCAATAGATTCATATTCCAATATCTGTTTAAATATAAAACAAACGTGGATAACTACAATTGCTGATATTTTAAAATAATTGTGAAGACTTTCGTACACGTTGTCGTTTTCACTCATTTTTCAAAATATAGGGTGACCTTTGAGTATCAAGCTTTTTTACTGTCAAATGTTTCTTAAAAACAGTGTAAATAACTCCCGATATGATGTCTATCAAATTTGTTATGTATCTTAAAGTTAATCTTTCATCATCAAATATTATTTGTTGAAATTTGGCAAACAGTACATAAGTTGTTACAATTTTTGTTGGCAAGGAGGGTACCCATTTTTGATGCCCATTATATAATTTTTTATCATTGAAATCCAACTGCTCATTTGTCTATAAAACAGGCATCGGTTGCTGTAAATGACACATATTTCAATGAATATTTCTTTGGGATTTTTAACAAGTTTTACAGCAGCTTTAATGTAGCCTTTATTTTCACTCTAGTTTACTGATTCTTTACTATTCATTTATAATGCAGTGTCTCGAAAAGCCCTTGTTTCCCACATTTGCTTCTTTTTCTTTCTTTTTGCTTCTCACGATGAAACTATGTGAGGAAAAGTGGTCACATAAACTGTTATAAATTCAGTAAAGATTCAATAATGAGAGAAAGTCAAGTTTAATGTCATATGATATCTGTATTGTATGTCATACAGTTCAGGACATTATTTATTAAACAGCCCTCGTACAGGCCGCTTACATCAACTGCAAAAATTCGAATTACTAGAAGACTTTTCTACCAATAGAGGACGGGTAGCAGTTGCTTTTATATATTCTCGGGATCTAAAACTATCAAACATATTTAATTCCGCTTGAACATCAACAAATGTTAACTTTTAAATCCTCCTTATCTATATAATACACATCGAGTGTTTTAAAGCGGTTTAATACCTCTTTCATTAAAAAAAAGATATTCAGAGTTTACAGTGTACTTTTAATTTACTCCTAAATAGGTTAGGGGTTTATTTTAAATTTTAATGCTTTATTAAGGTATTTATTATTTAAAATCCTCATATAAACTAAATTAGACCTTTACCACAAAAGTAACCCATAGTAGGAAAGACCCCAAAAGTCCAAGCATTGTCATTAATGTACTAGGGTAATAGATAAAACTAGACTGTAATCTGTCTTGATATTGGCCCTTTGATACCATGTTATTCATTAAATATTCTTCTTAAATAGCTTGGGATCCCCCCTTTTGAATAATGTTTATTTCCTGTCTTATATTGGAAATGGCTTGGTTCCGACAGAGGCAAGTGGACTCTTACTCCACTTTAAATGAGGAATCTGCAATAGAAATGAAAAGACATGATGAAAAATTTGATAAGATCATTCGCAGAAATTCTTTTCAAGAAACACAAGAGATGTGCATAGAAGATTCTTCGAATTATGGAAGCTTAGAGAATGATAATAAAAACAACGTAAATATATCAGAGGAGAAACTGACAACCTTACAGGCTGCATGGAATATCATTAACATGATACAGGTAATGTGCACCCTTATATTTGAAAGTCACCAAAAGCCAAATTTGAATAGAAAAAAATACATAATGGAAACTTAAAGAGGTGCGCTTTTCGATTACAAGATATGTTAATTGTTAATCATTTCCTACATCATGTGCATTAGTTTAGGAGTATTATTGCTTTTTTTTCTTCTTAAAATAAAAGACTGACTTTTTAAAATTTGAAGTCTGGAAAAGTTTTCCTGAAGCACTGATTGACATGAAAATCCGTCGACCTAACAGTGTGTAAATAAGGGTATAAAAATCAGAATGAAAAACATTAGTTAGCATTCAAGAGTCATTGAAAAATTGTATTTGCTGACAAGGTCATTGTAACGAACATAGGACTTACGAAATGATGACTTTAAATGAGACTGCTGATATTCTTGTTTTATCAATTTGTTTGTCAATTTACCTCGTTTTAGAAATTGTACATAAATAGAGCATACTTTTGTGTATTGAATCAACTGAGAGATTATATACCCCATAAGTAAGGGGAGTTTACGATTGAAAATATAGAGTCATTAGGTTTATCATAAAGCTTTGTTATTAGATAACGTTAACGTCTTTTTCAATTAAAATATCCAAATACGAAACAGATGTATCAGACTCTGTGAAATTTTTTATTTCAAGCCCGCCGGGATACATCGCATCGACATAATAATAGAAATGTTCATTGTTAATCGACAATATGTCGACGATATATCTAAATGTTGAGTTGAAGGTCACAACAAATGTTTTCTTCTTTCCACTTATAAGATTGAGAACGAAGTTTGCTTCATATGAATACAAAAATAGGTCTGTTAATAACGAGGTGCACTTTTTATCCACTGGAAATCAAATACATTAGATTGTTGGAATACCTGGTTTCCAAAAACCATAAAGATATTGTCGCTCTAAACTCAAGCATCTTTTAATATCACATTCAGAGTACCTATGTGTACAATCAGAATGTTTTTTAACAAACTATTTTTGCAAATGACCAAAGGAAGCAATAAATTAGCGTCTAGTACTTACAAAAATTCATCGCAATAAACGTTAGACATATGCATATTGACCTTCTATTTCGAAAATTTCAAAACACCAAACTTTGCTTTGGAATAACACCATGTGATTTTTGTTGACTTCAAATATGCCGTTGTGTACATGAAACTTTAAAGTGTTTTTATTTCTTTCAGGGAAACGTAATTTTGAACTCTCCTTATGTGCTGTTGGTGGGAGGGGTTCCGGGTATTGTCCTCACTGTAGTCGTTGGTTACGTCAGTGTCCACACGTGTCGTCTGCTTATTGACTGTCAGTATGACGAAGATGAACTCGGTAATAAATCCAAAACGAGGCACACAATGCATGATATAGCAGTTCATAATTTGGGAAAGAGAGCAGGCGTCTTACTTATTGATCTGCTCCAGATTACGTTGATGTTTGGAAATTGTGTCTTTCAGCTTCTGTTTTGTGGTCAGATGATTTCTCCTTTATTTCCAGAAAATCCCGTCGGTTTCAATGGAATTATTCTACTCTTCTCACTAGCCTTGTTTCCGTTCGCATTTGTTACGTCCATTAAAACGGTCAGTTATTTCAGTTGTGCGAGTGTAGTGGTAACTTCCTTATCATACATAGCTTTAATCTCGTACATGTTCTCTAAAGTTGACAAATGGGTAATAGAAGAATTTCCACTCACTACAAATATCTATCAATCGTCATTATCGTTAGGTATGATTGTATTTGGATTTGATTCCCAGCTTTATGTTAATTCTCTTGATAACAAATTAAAAGAAGGGTCCAACATTAAAAAAATGATTGCATGGACTCATGTAATGTCAGTCTTCTTGAAGATATTTTTTGGTATTGTGGGTATTTTTACTTTCGGACAACTAACGCGTGAAACAATTACCAATAGTATTGACAATATCCCTTTGAAATATTTCTTTAATATTTTATTTCCCATGAAGTTTTTTCTCATTTTTCAATTTCCATATTTTGCAATTATCGACCTCATCCAAGAAAAACTTTTTCAAGGAGTAAACCTAACTCGCTTTCCTTCCTGTTTAGATAAAGAAAACTCTTTAAAATGGTGGGCTATTATTCTTAGATTATCATTAGTACTTTTGGTTGTGATTGTCTGCTTAATTTTTCCGGATGTTGCCATCTTGACCAGTTATACAGGTTCCACAATTGGTGCTTTTATTATGTTTCTACTTCCGGTATATTTTCATCTGAATATGTACTGGAGGAAAATGTATTGGTACCATATTTTACACGATTATTTTGTGCTACTTGCCGGTGTGGTTGTTGTTTTTTGTGGTATTTTTACATTTGTGCAAAGAGAAATTGTGACGAGAATATAGAAATAACCCAATCTTGCAATTCAAAATTGTGTCAGGTTTATTTTCTGTGGCCAGATTTTTATGTTAGTAAAAAAGATACATGCTTGTAATGTTTGTACATTTTCATCATGTTTCATTTATGCATTAGTGTATTTTCTAAGGTTATGCAGTTTAAGTCATTTAAAGGCGTGAAATATCTTTTTATGAAATAAAAAGGTACATAGCACAATTGATTTTTCTCTTATATATAATAAGGGCCTTACTCTGCGGGTACCCTATAGTGACTGGTGATCAGTCTATCCGTTCATCATATACTCACCGTCAATAGAAACGCAACACCCTAATTTCTGGGTGAAAATTAAATACATGCTATAACTATGTACCAAAAAAGTTAGAACATCTTTTACTTTGCCAAATCAGTTATTTAACGGTTGAATGAATTTCTTCCCATTACCGGAAGTTGCTTTTTAGCCCTCTTAACAGAATTCAAAATTTTGCATTTTTAATGAAATTTTAAACAATATTTTCGGTTTTCAAGGTTTTGTAGCTGTTTATTATAAGTATTGTACTAAAAGGCCGGGAAAAAAATCCTTCTTTCTTTACCGGATGTGATGCCTATATTTCCTCAAAATGAATGATTTTTATTGCTAATGCTGAAAAATCTTAAAGAAAAAAAGAGCTACATATGCAAATGTACACTATATCAGACTCATCAGGCTCATGTGTTTCAATAGCATAAAACCGGAAGTCCAAAATACGGCAGGTTAGAGTCGACCGCAGTATCGGAAAATCATGTATTTAAAAATGCCCAAGAATATAAATTTCGCTCAGATTAGGACATTAATAAACTTAATGCATGGTAGAAATCGGGCTGCATTTGTTGTAATTACTAGCACGTTTTCATTAAATGGTAAGGGGGGATGTTTTAAGATTTGTATTTGTTAAGGTCTAAAAATAATATTTAATGTTTAAATGGAGCATTAATTTTTTGTAAATTTACTTTTTACCTAAATATATTCATTTTTAATGTTATCATTAAACTTTAGAAGGTTACACTTAACTCTTAAAACAGCCCCCCTTCTTGCTATCAGTCACTTTGAGGAAATATAGGCATCACATCCGGTAAAGAAAGAAGGATTTTTTCCCGGCCTTTTAGTACAATACTTATGATTAACAGTTTCAAAACCTTGGAAACCCAAAATATTGTTAAAATTTTATCAAAAATGGAAAATTTTGAATTCTGTTAAGAGGGCTAAAAAGCAACTTCCGGTAATGGAAAGAAATTCATTCAACCTTAAATAACTGATTTGGCAAAGTAAAAGATGTCCTAACTTTTTTGGTACCTAGTTACAACCTGTATATAATTTTCACCCTAAAATTAAGGTGTTGCGTTTCTATTGACGGTGAGTATATTTTCTCTCCACTTGTGCTCATATTTCATTCGCAGAGTGCCATTGGTCAATGGATGTACAGTGACTTTGAACGAAGTTTCTAGGTCACAAGGAACCATGTTTCTAGGTTTAAGGTTAAGGTCATAGCAGAATTATATGAAAAATCCTTGTCCGGAGCATATCTTTCCTCCCCTTGGTCCATTGTGGTTTATACTTCACACAAAGAATGCCACTGGTCAATGGATGTGTTGTGACCTTGAACGAAGTTTTCTAGATTAATGTCAAAAATAGCTTCTCTGTTAAAACTTGTTCGGTGCATAATTTCTTTCCCTTAAGTCCAGTCAGCCTGAAACATTATATCTTTACTGAGGGTACGGAACATTTGTGATTTTCCTTCCATACGTTGATGAAGGATATGCAACAATTTTCATAGAGGAAATGCACCAATTGATTTTGCCACGGGATTCACTGTTCTACAGATTTGAATATTGTATTATTGAGTTCAGTATACTTTTTCGACCCTTCTTCAGTCTTCAGTGGAAAATATACTCAGTAGTGTGCTACATTTTAAAAAAAAAATCATGTTTTGCTTTACGTTTTGAGTAGCAATAGAATACAAAAGACAAGTCATTTGCATGTTTTTCAAGTTTGATTTGTGAACTTTACAACAACAAAAATTCATTCGGAAAAATCTTGAAAATTCAGGAAAAAGTCTGCAAAATCTGTATACCATGTATGAGTATTGTCATTTGCTTCTTCACTTTCATCCAGAATACTATACCGATTAAGGTACAGGTACAATAGGTATGCCAGAGAGAGGATCATAATTAAATACACGTGCCCCCCATCCTTGATCAGCCACCGCCAAAGTTTTGTCAACATGTTTATCTAATATGAATCTTTCATCAATATTTCATCAAAAACATTGAAGTAAGTCTTCATCTGTTAAAAAGAAAAGGAAAAATACTCAAAATGAATAATGTGGATAAAATGTCACATTCAATGCCACGAATACTGAAGATTATGAAAGAAATAAATTACCATTGGTTTGAATTGTTTCTTGAAAAACTTATCTTCTCCAATCGTTAAAACTAAAGACATCTACTTCCGCGTTTATGCATTGACATTATTTTAAAAGTAAACAATTCATCAGGTAGAAAAAATTGACATAACTGACAAATAGGCTGAAACAATGAATATTTTAAATGGCTGTTTAATCACATGTTATGCATGTCTCCATATGTTTCATGTACAATTAACATATAAATAGTAAAGATCTTACCTGTGTTTGATTAAAGATACCGCTACAGTCCTTAAGTAATTTACATCCGGTGCTTTATAAGATACCAAATGACAAAATTTGTATCACAGATTAGTTAAACAGTCGAATAACATCATCTCCATTTGAGGCATTTATAGTTTTGTGTGTACATTTTAACATATAAACATGTTCTTCTTATAAAGTTTATCAGATTAAACCACGACAAAACACTCAGGTAAATTTAAAGCTTGTGACATGCAACGTATATTGCAAGGTCGTCAGAAGTATGGGATAGCATACACATGTAATTTTGTTTGGTTTTTCAATTTGGTTATCTAATGTAAATTTCATTATTTTAATGTTTAAATAAATGGTTTGCTTTGAAAAAATGTATCAAATGTCTGATATTTAAAAGTTAATGTAAATTATCACTTAGATGTAATTTAAACTCAAAATTATGACCATATTTGATTTAAGGGGGCCAACTGTAATTTTCATTGCGCAGTATTTCGCGCATATCATTGTAAAATGAAGCGTATTAACTGTTTTAAAGCAACTTTTTTCGCTTAATTAATATTTACATCCTTTATATAACACTACTGAAAGCAAGCGTTTTTATAACTGTATAAATACAGGTAAAATGTTCGTATGGATAAACGTTCGACGTAATTTCTCAGTGACGTCATAAAGGGTCGACGCACGTTCAGTGGATTACATACATGCCGTTGGGCTTGAAAAATAATGCATTTCACACGTTAAAAGTTACAATTAGGCAAATTTAAAGTTTGAATAAGTCACAAATGTAAATATAAGTAATAAGGTATCATTTTTTGAGTTTTACTGGGATGTAAAACGGGTCGGCACATTATCAAATCTTCCATAAAGCCCTTCGGGCTTTATGGGATTTGATCACGTGACCAACCCGTTTTACATCCCAATAAAACTCAAAAAATGATACCTTATTTCTTAAATAAAATTAAACAAAATTAAGAAATTACAGGTTTCAAAATGAAATTACGATTTTATATTGCTGATTTTTCAACCGATTTTGCAACTGATAGGTCAGATGACGTCGTTACAGTGTCTTTTGACGTTATGATAAACTGAAGTTCTTAAAGAAAGGGGTAATAAAAATGTTATTTAAGAAAAAGTAATAAACATACGCTTTTGAAATTTCAAATATAGAAATTTGAGAATATTTCCATATTTTTATTATATTTTCAGATAAATCCTTTGTGCCCGTCACATTTCGTAGTACTCCATAAAAACAGGAAAATTAGTTAATTTTTTGGCATTTTGAGATGCCCCCTCTGGTAACAAGACGGTAGAATTTTTTTTATTTCTTACATATAATGTACATTACAGTAATACTCATCAAATATTATAGTTTGAAAAAGTCTATTGTAGTATTTGTATAACTTTAAAGTGTTAAAATTGGCATCTAATCCTATAGTAAATGTACCTGTATTTTGAGACGATCCCTTAACAATACCTGGAGGTAGATTTTCCCAAAACTTGCCATGTACACTGAAGTTTATGTAAAGTATATATGGTATAAATATGAAGAGTTTCGCTACTGTAGTTTTCACACATTAAAACGATAAGGATTTAAATCAGCAGCGGCTGATTGCAGCAGCAATACCACTTACATCTGACTCAGATAAAATTAATAAATGGGCTTCAACATGGGCTGTGGATTTTAATCCAACTAAAACCTGTAAGAGCAAGGTATGGTTTCTATACAAATCTTGCCCTGTGATTTTCAAAAAAGTAAAACTAGTGTAAAAGATGAAAACTAATGCTTTCTGAATCATTGAAATTCCATGGAGAAAAATCAGCATTTTCCTCTCACGTGTTTTAAATGCTAATTGTGACGTCATAAACATGTGTATTTTCACGTATTTTCTTCAAAAGTTGCAGAAGACACCAATTTTCAATGAAATTTTCTTTTAGAAAATATTGTCCACAGGCATCGCCCACAAAGATTTTGAGATATGTAAATTTTTTTATTGTTTTTTGCACAACATATAAAAAATTAAAGTGGGCGACGGCTGTGGACACTATTTTCTAAAGTAAAATTACCCTTGAAATTTGTTAATTTGAGGCTTTTTCTGTCAAGAATACAAATATGCATCACATTTATAACGTCATAATTGCAGAATGATAATTCTTTGTGCCATATTCTTTCCTGATTTATCAAAGTCATATACTTAACTAATATTTAAGCCAGTTTCAAAACTTTTCGATGACATTACATTTTAAGGGCACAATAAAGCTAAAACCATACCCTCTTTAAATTTTACAAGTTCAAATGACCATCCCCAGTCCATTTTGGCTTTAATGGTAGTATTATTAGTGAACCTAGAACACACTGTCATTTTGGACTTCTTTTTCAAAGTGATGCCAAATTATCATTTCATATAAATATTTATATAAAAAAGCTTGTTCTCGGCTAAATCTTTTAAGAATGTTGAAACATCTACTAGATAGAAGTGCTTTGGTAAAAGTCTATTTTGCTTTTATTCGACCCATTCTAGAATATGGTGGCATTGTTTGGGATAATTGCTCACAAGTACTTTCAAATCTTTTAGAAAATATTCAAGTAGATGCTGCCCGAATAATAACAGGACTTAGGCAAAAATTAATCTAGAAATGCTCTGTATTTAGAATTAGGTTGGGAAGCATTAGATAAGAGAAGGGAAAGACAAAAACTCTTATTATTTTATAAAACTGTGTATGGTATATAGCCCCTCTCTATTTACAAGAAATGGTCCTACCTTTTATACCAACAAATCATAGTTACAATCTTAGAAAGATTGGTAATTTAATTTTTGTCATACCTCAAGCAAGGACAGTCTTATATTTCAACAGTTTTCTGGCTTCTGCTAATTAATTATGGAACAATTTACCACTAGAAACAAAATGCATTGAATCTTCTTCAAATTTTAAGAATGTCTTACTGTAGATAGAATAAAGGATGTCAAGATCTTTGCTAGTAATCGCAAGGAAAACATTATACATTGTCAAATAAGAAATGAATCACCTGTACATGTATATAATCAGTATCTAAGTAAAGTGCGGATACCTTAACGAGGATAACTAGCTTTGTTTTCTTAGATTGCCCTGCCAATAATAATCAGAGAATGGTCTTTTTGAAAGCCTTGAAAGAGTATAATAGAATTAAAAACCCTGTCTCCTGATCAAATTTTGAATACTTTGCTATTTAGTGATAGGCAATTACCTCATAAAATTAACTGTTCAGTTTTTGACACAGTCCAACTGTACATCAAGTCTTCGAAAAGATTTTGATTTTTATATCAAATTTGAGGACAGATGATATAAACGAACTTTTGTCAAAAATTTTGAAATATCAACTTGAATCATGTTTATGGAAGTAAAATGAACAAGTTTAACCGTATATTTTTAATTTTTCATTGAAAGTTTCACAAAAATGGGATTTGAAGTGACGAAAATTTAAATAGATTATGAAGTACGGTTGGTGAAAGGTACAGTTTTGAACATCATGGAAGGTTTACAATTTCTTAATATTTTATGAATTTATTATTTGCGTCATTTACAACAGCAATAGGCCAAAAATATATACCAATCCAGACATCCATTTTTTGTTTGTATCACCTGTCTTTCAGTTTAAATAAATCCTGATATTTTTATACTTACTTCAAGTCTGATCAATTCCATGTATATGTTGTATTTTTCCTGGGATATTTGTCTTTGCACTTTCTTTTTTTTCTTTTTTATTATTCAGTGTTGTTGCTTGCTACGAATTTATTTATCTTTTGATGTTGCTATTTTTTCTTCTCTTTCCTTTTTATTTGTATTTTTCAATGCATATTTGTATTTGCACTTTATCTATTTACTTATTCTGTTTTGTTGTTTGTTTGCACTCTTTTATTTTCTTGTCATTATACTGTATAGTGAGTATACAAACTTAATAATAACACTTATGTATGATTTAATTAATCTAATTATATTTTATTTCTTTTTCCCATTTCCAGTTAAGAAAAGAAATTAATGTAACATATTAGAATTTTTTTCATCTTTGTAAACCACTGTCAATTCTTAACATTTGTAACCTTGACCTTGGAGAGGACTTATATAGACCATGCCTGATGTCTAGTCCAATTATGTAATCTGACTTTACATAATAAAATATTGATTAAATTAAATTAAGGATTTAATATAAATTCAGCAAACACGAAGTCATTTAACGCATGAGGCCTGAAGAACCCTTACATGTATGTCGTATATGTTGTCCATGTTATAATGTCTGCTGTCGCATAAAATCAGTTAAAATTTCAAAACAGAGATGAACATATGTCATTTTTCACACTTTATTAAGCAAGATTACAACTTTAAAAAACGTAGAAAAAACAATCGCACATTCTTTGCAACATGATAATCAATTTCAGGATAAGCATGGTAAGAGCAATATATTTTTTAAAGATAAAATTGCAATATAACAAAAGATGACGATACTGAGAATAGCATGTTGAGTATTAATACTTAATACTTCTATCATCACATGAATCTCTAAACTAAGTCACTCAATGGACGAGTCTAGCAGTTAGAGGAGCATCCTCTTCGCTTGAGAAGCTTGAGCAGGCGTATGAACGGTAACTCAATCCCCACTGAGAACAAAGTACCGACGGCAAACGACGAAATTAGATGGCCAAGGAACATGTATGCCTGGAAATAAATAATTAACGAAGCCACTGAGTCGTAAGATTAATTACATCCTCCTTAAAAGAAAAATTACTTTTTCACTTAAATAGTAGAGCTGAAATTGTTAAAATAACTTTTAAAGGGAATATTACATGTACTATAGACAAATTGCTATTTTTTATACTACAGTAAAATTTGCGTCAGTGTTATCTTAAGTAAAATAATGTTTGTTAAATTTCATTTTTGTCGTACTCTGATTAAAAATCTACTTGTAGTATACAAAATAAATCCATTATAAAGGAAAAGATAAAGGTCATATTCTCTAGCTTTGTATACTTGAAATTATTTGGTTTTGAAGTCTTTTTTTGTGAACGATATTTATATTTTTCGTATCTAGATGAACTACTTACCATTTCTAGGTTGTTCATGTAAATTAAAACCTTCTTATTATAGACAAAGGCCACCATGACGACTGGGTGAATGAGATAGACAACATATGATAACCTGGACAGGGGAAGAAACCCTCGCCATGACAGAATCCAGTTCACAATTCCTATAGATAGACAAATGTATTTAAAAATGTTTTGTGTCAGCTTGACAGAAAAACAATTCATAATTCCTATATACTAGTAGACAAATATATATTTTATGTTATGCGTGATAATGAAGAGTGAGAGACCCCCACCCACCCTTAAAAATTGAAACATTGTATCATAAGTTTATAATATTTTGTAACGGTTTTAGCGCAATTTCTGCAAAACAAAACAACATACCACCATGATCTTTAGCACATGCAAAAATCACCCAAGAGAGAGCCAATGCCCAGACAACGTGGGATACAGCTTCATACACCTCCGACTGGAGGGGGGTCCAGGAATAGCCACCCTCGCGGTGCTTTGTGAAGGGTGAGTAGGCCAGGGTTATCATTAAACCCAAAGAAAATAGCCATCCAAAAAGATTGACAACCTATAGTAATATAACATTGTCAAAAAAATCTTTCTCTATAGAATAAAGCATTTAAAAAAAAAACCTTTGACGATTTCTTCTTAAATAAAAGATAATTATTATAATTAACAGCCAATACATGTAGAATGAAAGTCAACTGTCACAAAATATAAGAAACAATATTCTTTATTTTGATATTTACCTTGTTCATTTTGACTTTTTCTCTAGAATCGTAAGTATCAAATACGAATCCCAAAAGAATACCGATGCAGTAGACACCCACTCGGCACCACGGGGTGATAAAGACATTGTTCCAATAGTCTCCACCATCAGACATCGTCCTTTGGTAAGATTAAAAGGTTACATTTAAAAAAAATATTTAGAAGTTTACAGCTTGCATTTTTGTTCACATCTTAAAAAAAAAATTCGTCAATATATCGTTATTTTCATTCTTTAAATTGATTTTGTATTTACGAATAGTTTTATTATTCTTGAATATCATAAAATGAGGGGATAACTCACGACATGATGTCTCCAGTGTACATTTTCTCTTTGATCGCTGTCGCAACAACGCTTGCTGCCAAAAGGAGCCCAACTATAACCGACCCAAGAACTGAGGACCTTCAATGTGAAATTAGCTAATTAGTCGTTAAAATTAGTTAATCTGAATATTTATATTTCAAAGGATATCAGGCTAAGATTTTAAAATTTTAAAACGTACAGGTTTTAAGCTTGCATTATCATAAACCATCTTATTTAATTCATAGATAATAGTACAGTAATTTTTTTACTTTGTGGGAATTAAACGTCCTTCAAAGTTTATCAATTGTAATTAATTGGTTACCCGTATACATTGTATATTCATTAGAATAAGACGATAGACTATTTTTGAATACTTACCATAAATAAAATACAATGAGTATTGGTGTTATAAGGTAGAACTGCATTAAGCATGCTAGAAACCAAGACCAGGGCATGCACTAAAATGGTAAAGAAAGTCAGAATAAGAAGAATATACAAGATATACCGTAAATCTGGAAATTTTTGCTGTAGATAAATTTTTAGCAAATTTGCGAGTTCGTTGCATTCGCAAAAATATTTTTCTTAAAAATAAATTACCTTTAAGAAAATGTAAACAAAGCAGTGGTCATTCGCAAAATTTTGAAACGTAAAAATTAATCAACAGCATTTTGACCCGAATTCGCAAAATAAAATCGACGTAAAAATTTCCAGATTTACGGTATGATATTTCTATGAATATGTGCACTTCAGTGTACGGAGTGTTTCAAAACATCTGTTAACTCCTGCATATATAAAACAAGAATATGATAAAGAAGAAATACCTGTTCAAAAGCTGTATTCCCTGTCGTTCCTACGATATTGTTTATGTATAGTATATGATGCCACCAGTTTTCCTTACACTTGTCCGCAACAGCAATGGACTGCGGATACAAGGGACTGTCCCCAAGGTAATGATAGAAACACGTGTATACCATCATAATGATTATATAAACAGGGGTTATTCTGAAAGTAAATAGAATATACATGTATATAGAATATATCATCAATAATTAAGCATTTATATATATATACTATTTCATTTTAATTTCATAAATACAATGCATTCTGTAAACTTAAAATACCTTATATATCTGTTAGAATAGAATCCAACGATTGACTGCCATTTCAGTTTTTGTTTTCGTGTGCATTTTCGAAGGAATCGATAAGTCACTAAAAATCCACTGTGACGAAAAACGTACAAGGTATTAACAAATAATCAATATTTTAAAATAATCAATTTTAAAACAAACAAAAAAGTCAACCACCCCCTCAAAAGAAACGAAACAAAATACGGCCTAATGATCTTCTTTTAAAAATATGTTTATTGAAAATAAGGAGATAACGAACAGTTTTTACGTTCTAATTCCATTTAAAACAATGCAAATTGGATGCAGAGCAAACAAGGACTTCTAATTATTTATGGCGTTCAACAAGTCACTTAATCTAGTGTATTGTATATTTTCAATGGTATCCTTTTATGATAATCTCCCAACTATAGGTCAGAGAGCCATATTGCTAATTCCCTTATTATCGTATCTTTCATTCTTTTTCCCCTTCTTTCTTTACCTGATGACGAAGAAAGAATCGATGGCAAAGGGTGAGGAGAAAACAGCTTGAAAAGTGAACTGCTTTAGCATATTCAATCCTTCCAACAAGTTACCTACAAAAGTAAGAAAATCCTGCCTCGTAAACATACAGTTGTCACTTCATTATTAGAACAAATCTCCTGTCAGAAAAGGAGGAATAATAGCTATCGAGGATCAGAATAGTAAAACATCGTACGCGTACAATTTATATCATTTCTATATTGTAGATTAAATGTTGGAACATTTACACAATAAATTGTAACTTTAGGCGAAGAAATTATATAGTTGTGGCTAATGGATCTTTTACTTTCATTTGTTTGTTTGTTTGTCATTGTTTGTTTTGTTTGTTTTTTTTATTTCAAAAACACATTTTCAACAAACCTGTAACTGGTGATTTATTTAGGGACAGAGCTGCATACAGAAATGTGTCCCCTAAAACAAGCCATGCGAGACTCAGAAATCGTATACCGTGAAGACATTGGATGGAATCTTTTGGATGATCAAACGACAAAACATCGGGTAAGTTTTGGTACAACGAAAAGCTCTTTGTGACACCTTCCTTAGCGCCTGGAAATGATAAAGCATTTGTTTCAAAAGCATATGAACCAAATCAATTGAAAACAAACTTCATTGTTAAATTTTCTTATTATAAAAAAAAACTGTGAGGTTTTGATGGATTCGAAAGAGGGGAAGTTACAAAATACACCAACTTTTATATTCTTAAATGTTTTCTTTAAAACACCTTCATATTTTTCAGTGGATGATTTGTCCAAAGACTCGATATCAACGTCTTCAGAGTGCAAATGTCCATTTCCCGTTGTGTGTCCATTCCTCTTTTCGGTTGAAAATTGAGTTTCTTTCATTTCTGATTCATATCCTCTGTTGTCATAAGCTTCAGGCAGTGAGGGAGAAAATACTCTTAACTCCTCGTCGTCTTCCGAGAACCGATAGATGTGAAATAAAGTCGCCATTATGCAAACGAATGCAACCACGCAGAGGATAATTCTAAAATGTAGCCGATATTAATGACAGGATTACTGATAAATCCTTCTCTTTTAACAAACTATGAATGGTCTACATCCACGAGAGGAAGTATTTTTTGTTTGTTTACATACTTACATAACAATGATAGCATCTCTGTCTTTTTCCAGTGAATACGAGTTGGAACATTCCACAGATGGTGCTAAGTTAAAGCTTTTTAGGAGGCCTAAATTCAGAATACTAGGTAAGTGTTTCTTATGCCAATGCTTTAGAGTGACAAATAATATTTTTAGTTGTACACATACCCCAAAAGATGAACAATATAACTATATCTATATTGCAGTTTAAATTTAAGTACTCACCTAATTTAAATAATTCTTTTACGTCTCCTTCCTGACAAGAAGCTGGTAGACACAACCCCTCTGTCAGTGTAATGGGAACGCCATACGTGTTCTGTCAATAAAGGAAACTAATCATTAGAAAAGAATAACATCATATATTTACACATGAATCTATGTAATGGACAACAATCATACCACATCTCCTATCAAAGATGTGACGGATGCCATTAGACTGTCTGGAATATCGAAGGTCGCCCTGCAGTATCTGGTGTCAGTGGTGGTCAGTTGTCCACCGTCACTGCTACTCTGTGGCGTGATGGACAGGCACTGATCATAGGAGCCAATAAAATGAAGATTACCAGTGAGTGTTCCAGTAGGGGGTTTGCCAGCAGAATCGAACACTGAAATAAGTATTAAATATTGAAAATAAATAATATTATTTTGTTTTGAATTGTATATCTTCGAAGTATTTGACAATGAAAAGATGAGCGTGCAAGAGAGAGAAAATACTTCTTACTTTGAACAGCCCATTTTTTTCCTCGAAGAAGGTTGTTCAAGAATATCATAGAGTCACTGTAACACTGGTCTGTAAGAGTTGATCTTTGAGGTTTTGGAAAAACATTTTCCATAGGCGTAAGAATAGTTTGTAGGATACCCACACCAAGCTGTAGTAGACTGGATTGACTCATTTTTGTGTCCGATGTACTGTTTGCTGTTACTTGCAATTGAGACCTTATGTCAGACTGTATCTGTTTTATAATTACACGTGAAATCTTTTCACCGTTGCTTTTTACAAATTCTTTGATCTGTTGACCTATACCAAAACTGGGAAGTAAGGAATCCAGCACTACATCCAATGACAACATTCCTGTATGTAGCAGGTCAAATCGTGATATAAATCCCGCCATGAAAGGGTCTATTCCACTTGTATTCAGACCAGTGATATTGACATGGTTTACTTCATTCACAACTACCCGGGTGACATTCAATAGCAGTTCACTCTTGAGGACTTCTGGTATTTTGTCTAAAACCCATGGCAGCAGGAAACGATTGATTTCTGGTCTGATCTTAACAACGGATATCAATGGTAATGCACCTAACAATATTTTCTCAAGTTTATTGAATAGTTCAGGCTGTTGAATTAAAATATCTGCCATTAAACCTATCTTCTGTGTGATATTCATCTGACGTATAATAGTTTCTATTGAAACTGATTGAGCTGTTGAGTGATTGAGTGATTGAACTGTTGAGCTGTGATTGAACTGTTCAGACTGTATTTGTTTAATAATGACATGAGAAATCTTTTCACCGAAAATTGTTACAAATTCTTTGATCTGTTGACCTATACCAAAACTAGGAAGTAAGGAATCCAGCACGACATCCAACGACAACATTCCCGTATGTACCAGGTCAAATCGTGATATAAACCCCGCCATGAAAGGGTCTATTCCACTTGTATTTAGACCAGTGATATTGACATGGTTTACTTCATTCACAACTACACGGGTGACATTCAAAAGCAGTTCACTTTTGAGGACTTCTGGTATTTTGTCTAAAACCCACGGCAGCAGGAAACGATTGATTTCTGGTCTGATCTTAACAACGGATACCAATGGTAATGCACCTAACAAGATTTTCTCAAGTTTATTGTAAAGTACAGGAGTGCGAATTAAAAAGTCTGCCATCAAAGCTATCTTAGCTGTTGTATTCATCTGATTTATTGCAGCTACTATTCCATCTAGAGACTGTGATTGAACTGTTGGTATGGTTCCCCAGCTGACCAGTACAAACAAGCTTAGCGCTCCAGCAAGCACAGAAAGTCTCATCCTTACCGGTCTGAAAGTAACAAATATATTAACGTTTGCTTTTAAGCTTTCAAGGATAGCAATAATTTTTCTTTTTCTGTCATTGTGGATTAATTCTTCAGTGTCTTTTTAAAAACGTATGATTAAATGTATCAAACTAACTTGTCGGAGGACTTTTGTTTTGTAATTGACGAGATGTTTAATGATGTTTCTTTTTATGTATATCTATATATAACGTTCGGTCTTACTCTCAAAGTTCTTATTTGAAATTTTCTTTGTCTTTATTAAAATCTGAACAACATAGTTCAATTTAGTGAGCTCATTGCTCACAGTACCTCTAGTTTATTCTTGTTTTATTAAAATCGAACAACATCTCAAAAATCTACCTCACATGCATATTTTGTTTGACTCATGTTCATGAAACGTTTCCTGGAGGCATTGAAAGTTTCCAATAGTTCAATGCTTTTGTACTTTCCTCTCTGTGCTTGTGAAAATTTGGCAAAATTTAGATGAATCTCTCTATATATATATATGGCTTTCATATTTTACATATTACCTACTTACTGAATGTGAGGAGAAACAATAACAAAATATTGAAATTAATATATATCGGTATAAAAATTTATATGAGATTCTGGTAGATTCATTCGATTAAACCATACTTCTGCTAGAACTGTGACAAGTTTTAAGTTTAACATGCAATGGATGTATGTATGTAACAAACCTATTTCTGTATCAAAGTCTTTCTTCCATAAACATCGACAGTTATTACCATTTATGAAGAGAACTTCACAAGTTGTTATGACTTGTGTTAAAGGGACATGGGCACAGTTTCAAATGATTTTATAAAAGTACATGTAACTTTAATGTTTATAATTCCTAATTAAGGCTATTCAAATGATTTGAACATCATTTGTTGTATTATAAAGGAGATACAGAACTTAAAAATCCTTCATAATGTAAACAAGGCCTGTGCCTTGTTTTTGTTTACATATAGAAAATATTATATTATAAGAAAAAGGATTCAACAAAAAACACTAGAAACTGTCTTAACGTATTTAGAATTAACTTCTATATTGAAAAAAATCTGCTTTGAACGGACATATTTAATATAATTAATCTATGCAAACAAATTCATGGCACGAGCCTTGTTAGCATAACAAATTTTTGGAGCTCCAGATATGTCTTGTGTTCTCATGATCATTAAAAATACTTTAGTTAAGTATTTGTAAACATAAAAAAATGGAAAAATAAATTTAATTTTTTTTTTAAATCCATGTCCCTTAATTAAAACAATAGAATCTTTTTTTCCCGTAAATTTGATTGTCCAATTTTTATCAAAATTAATGTGTAACACTTTTAAAATTTCACAAATTATTTTTTTTTAATTTTATGCTAAATGATTCTAATTTACTAAATTTACTTTCCTTCCAAGATTCTCAAAAATTCTATTTGTTCAAAATACTCTGGATTTGGTTTTGCTGTTCATGTACATGTAGATTTCACGTAGTCAAAGGTACATGATAATGTCAACAACAGATTCAGAGAAAAGGGCTGTCTCTGATACTGATACCTACATTTTCTGGATTAACATTTTAATCAGCGGAAAATTCGTATCTAGTAAAGAATTCATTTTTGTCCATTTATTTTAAAGGAATGAAACTAAAAATGTACAAGCGTTTACGATTTATTATTTTAGTTCTTAAGGCAAGTTCCTATGATCAATGAGTAGATAAATAAATAGGGATTTTATAAACAAGATTTACGGTGATAATATGTATACAAATACGTACAGTTTTATAACCCAGAAAAAATATCAATATTTACCTACAGGTATATTGATATCATCATTATCAATATGACCCACATTTTCTGAGTAAACAAAACAAAGCAAGATCGTAAACCATTTTTTTTTCAATTTTTCAATTTTTAATGGGGAAATTTAGTAAAGTTAATGTTATTTTAACAGGTAGGAAAAGTTTTTGAAAATGAAAATGCATCTTTATTGTGATTAAAGAAAGGAAAACTCCTTCTTTCAACACCTCATTAAATTTGCTTATTATGTTTGCAAGTCTAATTATTTTTTATCGTCCTTATAGGAACTTGGATTTAATTCTGCAAGTGGTTATCCAACTTAATATCAGGAGGAAATTCTTTTTTAACCATACCCATACTTGGTTCCCAAACTGCATAAAAATCCTTAAGATACCTAACGGGTTCGTTTAAATATTTGACATCGCCTCTTTCTACTCCTCATCTAATACATTGAAATAAAAAAAAATAGGAGAACAATACAACGCTATTTTCAAAATGTTTTGTTTATTGAAAGTAGATAAAATCTGCAAGAAACTTTTAGAAAATTCGAATTCATAAAATGTTACCAAAGTCAATATTACAATTATTGACTTTTGATGAGGTCTACTCGTGACTGATGCAGGTATTGATTTACCGAGGCCGAAGGCCGAGGTTAACTAATACTTGACCAGGTCCGTATATTTACGAGTAGACCGAATTCAAAAGTCACTACATGTAACCGTTTTATTAAATAATACCGTCTTCCAAGAAAGACGGCAATAATCAGGAATTTTTTCAGGAGCATTTTTGGCACTTTAACTCTTGTCACCATCAAATATAAACACTCATAATATAATGTGCAGTGTAACAGCACTGGTTCCTCAGGTTCATTCTACCTATTCCTACTTTGTGAAAATCATGTAGAAAAAGGTAAGATTTTATGTGGGAATAGGTGGAATTTTGTGTAAACAAATAATTAACTATGTTCTTAAATTTAGGTATTAAGTTGCTTTTTCTTGTAAGATCTTTTTATTATTTCAAAAATCCGAAAAAAAAATCATATTTTCTCATAGATGTATTCATTATTTTCTGTCTTTAAATGTACAAAATACAGGTAAATCTAAACATCTATTGTTTGTTATTTGGTAATAGGTGGAATTGAGATTTTTAAAAAGTGGGAATAGCTAGAAGACACCACAGCACTTTATAATTAATTAATTTTGACACCTTAAAATTGTTTTAAAGTGGACGACAATATTATTAAACAATAATACTCAACTATTTTACCTACGAAAGTAGTTAAGTCTATTTGGTACTGGCGTCTCCCATGTTTACATTCACAACGAAACATGCTTTAAGACGCCCGATTTGATTGGTCGAAGAAAATGTAAGCAAATACATGGTTGGTCAAGAGGAAGAACCCGAATAAACCTCCCAGAACGTCATTTGAGGTGAACTCACTCTGAGGCACATCACACACAAAAGGCCTCTTGACCAATCAGAGAGCATCAAAATTCCTGATTATTTAATAATAAAAAACTGAAGCACTATGCAGTCATTCCCCCTTCGGCCTAATTTATAAATCATAATAATATTATGTTAATTAAATTACTTTCTGATTGTACATATTAGTAATTTCCGTTAAGTGTAAAGTTTTGCATTACGTCACGACCTTTTTCGACAGATGCATCCAGCGTAAACAATTCACGTCCCTGCTGTGTGATTGGTCAACTCATATTATCAACATTGACACGGAAATAGTCTGTTGCACGAGCAACCAATCAGGGAATAGAAGAAAGTTCCAGTCGTAAAGTTTGCGGTTAGGAGGCGTCTACTATTTTCCTTGAGCGCAATTATCATCATAGGGTTTAATGTAATGCGCAACTTCACACTTAACTGAAATTACTAATATAAGTAATCCAGGTCGTACGCGTGGCGCAGTGGTTAGGGTGTTGATTAAGGAGTTGATCCTTACGTTGAGGGTTCTATCCTACAGTGGGATGTTGATACCGTATAAACTGAGGTCAAATGTCGCAATAGCCACTGAAAAAAAGATAGACCCTTCACTGCTCAAAGACCTTATACGCAAGCGCCGAGTACAGGTGATCGCCAAGACCCATGGGCCTTGTTTTCGAGAAACAAGGAAATACACATGTACTTGTACATGTATATGTGCTACAACCAAAATCCGAGAGGATACCGGTTTTGTTCTATTAAAATGGTCCTTATCGATAGCCTCCAGATGCACCTATGTTAAAAATTTCTCAGTGAACCTTCACTAAATCTGTCCATAATAGGAATTTCTTTTTAAGTGAGTTAAAACAACTTTTAAAGGAAATGCTAGAACATGATTTTATAGATTAAGACTTAAAAGATGCCATATGAAAATACATACCTTAATGAAGTAGTGGAGAAAGAGAGCAATTATTGTAAGAACACCTTTTGTTGTTATATTTCGTCTAATTTGACCTCGTTAAGGTGTGCGACTTGAAGGTTTGCCTCTTTATTACGCGGTCACTTTTATCAATGGTAGTTTACTTAGTCTGATAGCGTAATTACACATGCAGCAACGAACGAAGGAAAAACAAGAAAAGTAAAAAAAAAAAATGGGTCAGATTAAAAAGGTTTAACTGTGGAAACAAAATTTATCAGATAAAAGTTAAGACCCACTGAAGGTTTTCATTCAAATGTAAATTTGAAAATTATGTGATAAATTATTTTAGCAAATTTCGACAATTTTTCTATGTACAATTGATTAAAATTACAAACTTACTTAAGATAGAGTACATCGGAATTTTGAAGTAATCATTTAACTAGTAACTTTGTTTGGACGACCTTCCCAAATTTTGCAAAAGATCATAGTGTAACATCGCTGATAAAGTTATGATCAAAGTATAAATTATCCGCGATTACACAGTTTAAGATCATTGTCAACTGCGTCTTTATCATAGGGATAAGTTTAAGGACAATACTTCACAAATCATGACCACATCATGATTTCTTTTTTTTTCTTCGTTAGACACCTTTAAGAAATTATGGACAATATCAATCGCATAATCTTCAAAACTATGGAAGCTCAAGTTGTTACTTCCTCTTTGAATAGATACATACGATATTTACATATACTAGTACATGTGTTTAATACTTTTCCTTAAATCTATGATTGAAGTTTGCATGGGAAAAAATAAATAATTCTTTATATTCGCCCAGTTTGTTTGTTAATTAAATGTAAGTATGGGTTTCGATCCATCAATTTCTGTCATTTAAATTCAAAAGTATACCTCAGTCATACGTTATTGAGAATTCGACGTCATTATTACATCTCTGCAAAAAAAAAAAAATGATGAAAAGGTGATGATTCAAAGCTTCTTTGACATGTTACATTCATCATTATAAACATGTATCAATTTTGGGGGGAAAAGTATTTATTTTTATTTCATTGAGTTGTTTATAAACTACCTGTTTTTCTTTTCTCAGGTTTGGCGTTTTAGGGAAGTGTCCTCAAATGATGAAATCGAACAAACATCAAAATGAGATTGAGTTATAAAATATACGAAAATAAATAAATAATTTTATTATACTTTTATAATGATTATCTAAATTGGAAGCATTTAGTAAAAAATATTTTTAGTGGCCACTTACAGCCACCATAGTCGTGAAACAAACTTAGCCTTGAAAATGGAACCTTCAGTTCACATCTTACAAGTACAACATCCGTTCCTTTACATTACGATCTGTTTGTCATAATCTCTATCTTCATAAAGTTCAGACTTGTTTTCTGTCCACTCCTTCAACTTTATTTATTCACATTTACACAGTATTAGTTTATCAGAACAGTGTTTTCATGAATTCAATCAGAAATGAAGCAATTAATCTTCTGTCTTAAGGACAGACGGAACGTTCCTCAATAATATATAATTTTTTCCAAGATTTTGTCATTGAAGAATTACTACTTTGACATGTTTACTGACAAAAAATTGAGGTATCTTACCGGGCATCAGATACCAGATGATGGCATTTCTTATAATCCTTTAAGGAAAAAACTTAATTTGCCAAAATCACATTTTCATTGTTTGAAATTTTTAAATACAATTAGAAACCGGTTTAGGAATCAGAGAGTAATTGAAACGTACATTTTTCATACATTATGGAGATATATAAAACAGATTTTTGGGGAACGTCTCCTCTGACCTTAATATAATGTATTTTTGTAATTTACGTGGTGGAAGTAAATATATATATAACAATTTTCCATTTATGTTGATTCTTCTACCCGGTAAATTCAAAAATTACAATACCGAGTATGGCACTTCATTGAAGTTGAATTCTGTGCGTGTATTGATAAGAATAGTAACGAGGCATCGTGACTATTAACCATAAAGAACTCATGACACACAGGTACAGAAATAACCTTGATGTACACTACAGTGTATATCTTTGTGACATATTGTTAAAAACAAGGAAATCTACTGTTAAATCAGTTATTTCAAAATGAAATTGTTTGACCTTTCTCTACACTCCAGGTAAAAAATAAATATACTTTAGCAAATACACTATAATTTGATTAAATGCTATTGTTCACTGCCCTTTGAAAGAACGACAAAAACAAATCATAAAAAAAACAACCAAATTATAATCCCAGATAAGAAACAACAAAACGAAAGGTTGATCAAGCAGAATTGCTATGTTTTGTTTCAGTAAAGCACTGTAATATAATACAAGTAAGTTGGTTGTAAAAAGTCAAATCAAAAATGGCCAGCACAAAAACATATCTTTGCTCCTACCCCTATATACAGACATGCAGAGAAAACTTTAAAAAGTCGATCACCATGCATCGTCTTTAGTCGGAAACAATAAAATCTAGGTCAAGATCGAGAATTTTTACCGAACTATAAAAAGATAATCATAAATATATACGTATATAACATGAAATCAAGAGAAAACAAATAAAAACAAATCTAGTTCAAAGTTCAAAGGTCCTAGAAACAATATAAATCGGTAGCAGAGCCAATACGGACGACTAACAACATTAGAAGTCGACTGGTCGTGTCCGCAATGTCTTCTTTTAATTGTGACAGTCAGAATCTGGCAAACAGATAAAATTCAAGTTACTTATTGATAGACTGCATTTGTTTACAATTCATTGTATCGACCATAGAACTTGCAAAAAGTGACTTTCAACGAAGTCAAAGAAATTGTTGATACATTTTTACAGCACATTCAATGTCAATTGTTTTTCTCGATTTTTGAAATTGTTCGTATGTAGAGCGTGCTTTTTTTCAAGTTCACTGGGATATATCGAGTCGACATACGATTGGAAGTAATTATTGTTAAATGTTAATATGTCGTCGATATACTGTATATCTAAATATCTCAATTAAATCATCTTAGTTTTAAATGTGGTTTCATTATACCTCAGATATATCTTGAACTAGTACATTTACTTGTTATTCAATGAAGCAGTTCTCTCAAGTCTACATGGAGAGAAAATTTTGATTTGAATAGAATTAATTCCTTGTTTTAACGTAAACACATAAAGATTATAGTTTTTGCAGAAAAAATAGGAATAACCCATATACACGGAGTTTTGTACTTTTCTGCAACACCTACAATAATTGTATCGATTACTATATTTATAACTTAATTAAAAAGATTTATCGTGTAACGATTGTGACCACAGCGTAGTCAAATGATTTTCTAAACGATTTTTTCCTTTAAAGACACAATCATCTTTTCACTTAATAAGTTGATAATATTTCTGGATAAAAAATATTCAAGCAAAATATAGAATATTAGTGACAGAATTTAAGAAAATAGTTGTGTTGAACGTAAATACGTACTCATCGAATGAGTTATATCTCTTACTAGAGAGAAAAAGGCGAAAGAAAAAGATTATATGGTTATAGTCCTTGATAACAATTTCATAAAAATTTATTTAGAACAAATTCTCAGATGTCCCGTTTGACAAGGAAAAAATCCTTTGTATAAAATTTGTAATTCTAGTAATTCGCAAGGTCCGTTGTAATTAGAGTATCTTAATGGACCTGTCGACTATTATAGCTTCAATGGAATTAAAATGTTGGCAAGAATCTCTTCTACATGTGTTGACATAAACTAAAGTCATCGCTTAATACCTTTTAACCCTTATCACATTATCATATCGATAAAACAGAGGAATTCGATATTTTACAATAAAAAATTGACAGGATATTAGGTTTGGTACCGTAAATTAATGTTTTGCTGACAATATTAATTGATAATTCTCTTGCCACTATTTAGCATATTATTTTTCAAATACAGTACTTTAAAGTACGAACAATGATAAACAGCAGGTTCCAGTAAATGTTCTACCAAGTCTCTTTCTTTATCCTCACTAAAATATTAACAACATTTAACTACGAAAGTACTGTACAACAAAATATTCGAGAAGTAAATCAAATGTGGATATTTAAAAATTCCAATGAACGTTTAGAAAACTTGAAATCTTCATTTTACCAAAATTAACATAAAAACTTACAGTGTACGACTTTTCAACCTTATATGCAACCACCATTCCCCATGATAAAATTTCGACATCATTGACAGCTGCTTTTTCAATATATGTGGAACTCTTAAATTTACTTAAATTGTTCCTTATCATTGGTTATTTGCAAAATTATTTTGTTAAAGACATTCGGATTGCACACGCAAGTACTCTGAAGTTGATATCAAAAAGATGCTTGAGTTTCTGATTGACAAATATCTGTATGGTTTTTAGAGACCAGGTTTTCCAATAATCTGTTGGAATTCCCATTAGTGCCAATTGTGCCCCGTTTTAAGCAGACTTACTTTTCTATTCTTTGAAGCAGAATTAATTCAAAATCTTGTACATGAGAAAAAGAAAAACTTGTTGTGGATATCAACTCGACATCTAGATAAATCGTTGTCAATTAACAATATATTTTTCCATCCATGTGTTGACACAATATATCCCAGTGAGCTTGAAATACTGGTAAAAGATACCACAGAGTCAGTCTGGTACATTTGTTTCTTATTGGCTATTTTACCCGGAAAAGAATTGATATTTAACCTAACAACACAACTTTATGATACACGTGACTTAAACTTTCCAACCCTCAACTTTCCTTACTTGTGAAGCAGTCTATCCTTATCAACTGAATACGGAGTTTATATCTCTCAGTTGATTAGATATTCGAAAGTATGTTCTACCTATGAAAACTTTCTAGAACGAGAAATTCGAGTATTCAAGATCAAAAGTCCATAAAACAATACAAAATAGGAGCAGAGCAAACACGGACACCCAAACATCAGAGGTGGGATCAGGTGCCACGGAGGATTGAGCATCCCCTACCGACCGGTCACACCCGCCGCGTGCTTCTTGTCAAACACGAAAAAATCCTGGACTAACAATTAGTATGAAAAACTTAAGTCAGCATTTGACTCAATGATAAATTGTATATGCTGACATTGTCATTGTATCGACCATAAAACTTACGAAATGATGACTTTAAGCGAGACTTCTGATATTCTTGTTTCATCAACTTAAAGGATATACAAAAACACGTTTCATCTATAAATTAGTCCTTCTGAAAATGGAAACCATAAATCTTTATCCTCAATAATGAATCACTTCATCCCAGTGTATCTCAGCGATTCCCTCAGATGAAATCAGTAATGTTTGCAATATCTATATAGCGTATTTTTATATCTTTTACTTGATAAATCTCAGCTGTAAGTATGTCAATTTCATTGAACTAAAGCAATAAAAGTGTAAGAGTACAGAAATATAGTGTAGACTACTGACAAGACTTACGAGTGGGCTTTTGTTATAAGCCTAGCTAATATCGATTTCCAAACCCTAAATAATTTTTTTTCAATGTATTGCCCCATGATTATATATTTGCTCACCATCTTTCAAAGCAATAGAAATAATAATAAATGTATAATGCAATTCTTTTTTTCAAAAGTTTACAAAGTGATAATAAAAAGTCTTTAAAATGCCGTTTGCTTTCTTTGACTTAGGTATTTTTGCATGACGCTGTGGGTTTCCACTTTACGACGAACACTCCGAATCCGTGGATATTTGTCTAAAATATTCGGCTGGCCTTGTAAAACGACGTCAAATGCCTCAAAAATAGATATATCCGCAAAAGTGAGCTACAAAGAAAAAGAAATTTGTTCAACTTTCTGTTTTGGTTCTTCTCTAAAAGTCCATTTTCCTAATATTGATCTTTTGTTAAAATACTCGTAGTTTTCCACCAAACTTAAAATTTTACAAAACAAACTCCTCAGTGTTAAGTACACAATTTAAAGTCCCAGATCTTTACTCTCTCACCTTTTTGCCCACTGCCCAGCCATCTGAATTTTTATTAGTGGATATTACTTCGTTGATTCGCTTACAAGACTTATTCACGGTATCCACAAATTGTGCATTTAATGTCTTCTGTGATTCCTATGTAAAGATGACAGATTTTCTTTTTTTAAAAACTATTACTTTAAATAAATTATCTCAAACTGTAAACTTCTACGAGTTTTAAGAATATTTTTAAGAATACTTTTGAAACATTTTAATAATGTGATATCTACATGTACATTGTATATTTCATACCTCATCTTGCGGTCCGAGATAACATTTAAATGCTGCTTCTTTCATCTCTGCAAGATATGTCGTAATTTCATCTACTTTTGATTTATCCAGTAAAGAGTCGCCATCAAGTCCTGAAAATAAACAAGAGTCAAATACAGTTTGAAGAAATATACCTTGTTTTGATCTTCTTTATTGTTTTAGTATTATATTTCGCCCATCATATTTAACATTTGTTTAAGAATCATTTAATGTACTCCACGAAACTCTTACCAAACATTCTAGATAGATGTCGAAATATAACAAGACTTTGGGTTAGAACTGTTCCATCTATTTCTAAATAGGGGAGAGAACCGGCTGGGGTTTCTGTTAAGAAAAAATATTCAGCATGCTTCATTGAAGGAAAAGCTACAGTTATTTGTGTAGATTAAAGGAGTTTTATGACAAAGAAACTAAAATCATTTAGGTCATCAAAAGTATTATCTTTAGAAGGATTTTAATGGAAAATGTCATACTTTAATACTATTTTGAAAAATGTGCTTTTGATTATCTGAATGAGTGAGCACTTCAGTGAATAATAAAAATAATAAACAATATCAAGCAAGAATATTTTTAAGAGAAATAGTGTTTGAAGTGATATCAAAAATAATTAACTTAATTTTTTTTTTTTTTTTTTTTTTTGCTAACCTACAAAGATTTTCCAGGGCAGAAATACCACAAGTGTACATTATATCGACTAAACAATTTTAAAAACTTACTTGCTTTGTACTTTGGCCAGTCAGCTTGAGGTATCCTTTCATCCTGGAAAGGTATCCCCGCCATGGCAAAAAGCATCCTCCCCGGCTCCCCCCTCCCCCGAATATCAAAATAATGGTAAACGTACTTTGGCATGTCGACTCCTCGATTCAATGAACTGAACTGGATTATTCATCAGTCAATTTAATGATTTGTATTTGTTTACCAATTTCGAAATGACCTGGGTCAGTGTTTGAACTGTCACAGATGTCCTAGATTTAACACAGCGCTTTTTAATTTTAATTTCTCTTTGGAGAAAAACGGAGATTTATGGTAAAAATACAATAAGTGCTCTAATCATTTCTCTCTACTTTTTTTAAACATTTTTTTTCTTAATACATAAAATTTCTTCATTTTACCACAAAAGAAAATTTAAATTTTACCTGAAATATTAAAATCTAACTTACTGTAGAAAAAAGTGATAATTTTAAGAAGGTGTTCTATCTTGTTTGTTTGTTTTCTTTAAATCTTTATCCCTTCAAAATCTATCTCTTTTTCTTGGACATCGTCAATTCCCTTGAAAACTGCAATATTTGATTGAACTCATGAGCATTGAAGATTCACTTTCCTGCCAACATGTATTGGCACATTGGGACTTGATTTTTTTAACAGTGTTATATTGCAACAATTTTAAATCTGCAAAGTAAAGTTCAAACCTTTACTCGAAACTCTATCTAATGCGTGGCACAGTAGTCAGAGCGGTTGCTCGTTGGGCGTTGATCCATACGTCAGGGTACGAATACCACTCAGGGACTTAGAGACCACTCTCACATCGTAGTTGATACTGGCACGAAAAATAACCTCAATGCTCAAAAAAAGCCCTGAGTGTCGAGTAAAAGATTAAATTTACAGCCCTTTCCAGAAAGTGGTTGTGTCTCAGTATGAGTGAAACATCGAGAAAGGGACGTTAAGCAAATAAACTAACTAAATTACTAACTAACTAATGCGCTACGTGCTACTGGGCTATACTAGAAGGGATCATGTATTCACCCACAGGCGTATGGAAATTGTAACAAAGAAAAAAGGTTATCAATCATATCCTTATACTTCCATTATATCTTCGGATGATTTTTCCCCTGTTCAATTCGTTTTCTTTAAAACGAGAAGAAAATTATAATTTATCTTTTTATTACATTTTGTATATTAGTGTTAGAGCTAGAAAAATAAACTTAGTATGGCGGTCATCGGTTGGCTTTAAGTTATTTTTTCTCTTGATATATAATGGTAATTGCACTGTTGAAAAACACATTCCAAATGCATCTTTTTTGTATTGACTTGTTGTGTGCACACAAGGGAAAAATAAGGTTATAAATCAAAACAATTTTGATATAGTGTTTACAGGCACGTAGAAGATACATTACCTTTACTATAGAAAATGTATACTGAAAGGAAGTTGGCCCCCCCACATTTCAGCACAGTGTAGTGTTATAAAGAAAATTTGTTTGTTTTTGAAAAAAGTGCAGGATTACTTTGGGCAACTTTTATATATCAGGTAAGAGAAAAAATACGTGCCTGGTTTATATGTATGTTATTTATATAGTGGGATCATGAACAATACATTGATAAACAGCTGCATACTTTGAACATTTTGAAACAAGAATAAAACGTAAGAGTAAAGAAAGAACCATCTCATGTACTTTTAACGCTCTCTCTCTGTGCTTTTGTTTAGAGAAAAATATAAAGTGAACATTTTTTTTCTATTTCTATTTCTCATTTAATATAAATATAAGATTATAAATACAAAAAAAGCTAACTATAAGTTAAATACACATATAATATTAAGAAAAATGAGGTTGAAATAAAACAATTCAGTCTTTACAAAGTCATTTGATGCTCATGCACACGAATTCCTTGCAAATGATACAAAAAAGTAATATCCTTTCTATCAGTTACATATTCAGTTATAAAAGTAACATTCTCACTAATAAATATACAATGTAATGACTAGAGAAATTAGAATGGCGTTTGCTTTCTTTTGCTGAGGTATTCTTGCATCTTCTTGTTGGTCTTGACTTTCTGTCTACAGGCTTTCACTTTAGGGAACTTGTCTAATGCAGCTGGATGGTTTTCAACAGTGGATTCAAATGCTTCATACAACATGATATCCGCAAATGAAATCTGAAATTCCAAACCAATCAAATGATTGCAATTGTTTCGTTTCCTCGTTTTGGCATTTCTATATTCAGATTAATCACGTGAACACTTTTACCTTATTGCCGACAGCCCAACCGTCCGAGGATTTATTGTAGGACATGATCCTCTCTATCTGAGTACATGATTTCTCTAGAGCTGCCATGTAATCCTCCTTCAGCTTTTTCTGCGATTCCTGTGTCCAAATATTATACAATGTGAATAGGAGACATGAATGAAGTTTCTGATCATTTTCGATACAATACCGGCATTGAATTTCTTATTTTTTTTAATGTGCGTTTCTAGGTTTAAATTTATTTAATCGAACTCCAGCATCATTTTGTAGATATATGCATGAACATTTGTTTGATTATGTCATCTTAAAGACGTTGTTTGGTTACCCTCTCCCGACCAACTGACTAAAAATGGCTTTAAACTTTTTTTTTCAAAATTCAAGACACAATACTGTTTTCCCTTTTATTCATCTTATCCCACAAAAAATACTTGTAAGGTAAAATTTTCTGGGGAAAACATTTCCCATCTAGGCCACCTATCTGAATCGGGAGAGGGCAAGCAAACATTTCTTTTTTAAATGGTTTTAGCTTGTACACTTATTAGGTAATTGATCTGGTTTTATACCTCATCCTTGGGACCAAAAAATACTTTAAATCCAGCTGCTTTAACTTCAACAAGATATTCTACAATCTCTTCTACTCTTGCTTTGTCCAACAAATTTTGTCCATCTAAACCTTTTAATGGAACATAAAATATCGATATATAAACACGTTTTTCCTGAATAAACATGACAAAGTAAACGTGTGAACATTTAAATGATCTACTTCTTGGCAAAATGAATTAAAGGTTATTTTTCCTCATCAGAATGTTTTAAGATCGAGTCAATCATTGTGTCATCGACCTCACACAATGCAGTGTATTAAAATCTATTTCATCATTGTGAAAATTTTCTCGTTTAGGATATACACGCAATTTGCCTCTTACAAAAAGTTCTGTATTCCGACTTACCAAGAGTCCTTGCTATATGTCGAAAAATGACCAGGCTTTGAGTGATAGGCTGGCCATCTATCTCCAGAACTGGTAGTGATCCACCGGGAGTTTCTGGAATGCAAAACAATAAGTCCCACAGATTAATTAGAATTCAAAGATAAAAAATTATGTACCTTTGTTCATAAGCTGTACATTACAGAAAGGCGCTAAATGTGAATATGTTTTGAACAAACATTAGCAATTATCTAAACTTGATTATGGTTAAAATATACAAACAAGTATGTCATTTTATCAAAATTACATTTATTCCTGATAATACTGATACCCACTTGGTTTGAGAGCTGGCCAATCCTCTTGCTTGATTCGACGGTCCTCGAAAGGTATTCCGGCCACGGCAAAAAGCATCCTCCCGGGTTCCCCCCTACCCCGTCCGTCAAAGTAGGTGAACACGTATTTAGGCATTGTACTGATGTTCCGTTCTTTGACACGAATGAGGTCAGGTTTAGTCGATGCCGAGCTTTATATACCCGATCTGGACTTGTTCTTAATTTTGACCATGGAAAATCACATGCTAAGGTCATTATCTAACGTATACTTCAAACAAATCATTATGCTCAAATTGATCAATGCCTGAAATTATTGACATTAACTTATTCATGTTCAAGGCTAATATTGAAATTTTTAAAAAAATTCATTTTCAAGATCTTTAAATCTCGGTTTACTTTTCAATTGTCCCTTCTTCCATGAAGTCGTGTCTTCAAATTAGTTTTCATATTATTTTAAATATCTATAGGAAGTTTTAACTTCATGAGCAGCAAACAATTATAACTAACAAAAACAATTGTGTATTTGCATGGACCTTCATATTAAAAATTACAATTTTGAATTATATTTTTGTACGATTTTTTTCTTAAAACTACTTTCCTGTCGAAACTCTATTTTGGCATTGTAAATTAATGTTGCTTAATGGAGTTTTACTGTTCATTTTCTTAGACCCGATCTCCAATATTGTGTCTATCAAAAATGTAATGAACTATAAACTTTGTGCTCATCATTGTTTAAGATTGAAAACTTGGCTGTCTGTAAATGTGGCAATATTGATACCTTGGCTTACATTGGTGAATGGAACTGGAAATATCTCCTGTCTATATGTTAGTGAATCATTAATATTTTCATGCCCACTGGTTTCTTTAATACCCTAGGTCAAACTTGTTGATCTTCATTTAAACTCTCTCAGAAGCCAGTGTAATATGACCTGATCATGAAAAAATAAAATGTTCGGTTTTGCTCCTTTCGTGATGTCATGGTAGATGAAAATCGGTTCAGTCTCATAAAAATTAAAATCAAATTAGATTTTAGATTTTAAAAAACCAAAATATACACATTGTATTGAAGAAAATGGAACAATTAAGCTGCCAGGATTAGTGGAATTGACTTCACCACTTTCTTCTCTATGAGGTCAAAATCTAGGATTCTTATCTGTGTTGCTACTAAACATTACTTGTGTTTATTTTCATGCAAACAATGTAAATATTAATTCTGATTCAAAAGTTTTCGTTACGAGAAAGACGTACATTAACAAAAAATAATTTAACTAAACAATAAATAAATTGAAATTAAAACAAGCAAAAACAAATTTATAGAAACAGATGCAATTAAGTAAACTATTAATTTACCTGTTTCTTGATTTGCACGAGGGGGTCAAACGTTTACAAAGACTACATTTTTTAAATTCCCAACATTTATCATAATGAAAAAAAAAAACAATTCGAAAGTAGACTACCGTTTTGATCACCTAAAACTTTGAAAATAAAAAGCAAAAGTTGTTAACACAAATATTTGCTCAGATAAAATCTTATAAGAACGACTTATTCTTTTTTTAAAAACTCTTTGACGACAATGACCTTGAACTTTTCTAAGTTTACACTCATAGAACAAATAATTTATTCTATAATTAATGACCTATTTGGATTGGTATCCTCGTCTATTGAAAGAAAAATGATCCATATGATTAAACAGTAATTTCGATGTTTCCTTCTCTATTAATAATTGATTTCGAATAAGAAAGTATACAGGACAAATGTCCGGGAGAAAATTTTAAGTTCCCGATCTTTCTTCTTTTTTTTGGGGGGGGGGGGGGACCTTTATAATCTTATACCAAACTTCTTAAACTTCACTCTGTTTTACCATCCAGATGAGTTTGTTGTCTTGATACGACCTTGGTTTTAAGGCTAACCTTTCTGTTGTGACCTTCTTGCTGACAGTTTAGCTCTCTGTGGAATTTTAACATTACGAACTTATCTCTCGCTTTACAAACGATTATTTTAGTAGATATCCTACCTATCTTGCCCGTGACTGTGAGTTTTCTACGTCCCATTCGAAAACACCATACTGTGAAAGGCATTTGTCCTTACGGACATTGTGCGGTGAGGGGTTTTATTGTATACAATATTTTTCAGTCTTAATATTTCACTAATATTTTTTGTACATGTATCAGCTTTAAAATGGAGTTTAAATATTGAAAAGTAACAAGGCAAAATTTACCACGTCTTTATGTTAACTAATCACAAGAAGTTTTAAAGTTCTATTTTATTACTATTAAGTCATGTTCCTTTTTGAAATCTTAAAGGCGGATTGAGTTAACACATTTTTGTATTCAATTATTGCATAACCTGATACCATTATTTAACTAGTCCACGAATCTGCTAGTAGGGTTCACTGCATGCAGGGTGTTTCTACCATAGCAAATTTCTTCTCCAAGGTCAAGGTATGTTTAGGATAAAGGTACATTGTATGATATACATGTACCGGGTAATAAGACCAAGTTTTAGTGTTTGGTCCTCTAGAAAGTGAGATAAAACTTTGTTGATGCTTCATTTTAACCATAATTTGATTAAAAAAAAAAATTCATCGTTATGGAAGTGTAACTACTTGAATAATTATCAAAATTCAGGGTTGGCCTATTGAATTTAAACGGACTTCTTTTTCATTCATGAATACCATGGGAGAAAACACAGATAATTATTTTTAAGTTTTTGTGATGTACTTTTCCTTTTTGAAAACTTCATTTTTTTATTCATGGCAAATTATTCTAATTCTTGTAACATTCACATTTAAAATGTCATATTGAAGTCTTCGACCATTGCTAGTTAAAGCACTAAAGTTTAAATTCTTTTGTCATTGTCTCTCAAAAACGAATGAATACATATCAAATGGTAATTTACTGTCGAGTTGTGTGAATAAAAAAGGTATTATGCACTTTGCATTCATCTTGATATAAAATCAAAGCACAGCTCTAATGTTTGATTCCCAACTGTTGTTAACTTGCATAGATTTAAAGAGAACGTAAATTCAGTCTTTGTATTTGAATCATAATGGGGCGATATTGTAGGAGTAAAATGCATTATACAGTTATTGTCGTTTTATAGCAATACTGGGATTTAGCTAAAATGTAGCCATTGTACTTAAAAAGATAGGCGAGATCAAATGAGGTCAAACAATATGGATCGGTAATAGGTTTACAGAACTTTTTGTCTCGTGTTTGCAGACTGTTACTGCAAGATTTTCTATAGTACTTTGTGGTGTACAACAAATCACTCAAAAATGGAATCTTCAACTCTTTATTTTGCATCACTTTCGAGGAGAAGTAAAAATTTTTGATAGTTATTTCGCTGAGAAGAAAAAATTAAATAGAAACACTAGAATCTAGTATGTGTCCGTTTTGAGAGATATGTTTTCAAGTTTTTGTTTGCTTCTAATTTCTGTCGACAAGACTTGATTTTTAGAAAACCTAAAGCTGACGGATTTTGGGCAACGATTTCTTCGAAGGCCTCAAACAACATGATGTCTGCAAACGACATCTGAAAAACACGAAGCAGAAGACACGTCAATCTCTTTACCATCTACTGGTATCCATCTGATTATTCTCAATGACAATGAAGTCTAGTATAAAAGCGTGGGTAAAAGTTCAAATAGATGAAACTTCTGAGAAAAATAAAAGAAAATACGCATCATAGAACCAGAAAGAAAGCTCAGATCAAAATTTGACGATGGACTTGAATATATAGGTTTAACTATGGTCCTTTGGATCAGATCTCTTAGACCTTCCAGTAAAGAACATTATACATTGTATAAGTTTTTGGCACACCCGGTATATACAAGTTAACGAAACAAGAATATCAGCAATCTCGTTTAAAGTAACCATTTCATAAGTTCTATGGTCAATACATTGACCTTATCAGCAAATACAATTTATCATTGAGTCAAATGCTGACTGACGTTTTTTCATACTAATTGTTAGTCTATTATTTTTACACTGTATTGACAACGGATTTTTCCGTTATTTCCCGATAATGACAAGAAGCACACGGCAGATGTGACCGGTCAGAAGGGATACTCACTCCTCCATGGCACCTGATCCCACCTCTGAAGTTTTGGAGGACCGTGTTTCCTCTGCTCTAATTTTTTGCTTTATGGACTTTGATATTGAATAATGTTCGTTTTCTTCATATCCTTTATTTTAAAAATACACTGCATACTATGTATGTTTAAGAGTACTGCGTAATTGAGTGCAATTAGATTAAGAGGCAATCAAAATGACAACCTTTGATCTATTAGAAAATTTGGAAAAATTTTACATAAAGCTACTGCTCTACGAAAGTCTAATTTGTAATTACTATTGATATCTAAAGCCTTTGTGTATTTTTGTATATAATGTTTTATTCTGTACTCTTTATATTCTGTATAAAATCTGATGAGCCTTCGGCTTAAAGAATAATAAAAAAAAATGAAAACTAAAAGATGACACCTTTGACCTTTATGATGAACTATTGAAAAATTAGAATTAAAATCTTTGTATCCTTATCCGTTTGCCAACAGCCCAGCCTTCTGGTGATTCGCTACATGAAGGTACTAGTATAGTATGATTCTTGCCTGACATTTGTCAGGCAAAATTCTGTCTATAAACACCCTGAGCAAGCGAAGATGCTTCATAACAACAACAAAATCATTTTTTAAGTTAATTTTTATCTGGTCATTTTCTTTACATTTATATAAATTGCTTAGTTTAGACTGATGTACAATAATATATCAGATTTTTTTTTCAACGTTTTTAAATTTCAAAGTGTAGACTTGTGTACAGTATTAACAAATAAGTAACTTAATGCATGTCAATAACTCACATCAATGTCAAAGAATAATCAATATAAATTAATCTAATTAACTATAAACATTAGAATGGTGTCTCCTTCCTTTTGCTTAGATAATCTTTCAAGTTCTTGTTTGCCTCCATTTTCTGGCGACAGGCTTTGATTTTGGGGAATTTGTCTAATGCTGAAGGATCTTGTTTAAGGGTGCCTTCAAAAACTTCGAACAACATGATATCTGCAAAGCTCATCTGCCAAAATAAAACCATACGATTCATCATAAAAATATGCATTTGTTACAAGTATCATTGTAAGTCTTTACCGTCTTTGCATACATTGAACATATCTTATATTTGATCTTAACTTTAGATAAAATTACCTTTTGTAATTCGACTTTAATCATATGAAAATGATATCGAAATACAAAATATTGTAAAGGAGAACTTATGAGATTTTGGCCAGTGTCTTTGTCATTTGACTATTCTCACCTTGTCGCCTACTGCCCACCCATCTTTTGATTTGTTGGATGAAATGATGCTTTCTATGCGACTACATACAGTTTCAAAAGTCTTCATGTAGCTCTCCTGGAGTTTTTTCTTCTCTTCCTGTATCAACATAAAACGTATATGGAGAGGGCTTATATAGGCTATGCCTGCTGCCCAATCCATTTATGTTTTTGCATAATAAAATATGTTCAAATCAAAACATAAAACGTACATGTGTCACAGATAACTACTATACATTGGGGGGACTTAAAAAAAAAAGAAGAGAATATTTTGAGTTTGAAAATTAATCAGTTTAGAGAAAAACTATATACGGAGTGATTTTACCTCATCCTGGCAGAAAGCAATTTTGAACCCAGCTTCTTTGACCTCAGTGAGGCTTTCAACAATTTCTTCAATTCTTGCTTTGTCCAAAAGAGTTTTGCCATCTAGACCTGGAGATTAAAGCAATTAGTGCTTACTAGTAATTTATGTACATGTGTTCTGCAATGATCTTTAGTTATGGAAATTTTTAGTTGCTCTCAAACATATAAAACATTTTTATCCTTTTTTCTAGTATTTACATACCAGTTCACGATTACTTGCAATTGAATTCGACAAATTTTCAACAAATTCTGTCTTCTCTTATTTTTTTTTTCATGAAGATTGAAATTTAAAATCCACAGCGATGTATTGAGACATACCAAAACACCTTGCCAGATGGCGAAAGATGACAAGACTTTGAGCAATACATTCACCGTCAACTTCCAACACTGGCATTGATCCCAGTGGAGTTTCTGAAGAAAAAATATAATTTGTACAATTGTACATGTATGTATACAAAACGTATAATTCACAAACTGTACATTAATCTGCACCCAAACTCTCTCTCTCTCTCTCTCTCTCTCTGTGTGTGTGTGTGTGTGTGTGTGTGTGTGTGTGTGTGTGTGTAGTAAATCTATAACTTACAATCAGAATGTAAAGCGTACAGTACTAATTTTTCTATTTTTTTTTTTAAATCTATAAAGGGTGTAACCTTTTGTGTTCATGGTATAACAGTATTATTTGGATGTTTACACAATAGGAAACAACAATTAGAGAAGGTTCGAACTTCAGTACCAATTTTTTTTCCAAACACCACCACTTTTCAATGTTGAACCTATACTAAGACGTATCTGTGGAAAGTGGGGGGGGGGGGCTAAACCTACGTAGATATGTTCAATGTCTATACTAAGTATATATTTGGAAAAAAAAGTGGGGGGGGGGGGGGGGGGCCCCCCCCCCCCCCCCCCCCCCCCCCGGTTCCGACGCCTATGAACTACGTGTAATATTCTGACTGCACAAGTTAAGAACACAAAATAATTTCTTATTAGTACTTACTTGGTTTAAAAGCAGGCCAGTCTTCTTGTTTGATACGACGGTCTTCAAACGGGACCCCGGCCACGGCGAACAGCATCCTAGCGGGCTCCGCCCGACCCCTGGCGTCAAAGTATGTATACACGTATTTAGGCATTGTACAAACGTGACGGTTCCTTTAACACGACTATATACAGTGAATGATTCCTGGGCTTTATATACCCATGTATGCTCTTATTCCTGACCCCACACAGATGTTTTTCTAAATCATTTTTCGCATGATTGATTTTTAATATTACACATATATACACAAAAGATGCATTAATTTTACTCTAAAAAATGTGGTGATATAGTTTTACAGGGGATATCTGAATGTGTAAACCACCCTAGCGTTATCTATTATCGATACTTTGCATAATTTCATTATTTCGAAATTGCAAAAAAAAAAAAAAAAAAAATCATTAAATCTTTTACAATGTAGGTCTTCTTCATTCCTTCCTTTTTGGTGAAAAAGAAATGGTAAAACACTGACGAAATGTACCCCATTGCCTTCCAAAATTACAATCGTGAGACCTAAAACAAATGTTCTTGCATTCATCCTTTCACAAAACAAGTAAATAGGAAAATAAATATTTTATGCTACAGCTGTATGTAGATATACAAGTCTGTCAAAAATATTGATATGCTACAAAATCTTTACAACCATAGGCTTATATTTTTAAAAAAATACATTTATGAATGATATGCATATATACATTGTTAAGGTACATTCTTTTAATTGCTTCTTTTTTGTGGACAAGATAGCTCTAACATGTTTCAAAGATTTTGATCACTAATCATGCCATTTACTTATTGACTTGCATTTGAGTTGAATATAATTAATGCAAAATAATTCATGCACCAAAAAGAAATCAAACTAATGCAGTTTATGTCACTTTTATATATACTGCATGAATATCGGGTCGTTATGTTGTACACGTATGTACTAGATGGAAATTCGATACGTGGTGTGTGTAATATAGTTTTTGATTGATCTATAGCGCAGAAGTGATTTTATCAATACTGGATACGTGTACAGAATGCGAACTAAGTAGGACACAATCCACGAGTAAAAATAGAAAAAGCCCATGATTCACTCGGACAATGAATTTAAATGTCTAAAAAAAATTAAGGGGATTTTGAAATATATATTTTAATTATGTAAAGGAATGGTGCAAGTTCTAATAAATAACTTTAACTTGGAGTTTTCTTTTCCAAATTTAAATAGTTCATCGTTATCTTCTATCCAAATTACATGATTAATTTTTTCAAATCATATTTTGCAACTTTAATAGATTCTTTTCAATAACCATCGAGGGTTGTATATTTGCATATCTTTATTTTACGATACATGGCGAATCTCTACACGTGAAAAAAGTGTAAGTTGTTTTCGTTAACGAAAATGTCACGAAATATGACGTGAATGGCTGAGCAATGTCATTTTATTTCGAATTACAGGATCTTTTTTATCATTGAAAAAGAGGGTGCACACTTCAGGTGCCCGTGGTATAAATTTAAAATTTTGATACTTTTTTCCTATATATAATATAATACTTTCTATGCTTATAAAACATAATGAAGATTTTTTTCTTAGAATGTTACAAACAGAAATACTGTGAAACAAAAGCACTGGTCAAAAATATTTCCCGGATATTTTGTGGTTATCAATAATGTTCCAATATTACAATTTTGTTTTCACGATCACCGGAAGTAGGTTGTTTACCATGGCCGACTACGAAAGTGTTTTGTGTGTGAAAAACAATGTCCACGTATACAGAATTCCTCCCCGACCATCAAATAGGGGTTACAGGTGATAGTCTACTTTATATTTATAAAAAGATCAGAAATAGGTCGAGTTTAGAAGCGTAATAATTTGAGAAATTAAATTTGGGGGCGTTTCTGTTTGGTTCGACACCCGGTGTCTGGAATAAACGTTGGGTTGTGTATACTTTGTTCTTCAGTCCTTATAAAATAACAACGTAATACAAATTGTTAATAGAAATATAATACAAATTGTTAATAGAAAGTCCAAATTCCTCAGCAGAATCAGGATATTAGTTTGATAAAGGTATTGAGATGTTCCTTACTTAGTTGTCAGTCACTCAGTGGCATTGCTTTCACTATAGTTAACTATAGGGGAAAGTGTGTGTTTGGGATGGGGATGGGAGGTCCCCCACCGACCCCTCACCCCACCCACCCCTGATACCATATGCCTAGAACATGTCATAAAATAAAACGTATTTCTCCATTAATTAAATATCATATAGTAAGAAACTAAGATATGGTAAAACAGAATGAGAAATAGATAATACTTTGTTTATTTCAGCTAAAAGAAATATAAGCATATATCTGACCAGTTTTAGTGTTTGATGTGCTACTAAAGTCGTATGTTATTTCTTGAAGAAAAATATAAATGTATGTTTTTGCCATCTTTTGTGTAAACTTATAATATTCATAATTTAATTCAAATCATCAATTTTCAGAGTATCATAATATATTAATTTGAGTCCTTTTGATTTCCTTTTGGGTACCATTCAAAAATTAAGCACTCTTCATTCTGAATGGGTATCATTGCCATTTGATCACTAATGAGTAAAGTTTGTCAATCTTGGTTGTAGTTGTGACATACTCTCTGTATGATATAACTCATTTAACTGCAAGCTTTGTCTTTCAACAAAATCACATATGTACTATATTAATACACCATAGGTGCTTTGGTCAAGGATACTGTTTTCTATATAATGTATTTGCCAAGGAAATTCAAACAATACTCGTAACATTTTTTTAAGTAAGTTTTAGTTTTTTGTCAACCTTTCTGCTTCATATACACTAGAATGTCACAGAAATTTGATTTAATTTATGCATGTTTTAAAAATGACATATCCCACTGTATACTAAAAAATCTTCAAAATACATGTTTATAAATAAATTGCTGAAGGTGGTGATAAATTATTACATACTAGCTATTATCAATGTGACTCACGATTTCAAAGATTTTGTTTTTTTCAATTCATTTAAAAGATTGAGTTCTCTGTATTCACTCGTGTTTGCAACTTTTATGGATTTTCATCGTTATTAGAGAAATGGTGTTCTTGTATTTCATGGGTCACCGTTATCAACAATTTCTAACAACAGCAATAGCGACAATATCAGTTCTTATTTTATTGATTATAATTTATCATTTTAATAAACCAAACCTTCACTTGCTTGCAGGGCCTCTGACTGGAAGCTTGATGCCCCAGACTGGGATGGAAGATTAAGAGTTGTAGCCAAAGGCAAAGATTTGTTTATCAAGCTGGAAGACAAAACATCAGGTTCACTTACCAGAATCTCACATCTTACTCTTGTATCCTGTTTATTAATATTGATTCTTGATTCTAACAAGGAGTGATGTTATTTTCAGGGGAGCTTTTTGCCCAGTGCCCTGTGGACAGCCATCCTGGAGCAGCTGTGGAGAGTGTTATGGATTCCAGTCGATACTTTGTCCTAAGGATTAAAGATGATAATGGTAATACTGAAAGAAGAAAAATGTTACTGATGTTATAAAGACAAAACCATGATAACTTATTAAATATTGTAAATTTAATATGTTTACCTAGAATGTTTGTATTTCACAAAATATGAATTAAATTTTTAGTGAGGATCTCATAATGGAATACTGATGTTTGGGTTTTAGTCATTTGTAAATTGAACATCCTTACTGCCATTAGAGACAAGAGTTATCTTTCTTAAAGTGTATATTTCATACAATGTGTGGTCAAACTAGCTTTGAATTTAATAATTTGCTCAAGTCAATAATTTGCTTTGATATACAGTAGACAAGAATTCCTGTCATAGATCTCCATGAAGTAAAATCAGTTCACTGATTCATTATTCTCAGACATTCTTCATGTGAATTGTTTACAGGTCGCAGTGCTTTTATAGGGATTGGGTTTGATGATAGGAGCGACTCTTTTGACTTAAATGTAGCGTTACAAGATCATTTCAAGTAAGAATTTAATTGTAGCAGTCTTCTGCATATAAATCTAAGAGATTCTGTAACAAATTACTGCTACAGATGTAGCTTCAAAGTCATTTTTATTACAATCTTAATATTGTAAATAGTCGAAACTTTTTTTACTTTTAAATTTTGAGCAATGTCAGAATAATATGATATGTCTTGTAGCTCCAGATATAAATTTTTGTAGATGGTTGAAGAAAGAAGAGGAGGCACAGGTCGCCACCAAAGAATTTGACAGTGGACCAAAGTTAGACCTGGGTTTTAAAGCAGGGCAAACAATCACTATTAATGTAGCAAAGGTATACATGTCTGAACATGAGTGTAAGGTATACCTTGTGTGAAATATGTACCTTACATTTATTAAATGCAAATGTAAGAACCATTGAAACCAGAACCTGTGGTAATACGTTAGTATACATAATTATGTTCCCCAAACGGAGTTTGGGAACATATTGTTTTTACTCGGTTTCTTATTATTATTATTATTATTCTTTTTTTTCTTCTTTGTTCTCCGGTACTTTTTTGTCCGCGAGTGTTCTCAGAAACTGTTCATCCAACTAAGCTAAAACCTTTTTAGGGTTAATAGGTGTGTAGTGTAGGTGTGCGGAACGAAGGTCATTTTGCGCGCATACGCATGCACGTGCGTGCGCGTGAAATGAGTGAAATGACCGATATACTTAATATAGCTATAACTTTTACATTTTTTAATTAAATGATTTGAAACTCATTATGTAAAGATATAATAATAGTGTAGATAATATGACCTTGTCAAATTAGCACGAACTCACGCGCATGCACGTGCGCTTCGCTCTGATTGGCTGAAACAAAAATCTCAATATCTTTTCTGTTTTTTGACGAAATAATATGAAATTTAAAATATAGGCATACTGTAGGATGTTCTACAATATTATATATAAAAATTGTCATGAAAACACGCGCATGCACGTGCGCTGCAATCTGATTGGCTTAAACTTGAAATGGCTATAACTCCCTTATTTTTTAACCAGACAGGATGGGATTTAGAACATAGACAGATATAATAGACTCCTACAAGAAGGTATGGTCATCATGCACGTACATGCACGTGCGCTTCGTTCTGATTGGCTGAAACAAAAATCTCAATATCTTTTTTGTTTTTTGACGAAATGCTATGAAATCTAAATATATACATACTTTAGGATGTACTACAATATGATATATAATAATTGTCGTGAAAACACGCGCATGCACGTGTGCTGCATTCTTATTGGCTAAAACTGTAAATGGCTATAACTCCCTTGTTTTTCAACCAAACAGGATGGGATTTAGAACATAGACAGACATAATAGACTCCTACAAGGAGGTATAGTCCTCATGCACATGCATGCACCTGCGTGCATGTGAAATGAGTAATATTAAAATACGCTTAAATGAGTGTATTTTCTAATACTTCTGGATTAATTGATTTGTTATTAAGTATATTAAAATATATATATAGTGTAGACAAGATGATGTGGTCATTACGCACATGCATTCAGATGAGCACGTGTGCAATGCTAAAATTTGAATACATTTTGTATTCTTCTGGGAAAACGTTGTTTAAGTCTAAATTGCATAAAGTGTGTCTTACTTAATAGCGCTTACAGGGAATACGGCACCAAAAGGGAGTAGGGGAGCGTTTGGGGAACATCTGTAACGGTCCCCGTTACAATTAGCCCTAGTTTTTGAAGCAGTAGAGACCATTGTTTAGGAATTTAGATATTTAACATTGATCCACCTATGGGACTTAACACAAGGGCAGGTAACTCACTATGCTTGATTGTATGTGATCAAAAATATACAAATGTTTAATTGACCATGTGAAATCAAGTATAATACCAGTCTGTTATTGGCCCGTGTGGAACTTAAGGATACAATTTTAAAATTACAGTAATAAGTGTAAAGTTGCAATAATTATAGCTCTAGCTGTTTAATTTGCTTTTATTCCACAGACGAAAAAAGTAGGATCTGATACAACAACTTCCAAACCTCGACCAAAAGGGGGTACAACTGGAGGAATATTACCTCCCCCTCCAGGGGGAATGAAATTACCTCCACCACCAGGTGGAGCTTTACCACAGACTTTTCCAGCGCCACCTTCTGGCAATGTGTCACAACCACAAGTGAATAAGAACTCTGGTAGTAATGTTGATCTTTTAGATTTTGACTTTGGTGATTCATCTAGCAGTACGTCTTCAAACACAGCCCCCATTCAACCTGTACAGACCAAAAGTGATCCTTGGGGGGATTTCACAGGAGCAGGGTAAATATTTGCAATTGTCATTGTACTTAATAAAGCATTATAAAATTTTGAAGGAAAAAAACTTTTTTTTCTTTATAACTCTACGTAAAATATAATTCTCACGTGAAACTCATATAAAGCAATCCTTTTACTGACTTATTTCAATAGACATGTAAACTAGCATTCTGTACTAGCAAAACTAGTTCAAAATATGTGAAGTACATATTCTACATGTAACATTTACAGAAAGGTGATTTTTCTTCCATCTGCTGTCCTTTTTTTTTTAAATACATAAAGCAATTGAATTATTATATGCTGGAGATAGTAAATATGCAAATACATAATTATGTACATGTATATACATGTAAGTAGTATTTCATGTAGAAGCCTATCTTCCACTTTAAAAAAACACATTGTTTTACCTACTGTATATATAATTCATACCCTTTCAGTTGTCATAAGCCATGTATTACATTTGTACAGTATATAGAGACTTTAACTATTAGACTATTTAAGAGTGTATTCAGTTGTATCTATTCAGTTACATGAAATCCCAATTTCTTGTCCCTTTGATATCTTTTAAGTTCTATTCCCTCTCTCTTCTCATACAATGCTCATATTATCTTTTCTCTTTGTGAAGTTCTGGTAAACACTAATGGAGTGACATTCCACAATAAGGTGACAGGACACCAGCCATTTCTTTTTATAATACATGTATATACTTACCATGTTTACTCAAAGTTTGCCCCATCCTGTCTTCACTTTGTGACAGTATTTTTTCCTGCACTTTCCATGATGATATTCACTGTATCCCCCACACCACCCCCACCAAATTTCAGATATGGTAGTATTTTTACGTTAACCTTGAAAAGGACACCCATTTGATCCTTCCTCTTTATTATATATTTTTATTTTAATGCAAGTACAGGTTTATGTTATAAAAACAAAACTACATGTATTCATTTTCTATGATAAATTTTGAATTTAAGTTAAGTATTATGTGTAACTTGTTTTAAAAATTAAAAAAAAAAAACACCTTGTATAGAATTTTATGCAATTCATTACTATGTGTATAATTGCCTTTGATTAATTGTTTTTTTTCTTTTGACAGGTCCAATGACAATAACTGGGTACAATTTTGATGACAACAAATGAGATATTGTTGTACAGCTGTATATTGAACTCCTCTGCATTGAGCTACACTCTACCAAACAATGATTTTCAAGTCACATGTACTTCAGCCATTGGACACAGTCCTGTTACCTATTATCTGAAAGTTCTTCTTAGCCAACATTTTGCAGATAAAAAAATTATTACTGGTAATAATTAAAAAATATTGTATTAAAAAAATTAGTTCGATATTTTGATAAATTTCTCTAGTTCATGTAATGATAATGTATAGTTAGCTGTCAGTAAATATGTTCATCTTGGCAGCAATGATAATGAATAACTGCTAGTTGTTATGTAAAAGCAATCACTCATTTTGTATGGGATAAATATTTGTCAGAGAATTTTTTTTCCCTTATCTTCTGCAGTGGGAGGTATAATTTGTATGATTTAATGCCATCTTTTTCTCTGAACTTGTCATATATAAAACACCTAATGCTCAGTGAAGGCTTTTATCATGAATACAGGATTAGGGACTGCCTTTTCTGCAGGGCAGAAAGTATATCGTATACTGAGTATACTGAGCACACTTTTAAGCATAATGATCTGTTTTTGTTGAGTTTTTATTGTTTTTTAAATGCATCTGTATGTGCTTGAAATGCAGAGTTCATTAAGAGTTTGATAGTTGATACATTAAGTCATACTGAATGAACTAGATAATTTACAAGCATAGATATTCATGTGATTTCATATCTGAGGAAGTTTAAAATTGTTCAAAGGTTGTACTGAAATTATGATATTTTTAGACTGAGAAAATATGCTGACATATTACTCTTGATTCATTTAAGGGTCAAATAGATGTATCTCTATATTTTGTGTACAAACTGTACATAGGGAAAAGTACACTTTTTTTCAATATCATCTCTTCAAATTTTTTGGAATATTTTTTTTACATAACATTTTTCTGACCATTACAAATTCATAAAATGTTCTTGCCCATATTTCTTGATGTTTGAATTTCATCAATTTTGAAAACATGTTTTTCTGTGTTGAATAATTGTAATTTTGTTTATTTGGAATCACAATACAGCAAAACTCGTTTATTACGAACACGGATATTGCGAATTCACGGATATAGCGAAGTTATTTTGGATCCCCAGCTTTATAAATTTAACTATTTCCTTATACGGATAGAACGAATTACAGATATAGCAAAGTAATTTCATAGGTCCCAGTGACTTCGTTATAACTGAGTTTTACTGTACATTGCAGTATTGATTTTGTGCTGCATGATATTGATTCAGTTTAATTTGGCAAAAGATAGGAATTCTTTGAATATTGTGCAACATACAATTTTTCACAAATCTTACGGAATTAAAAAAAAAAGATAAATGATGATTGTTCTTTTCTGTCTCTTGTTTTAAAGTAATTGAATGTTCAGTTGAAGTAACTTTGTTACATGTATAAATTTCTTGAATTGGTCTAAAATTGAATGCATGTGTATATATATCAATATGTTTGCATTACTTGCTGACTTGTATTACTAAAATTTTATGTACATTTTTTGTATTTTCACATATTTTCTAGTCAGAATTACAAGGCGATATTACTTTTTTAATGCTTCAGCCAAAAAGGATTCAGGTATACTTTGAAAAAAAGAATCTTGGAAAAAAATACATAATGGGATTTATTTTCATATCTGAAAACGTTTCTTTATGATGAGACAACAAAAATAAAATGAAAATAATGAATAATTTATTTGATATGTGACCAAATACAGATTTGTTGAGCTTATATGTTATAAATGTAATGCGACTTGTGTAAATTGTATTATTATCTTTAGAGAATTTCTCTACCAGTTTCCATTCCATTGTGTGCATGCATTTATAAGGAGTGAGTTTGTCAGTTTTACATGCGCAAACATTAGATGTTAAGATTTATGATGTTTTTCACAGCATTGACAAAGTAAGATATTGATGTATGATTTAAATAAGAAATAAAGATGCAGTACTTAAAATTTGTATTTCTTGAATAAAATCTATGGGATTAAGTATAAAATATATCTATCAGTTGTGTGGGTGGTTAAATATTTATTTTGTGATTTTGGGGAGGGAGGTTTAAATTCTATGATTTCATATCTGGCTAACAAAATGCGCCGCTTGACCTTTCGTTTTTTTTTTTTTTGAATGGGAAAAGGAGAAGGGTTACATTAACACATTTCTGTTGATAATTTCGATTTATGTCTATGATAATTATTTTAAATATATTTGCATAAAATTGACTTCAGAATCTCCTGCAGCTATGCTAATATTAAGCATTACAAAGACGGGGGGGAGGGGGGTAAATTTATGCTATTTTATTGTTAGTGTAAAGTGCTATGGTCTAAGTCATTTGTCTGCAAATCCAACCAAATGAATATACCCCCCCCCCCCCCCCCCTCCTTCCTCTGTTGTGGTCTAGTATGCCTCAATTTTCAGACATGTAATTGTTTGAAGGGAATGGATACAAAATTAACAGTAATATACGCCTCTCAAGAAAAAAAGAATTTGGTGAGAGAAAGCAGGAATCCACATTTTTCAGGCTGCAAAGAGTGTAAAACGAACAATAATACGAAAGACTTGTCAATTAAATACAACAAAGTGAAAGTAAGAAATAGAAGAATGGCTTTTCAAACGATTTGGAGGTGCGACAGATATGTTTTAAAGCTGGAAGTTGTCTAAAGATTGTTTTTTTATTTTAATGTGTTTTTGTGTATAATGAAGACTTTTTCCCGACACTCTTTATTTAATTATTGCTTTTTTAATCTGAGAAAATTCAAGTTAGAACTAACTTGCATGATCATGAGACAGCTACATGTAAGACCCATACATCGACAAGCTTCTACCCAAACTCCCAGTCCAAAAATGAAAAAAAGGATTAATTTGTACAATATAGATCTGTAATATCTCAAAATTTAAGAGGTATTGGTGAAATGAAATGGGGAATGAGTATTTCGAATTTTTTCTGTTAATATTTCTGATGTCCGTCCTTTATTACAACATCCATTTTTTTTTCTTTCTATTATTTGTTTACTTTGTATATATGTAACAGTCCCTTTAAAACATTGTTTGAATTTCCAGATTTTTAATTCTTTATTTGTTGTTTTTAGTAATAAAGAGCCCATCAATGGGATCAATTGTTTCTTTTCGGAGGAGTCTTTCAACAAATACTCGAGGACCCCCTCCACCCTGGAGGAGAGGCTGTTGATGAGGATTAGACAGGTGAAGGGGGAACCAGTGTATCCTAATACAGCGCAGGTCGAAAGTTGTTCTGCTGACACTAAGTACGCTTGAACTTTGATTTTTCAGAGAAAACAAAAAGAGACATAGGTCATAGGTCATCTGTGGAAAATGCTGAACTATTGTTGAAGACTGATCTATAACATTATTCTTAATCAAGTTATATTTTTTTATGTATCCACTCAGCTAAAGTCATGTTAGAGGATAATTTAATTAAAATTTGGAACATCTAATTTTAATAAGAATGGTAAGGGGAACTTTTTCTTTCACGTTTTTAAGTTTTAGTAAAGATGCAAAGTCAGAAGGAGAGAAAATTACAGACACTGGTGACAATGCAGGAGAATCTCAGCCTAAACAAGCAGGGGCATCTCAGCTTAAACAAACAGAGAGGACATTGACTATACCACAGAGTACCCCAGCAAAGGAACAACAGTCAGCTTCATTTTCAGTTTCTTTGCCTATTTTACATTCACTGATCATAATCATATTACACAAATACATATACAAAGATTGGAAACTTTTAATTAAAACAAATAAAAAAAACTACAAATTTGTAAAACAAAATGAACATCTTGAAAATTGCAGAAAGAAGAAAAAGTGCCCAGAGTTACCACATACTAAGAAAGTAGCCCCTCCCAGAAAGTCCAGGTTCTCACATGATCAACAGAAGCGATATGTTTATCTTTACAAAAAATATTCCCACAGAACCTCCATTGATACAACACCGGAGGAGAGAGGAGAAATAAGAGAGCTACAGGTAATTAATACCCCCTACTGCTCCCCCCCCCAATGGTTTAATCTTTTGAATCGTCTATATGTGATGTTTGCTTCCAGTCGTCACATTTTCTATGAAATAATTATAAAACTTTAATGACTGAATGACCGTGATTTCATGTAAATGAAGACTTGGGTACTACATGTACATGTATTTACTTAGTTTAGTTATTTACTTGCTTATATTTCAAATACTGACTAGTAAAGTTAGACTTTGTATAACTTAAACTTATTTAAGTCAAAGTGTCAAAATAATAAAATGAGCATTGTGGTTCATTGGCCTTTTCTTCAAGATAGGTAGTTGTAGAATTCTTGAGTAAATTGCCTATAGTTGACAGTAATATTTTCACAGATATTGACAAGTGAAGTTCTAGAAGAACAGAAAGAATTCCAGGAATTTCAGGAGATGCTTTCCAACACAGCCCACAAAACTGACTATACCTACATGAATCCTGCAGCCAGAAAATACATGGAGGTGATATTGTTGTATATACATATAGATACATACAGTATATAGGCATTACTTTGTTATGAAAATTTGTTTGCATATACATGTACCTGTACTCTTGCTGTTAGATTACATCCCCACAAAATAAATAATTTATAGCTTGATTTTTCAACACCCTGACTTATCTGGAAATATGTTATATATTTTGAAATCCATGTATCATCCTTTGCTTGCAAGATGCACAATCTTGTGTATAAGTTATATCAGTTTAAAATTACTGCCATAGTTACAAAGAACTAGGAATAATACTTCTAATTTTTATTTGATTTCTTTTTAATTTTTTGTAAAAAACATCAACTTGAATATTATTCTGTAAATTTTTGGGGAAATTTTTCAAAGTATACAATAGGCGCACCTCTTCTCTTTCCTGTTATGTGTACCGGGTGAATGTGTAGTAGAGCTTAAGACTCATCAAAGACTTCTGGTTTTGTTTCAGGATTATGTCCATAGTCGAAAGAAAGAGGCGGAGTTATACCCAAAATATTATAACACAGAATCATCATTTAACATTGACGGGGAGGGTCAGCCTTCTAAGATGGTGTTTATAAAACCTCTCCTACAGCTGGTAAGTTAGCAACAAAGATTTCTATCTATGCAGTGTCATTTGATTAGTCTTTCAAATATAAATGTTGAAAACTCTGTATTGAGCTATCAGAAATAAACATGGTAAATTAAAGTAGAAGAAAGTCAATAAAATAAATGTATATGTTCAGTTTTTGAAAACATTAATAGCCATTCTCTGTAACCACTTAAACTTCGTTGCCACGCATGGTCACCGATTTTGATGAAACTTTACCCATGCTTAGTACTTGACACCAGAAACAAATATCAAAGAAAATTTCGTTGCTAAGTGTCTCGGTTGCTATGGCAACAGCCGGAAAACTTTGAAAAATCAAGATTTTCAGCCATTTTAAATCTTGACTGTGGCTTAATAAAAACTAGAAAAAGCAAACAAACCATTTTAACAAAAACATGAACCTTGATGGAATATATTAAGTAAGTGGTAACCAAGGGTACATTTGGAATACATTTAAAATGGTGAAATATGCTGAAAATAACTCCGTATTCACTAATGGTAGGTGTTACATGCTCAAACTCAATCAACGACTAAGAAAAACATGAAAATGTTTGACTTTAAGTATATAAGTATAAGCAATATTATTCTATAAATAACTTTTATGGTTGCCATGGTAACACAGTATAACCATGCAAAACCATTAACTAAGATTAGGTTAATGCTACTGTCTTGAGGAAAAACATGAAAATTCAAGACTGGCAAATATGCATCCTTAGGACCTTGCAACACCAAAACCATAAGAAAAATTGGGTATAATTACTACTTTGCAGTGTTACCATGGAAACAAAGTACCAGTGCTTAAAAGTGAATTATTTTTCGCTGTATTAAGAATTAAATTGCCATTTAATCAAGAAACAAATTAAAGGACTCAGTTTGAATAGTACTTATCTGTTAGAACTGAAGTTGAATATCATATACTGATAAAATTTGATGAAGAAAACAACACTGTTGCTATGGTTACCAAGAAGGGAAAATGTTCGATTTTGTGAACTTTATATCAATATTAAACCCTGTGTGCCAGCTTCTTGCATCCACTTAGAGATTGGATGATATCAAAATTAAAAGTGTTAGCTGTTAATAAATATCAATCATAAAAGTTTTGGGTGTACGTATATATTTTTCAGTTTTTTAAGCATATATTTTCTGCTTATTTCCATAGCAACGCTATATTTAAAGAATCTAATCTGATTTTTTTGAAATGGGAAAAATAGGAGCACACCAACATCTTTAAAAATTCATCATTAGTTACGAGGAAATGTGGATAATCAGATTTAAACATACAGAGTGTTACTTTGAAGGCTCTCTGTGGTATAAAAACCTTGGCAACCATTGCCAACCAAAATGAAATATCATATTTTGTTCTTGATATATGTTTCAAGGCTCTTTTTTCTATTATTTGGTCACATTTCATCCTATAATTGCTTTTTATTTTTACGTGTATGACTTTATAAAATTCAATGAATGTATTTTTTTACTTTTGAATACTTTGTTACCATAGTAACGTATGTAATAGTTGATTTACCAAACATGTTTATCATGCATTTGAGACATCTGACCTTCAACTTTTGGAAACAGTCATTGCCAATTGTTTGCTTTGCCGCAAATGTTAACTATGGGGCTCTAAACATGTTAAAAAATGCCATTTTTCGAACTTTAAGACATGTTGCCATGGTAACTATAAAACATAGCAACCAATTTTTGCCTGATTTCAATTTAGGGTATCAATGACTTTTATCATAGAGAGTTTGGAGAAATTCTGAGACTATGCGTGCCACAGCTCCTATATAAAATTTCAAATCATTACAGAGAATGGCTCTTAAGCAGTATGATTTTCTTTCTAAGGGAATTGTACCTAAGATGATGCTGCCTACAGTGACCCAGCAGCTGAAGCCAGAGCTACCTCTGGATTCCCCGGCGGTCAGTCAGCAGTATCCTGTGTCTAAAAGCAGAAATCACAGACCAGGAGCCTGGAATCATGAGGCATGTTGTGTCTATATACTTTATATTTCTTCACTTTTGTATGATGCATACTTTGGAATCATTTATGTTCTTGCCATGGTGGTGGTCAAGTTTTGTGCATTGCCTTGAATTAAAAAAAATGATTGTGATGAGATGTAATTTTTATGACAAACTTCTTGTCATGGAAATATTGCTTATTGATCAATTTCAGTATTCATTGAGGTAGAAAATTGGGGTTGAGAGTGTATACCCTCATAATACCACAACATAAGCATAAAAATCAATTGAACCCCGCAAATGATAATTGTTTCAATTCTTCAATGGTAGGATCTGTATTTTATTTGATATATACATGTATATATTTTTTCTGTACAGCCTTGTACTTTGGATGACAATGCCACACACTTGGCCGTAGAGAATCGAGCCCACATTGTGATATCAGCCGGGGCCCTTCAGTGCTTGGTGGACAACCATGCCCCCAAACACCTGGAGGAATGGGAGATGCCATTTGTTGTCAGGGAATACAAATTAAAAGGTCAGAATGATTTTTAAAAATGAAAACATACATGTAAATAGTTTCATGAATGAAAAAATATTTGTTTTCAGTTTATGCTTTGACAAAGTTATTAATCATTATGAATTTAAATAACACATGAACATATTATTTAACGTTAGATTTCTTTTTTTTTAGCTCACCTGAGCCGAAGGCTCAAGTGAGCTTTTCTGATCACATTTTGTCCGTCGTCCGTCCGTCCGTCTAGCTGTCCGTCCATCCGTCGGTCTGTCAACTTTTCACATTTTCGACTTCTTCTCAAGAACCATTAGGCCAATTTTGACCAAACTTGGTACAAAGCATCCTTGGGTGAATGGGAATTTAAGTTGTAAAAATGAAGGGCCAAGTCCCCTCAGAAGGGGAGATAATCAAGAAAAGACAAAAATAGGGTGGGGTCATTAAAAAATCTTCTTGTCAAGAACCACTGGGCCAGAAAAGCTGAAACTTATGTGAAAATCCCCTGAGGTAGTGTAGATTCTAAATTGTTCAAATCATGACCCCCGGGGTTAGGGCGGGGCCACAATGGGGAATCAAAGTTTTACATAGAGATATATAGGAAAAATCTTTGAAAATCTTCTTCTCAAGAACCAATGGGCCAGAAAAGCTGAAACTTGTGTGGAAGCATCCTGGGGTAATGTAGATTCTAAGTTGTTCAAACCATGACCCCCGGGGGTTGGGCCACAATGGGGAATCAAATTTTAACATAGAAATATATAGGAAAAATCTTTAAAAATCTTCTTCACAAGAACCACTGGTCCAGAAAAGCTGAAACTTGTGTGAAAGCATCCTGGGGTAGTGTAGATTTCAAATTGTCTAAATTATGATCAGTGGGGCCACAATGGGGAATCAAAGTTCAACATAGAAATATATAGGAAAAATCTTTGAAAATCTTCTTCTAAAGAACCACTTGGTCAGAAAAGCTGAAACTTATGTGGAAGCCCCCTGGGGTAGTGTAGATTCTAAATTGTTCAAATCATGATCCCAAGGTTGGGCGGCACCACAATGGGGAATCAATGTTTTACATAGAAATGTATAGGAAAAATCTTTGAAAATCTTCTTCTCAAGAACCACTTGGTCAGAAAAGCTGAAACTTATGTGGAAGCCCCCTGAGGTAGTGTAGATTCTAAATTGTACAAATCATTACCCCCCGGAGATAGGGCGGGGCCACAATGAGGAATCAAATTTTTACATAGAGATATATAGGAAAAATCTTTAAAAATCTTCTTCTCAAGAACCACTGGTCCAGAAAAGCTGAAACTTGTGTGGAAGCATCCTAGGGTAGTGTAGATTTCAAATTGTCTACATTATGATCAGTGGGGTAGGGTGGGGTCACAATATGTATTACAAGGGGGGAATCTGGTAAAGAACAGAATGGCCAAAGCTTCTTAGGTGAGCGATGTGGCCCATGGGCCTCTTGTTTTAATTGATATTAAAAATCAAGACAATCGGGTTTCATATGCAACTTCCTCTTATTCTTCTGTAGATGGTGATAAAGTATTGGTGCAAAGGGTTGTCTACATAGACAGGCCATTTTTACAACCACAGCTTACCCCCAAAGATAAAAACACAAAGTACTTCAAGTATGCTCTGAAGGCGTTTATAGCCAGGCCATCACAGAAAGGCCATGTGTTCAGCAAGATTGATGAATCTAGGGTTGATGCAAAGGTAGGAGCAACTTCTCAAGTTTATCAACAGTCAACAAATTCAAACAATACAGCAAGTTCCAAAACAAGCTCTGTTGAAATGGGAGAAAGAAGTGTCATCAAAAAGAAAGAAGAACCATTTTCTGTTGGAGATATTTCTCTAGAAGACCTTGAATGCTTTGGGACTGCAAAGAAAAAGGAAAATACAACAGCAAAAAACAAGCAAACATCAGCAGTGGACATGGAAATAGAATCTCAGTTGAACATAGATGATTTGGAATCATTTGGAACTGCAAGTGTATATAAATTTAAGAAAACTGCAGAGAAAGCAAAGCCTAAGGATTCTGATCAAGATTTGCTCAGAAAGATCAAAGAAATGCACAAACCCCAGAAACAGGTATTACCCACACAAAGTCTGGCAAAGGAAAATCCAGCTTTGGATGTAACAGAAATAAAAACAAGTCCTGTAGGAAATTCAAGTGAAGTGCAGGAAATTCATAAGGAAAATGACTTAAATGTACATAGAGCAGGAAATGAGCAAAGTTCAGCAGATGTAGGAAATGTACCAAAGGAGGAGCATTCTCAACCAGTCTCTTATGATACAATTGTGAAAGATTCTCCAGTGGAAAATATAAATATAAACTCAGAAAATAAAATCTCTCAGATGTTAGAGCAGAACATAGGTAGTAGCCAAATTGATGAAGTACCTCAAATGATTCCATGGCGCACACCTGAATTGTTTAATGAGAGTGATCAGAAAACCACCACTAGGAAGTCGGAGAGAATTCAGACAAGGAGTGCACCTGTCCCAAGTGAGGAGGACAGCAGTGAAGATGAGGACAAACTCTTCATTATGGAGAGTCCTACGAAGAAGGTAGAAGTGTTTGATGAGGCTCCTGCCAGTCCTACTCCAGCTAGTCCTGATCCAGGTCAGGAGGATACAGAGGTCTGCAGGATCATTCCTATAGGATCAGACTATACTCCTAATCCTTCTCAGAGCCCAGCTAGGAGACAGGAGTCTCCCACTAGTCCAGTGAAAGGAGGACTTTCTGACTTCTCTGAAACCATGCAGTGTCCTGTCATTCCTTTGTGTAGAGAAAGTGAAGATGAGACTTTTGATACATCATGCCAGGGTCAGATGTCAAAAGAGATGAGTCATTCACCTGATGGTATTTTTGAAAAGCCTGTAGGCACACCATTAAGGAGATCAGGAAGGTACAGGAAAAACAGCCAGAGTCTGGATTCTCGTAACACAGAAACTGGACAGACTGCACAGAATACAGTTAGTATACATGTAGGAGGTTGCTTCAGTGACACAGTTCAAAGTTGTGAATCAGATGTGCATCATGAGGAAGATGATGATTCTAAAGAAAAAGTAATGTCAAAGAGGAAAAAGTTTAAGAAAGATGTCATTACATCAGACAGTGAAAATGAGGAAAAGGAAATCAAACCAACTGCCCAACCAGTGAAAAGGAAAAGAGGAAGGCCCCGGAAAAATCCTACTCCTGAGTCATGGAAAGCTGAGGAAAATGAGAGTGAAAAAGGTCAAGTGGCAGCTCCACTCCGTATGTCGACACGATCCAGATCTAGGTCCTCAGTTGGTGGGACGTCAGAAGATGAGGTCCCTGAAAAGGAGGCAGCTAATCGATCAAGGAGGAAATGCAAGTCTGAAGCAGGGGGATCTAAAGAGGTTGAATCAGAGGCCAGGAAACCCCCTGAGGATGGTGCTAAAGCTGTCACAGGTCTGGAAACTAAGAAAGATGAACACAGTATCAGAGTTCCATTAGAGATATCTGTGGCAGATGTACCAGTGCAGGCTAAAAGACCAAGGCCAGACATTGCTGGTAAGTGTTGTTAAGACATTGACTAGATACTTTGTATTTTTATAGCATGCTGATTATCATATGGAAGTACTTTTAAATCACCAAGATAGAATAATGCAATGTGATGCATATAAAGATAGCAATGCAGTTAGCACCAGTTCATGGTTGCTATTGTTGCTATATGTATAATTTGTTCACAACCTTAAAAGATGTGTTAAGTTTTAAATTTGCTAAATTAGAAACCATAGAATTTTTCCAAAGGTTGTACTTAAATGTTAAAGGACAGGAGTTCAAAATTTTATCAATAAAGTAAATTGAATCACTTGATTGACCAGCCATGAGCTTTGAATTAGCATGGCAAAAACCTCAAACTCCTGTAATATTATTCAGAAATGTGCTACATCAAATCTACATTAACTTATTGAAAAATGAATTTCCACTAATACATGTATAATTCATTTACCGATACATTTTACTTTGATTTTTATTTGTACAGAAAACCTCTTGGGCAACATTGGACCACACAAAAGAGTAAGTCGTGTTGGCAGACTGTCATCTACACCAGCTCACCCTGTCACAAAACCAGAAACTAACCAATCAACACAGGGGTCAGAGGTCAAATCAAGGGAGAGCAAGAAAACCAACCAACAAACACACAAAGCAGAAGACAGGTTCAGTTTGGATAGCTTACTCAATGTGCAGCAGACGCTTCTTAAATCGGGTGAAGGTACTAAAATTATTTTTGTATTTGATTTATCATTTGTGAATTCATTCTATTCTTTGTTTTGCAGTTGATACTAAGTTTATAATTCTGAAAACATGAAATTAACAAAACTGAAAGAAAACTTGATAATTTATCTCTTTCTATCATGTGTTTGCAGTTAGATTATGTATCATTATATGATTATATTATTTGGAAATTTTGTGTATAGGTAGACCATTATATCCTCCCAATTTTGACAAAATTAATGATAATCTGAATTCAATGGATCTATATTTCCATCAATTCCATGGCAATGAGTCTAAAATATGAACAGATTGGGATTTTTAGCTATTTCCCCTCCATGATACTTTTTTAAGAACAATGTAAATGACATAGTAAATGTATATAGGAATTAGAAGTTGAATTGTTGAAGATATAATGAAAAACATGATGATTGGGCCGTCAGTAAAAATATTTTTGTTTGATGTACTCAGACCCTTGTTAATCAAGGTGGGTAAATAGGTAAGTACTTAATTATTTTTTTTTTTGCTTAACAGTATTGGACAAAAAAATCACACACTCAGAAATTTATTTTTGTTTTCTTTACACACTGGATAGATATAAATATATAGATTTATAATTTATTGCTATGAAATTTTCAAATAAAAAAAAAAAACATCCAAGAGAATTTATACTATAGAAACTGGAAAAAATTAAGAATTCAAAGTGCTGAAAAAAATGATTGGGTAGGAGCAAGTTTGATGGGTCGATCGGAATACATCAAACAAATCATTTTTATTGTTCCCATGGCCTCGAATAGCAAAGATTTTCAGAATTTATAGATAATACATGTATTTTAAAATATGATGGGCTAATTCAATTGGGCATTTACTGTGTCACATAAAATTTAAAAAAAAGTTTCTGTAGTGTAGGATTTCATAGATATGTACTGAAGTAATTAATATATACCAAGTGATTTAAAAGAATTAGCTGAATAGTTACTGGTATGTTTATCAGATTTTATCATAAATTGTGAATCTTCATAAGAATATTTCTTCTTTTCCTGATGATTAAGCAGTAAAAGCAGAAACAATGAAGAAAATTTCAACACCTAGTTGTAATTAATTCTTTTATTTAGAAAGATCTTTAATTATTACTGGGTAGAAATTGACAGCAAATTTATTAATGTAAAAAGTATTCTAAATTATTTATCAATTGTGATCACACCTCTGTAATTTTGATTTTACCTTCTCATTTCCATAGCAATGTAATATTTTTGTACCTTCTATATTTTCATTAATTTTTATTATTTATTAAACACCAATTAAACCCTTTATAAAAGAGTAATAACTTGTCCTTGAGCTATGATTAATTTGGTGATGCTAGGCATTCACTAACATTAGAAAAAATATCTTTTTATGGATCTTTTTCCATAACTATGATGTCATCATTTACAATGTACAGTAAAAACACTAATTTTAGGGATTACAAGGTAGAAAGCAATCTAATTCTTAATTAATTTAAAGATTAGCCAGAACAGAAAATAGAATTTTGTTTTCTAAGGAAAGCATAAAATAACAAATATAGCATTTCAAATCTTAATAGCTTTATTCATGGAAAAATATTTATTAAAATTTTATCTGATCTTTAGATGTATAACAATATTTAGTATTCATTTGAGGCAATTACAACATTTTCTTTTCTCTTTAAGAACAAAATCAGTCCAGTTTTACAGCTGAGAACAGTAATCATGTTTACAAGTTTCCACAACGAAACAATGTGACCTATAACCTTTGGGATTTAGGAGGATTTAAGGTCATAGTTCGCTGTAACATTCATGGGGTCATCAGAGACGTGAATCAGCAGGTAGTGTAATTTACCGTAATTAAAGGCCATTTAACGAAGTCTTTCTCAATCAAATGTTCTCAAGAACAGTAATTTATGTTCTGAACAGTTACCAACATTTTAGAAAAATTAAATGCCGTAATGAATAATACTGTCTGAAACAGATGCAAAAGTTGTAATTCTCCATGTAATAGATGATATGTTTATGATAGTTTTTTAAATAGTCCTTAATCTTTTGACAGTTATCATTTGTTCATCTGATGCCAAAGCTGGAGTATCAGTGTCAGTTTGGAATGGAACAGGTCACTCCTAGTGAAACAGCCAGAACCTGGATCTCCTCTTACATCAGACCTAACTGCCGAGTCCTTAGGGGTAAGTTGTTATAAATAGAACTAGTAGTGAAACAGCTAGAACCTGGATATCTTCTTACATCAGACCTAACTGCCGAGTCCTTAGGGGTAATCATTATAAATAGAAATGGTAATGAGACAGCTAGAACCTGGATCTCTTCTTACTTGTGTACATCATACCAAACTTTCTATCTGGTCCTTAGGGGTAAGTCATGATAAATAAATGGAAACAAGAAACAGTCAGTGAGTCACCTAGAACCTAGATTTCTATTAATATCATTTTCAGACCCTGAACCTAGAATCTTTTTCCTTAGTTGACTTTATAATGGTATTTTATTTACTAATATGTACCTACTTATGGCCCACAACCCACAAACAGACACATTGATGTATATGTTTCCATCATTTTAGCAAGATTTCACACCCAGAGAACTGAGCTATTTTCCGTAGAAGAATTACAAGCAGCACAGATTGTTCCACCATCACAGAGCTTTAGGTAAGGCTTTTTATTCGACTGAGATTTCAATTTCTCTTGAGATTTTACAGTTACAATTTATGTCAATTCTGAAAAAAAACAATATATTGTCCTTATGTGATTAAATTGAATATTATAATTAAATTACCCTAATTAAGAAATGCATAAGAATTCTATGGAGGATCCAATATTTATCCTCATTTGATTTCTGATATCTTTTTTTCAATAGCCCAGGGAATGGCTTTTTACTGTTGCAAAATATATTCCACCATCTTCATCAGTGAGTATGAGTTTTATCACAAAAAGCAATGTGCATGTATTCAATTCATCAAGACAACAAGGATATGGTTTATGAACTTAACCTTGAAACTTTAGTATACTGTATGTTGAATTGTTTATTTTTTAATTATTTAGTTATTGCTACTATATAACCAAAATATAAATTAAAGACAAACTGTTTGTATGAGAAGTAGACATATAGGTAAAGTTTGTTGTTTCTTCATGAACATGAAATCCAGTTAGTAGTAGTACTTTCAGTTCTTTGATTATAGGCTTTCTCCTGGCCAGTATCTTCTAAGTCACAAGAAGTCCTCAGATAAATGTGTAATAAAGAAAGCTACTGAGGACAATAAAAGGTATTAATGTTATCTTTTATTTCACTGGTAAAGTGGTGTGTGAGTCATCATCATCAATTTTCACAATATGATCCCTTTGTTAATTTTGTCATGTTCAAGAATGTTGTCTTCAGATGTTTAAATGTCACGCTAAAAGCCACTTCAGTGAAATAATCATAGATTTTCTCTTTGTTCTCTATGGTCTTATGCTAGGGCCGGGCTATTTATATTGAAAATATTTCCTTGAAAATCTTTTCTGTGCCTGGGTGTATGAACTATGTACATAGTTATGAGAAGGAAGGATGCCTCTTTGAAAGTTTGAATTTCAGGGCCCGTGGGTCATGTGTTGAAAAATGTTTATATATTTATATATTTCAACACAATTTCTTATGCCAATGAGGTTCCTATGACTGCTACATTTCTGGGCCCTTTCAATCAGCTTTGGGTCTGATGCTAGGTCATGCACTGATTTTCTCTTTGTTGCTTGATTTACCTCTGGGTATTAAGTAACCAAAGTTTGATGTATAATGATGATAAGAAATGGTGTCTCTTTCAAAATTGTGAATTTCATGGCCTCTGGTTTAAAACAGGTATCAAATTCATTTGTTGGAAAGTTGTTACAGGATACTCAGGTGACCTATAAGGCCATGAGCCTCTTGTTTTATTTGTATGAAAATGTATGTCTAAGAAAAAGAATTTCTTTCCCAGAGGTTCCTATGACCTACATTTCAATCAGCTTGGGTTTGCTGATCCCGAGTTTGATAAGCGGAAGGTTCAATGGACCCCTCTGGATCCCACTATTATGCTCCCCTACCACACAATGAATGGCAGAATCCCAGTGACCTTTGACCCACCAGGTAGGTGAAACTTTTTTTTTAGAGAGAGAGAAATAGCACTTTAAAAACTGGAGGGGGCGTCTTCAATGGGCAAAATTTGAATTATTAATTCATCATAAACTTCTTCTGTTATATGGCTTTGTAATTCAAAATGCACTTTCAACCTTTTTAGTGTAAAATTTTAAAAGATTGTGATAATGTGTTTTGCAAAAAATATCTTTGTCAGCTGGTTGCTCTCTTTGAAAATCCCGTTATTATACATACTTTTGGAATTCTTCAAGTTGATGAAATGTTGTTTTGCAGATTTCAAATTTACCTACTCATCTCAGAATAAAAGCAACAAAAGAAAGAAGAAAAATAAAGCAAAGCGCAAAAAGAACAAGAACTCTGTGTAAATCTCTGTGATATGTATACAGTTGTACATCCTGGATATCTTTCAGATGTGCCATTTCCTGTATGTATCTCTGTCCAGTAGAAGTGATTGATCTGGTCTTCTGAAATAAAAAAAAAAAACACAAGAGTATCAATGGCCTCTAATCAGTTTATATGACCTTTCTCAATTAGTGGATGCAATCTTATTAAAAGAGCCCACCATCTGCTTCTTTTCTGCTTATGATTCCAGACTTATGAACTGAGATTACTAGCTTTTAGTTAGGGAAATTGATATAGAGTTTTCATAGAGAGTTTGGACTTTTAAAAGAAGGTGGATGTACTTGCATTCCACCAAACGGTGAATCGTATATGTATATTCATATGCTGAATATTTTGCATCATAACTAGCATAAACCAAGAAAAAATAGTTTCATTTCCATGTGAGTTCCAAAGATACATTTACATCTAGATTTAACCCCCCCCCTCTCACTTCCCCAACCACAACCCCCCACCCCCATCCACCCTAAAGAGTGTGTGAGCTAGAGGGAAAATAAAAAAAAATTAAATTCAACATTTGATATTAGGGAAAGAATTTAATAGCTTCCCAAGTTATACTGTATAAACTGGGTTGGGGCAGTCTACCCTTTATAAATTGCTTAGTTCCATTATTTGATAGCATGCCCCCACCCACCCAGTTTATGTAAGCCTAGCAGAGATATGGTTTAGATGACCTTTAGTTCTGTATGAGTGGCAATGTCACTCTTGAAAAGCTATGCTGAATTAAAACTAGTTACTGGAGCACTGAGCTCACTAATGATATCCCCTGCCTTCCATATGATTATAATGGCAAAGTCCATGTTTTGCTCTGGGAGACCATAAATGTGTCAGATCAAAAAGTAAAAAATAGGAGATGCACAATACGACTTTCTCATTAAGGCATAGTATATATATTTTTTAATCGTATGATTTTTATTCAGTAAACGGATTCAGAGAAGGCCTGCCGATCGCGACCTCTTTTTTTTTTGGTTCCATAGAAATTCATAATCAAGGGTGGACAAAAATTAATATCAGATTTCTCATATTCTACTTGGAATTTTCGTCGTGTTGAGTTTCGCACCCCCTACCGACCTCGCACCCCTCCATTTTCTGGGGGGGGGGGGGGGGGTTGTTCATTTAACAACTTGAATATACAGGCAGGTTGTATCGGGGGGGGGGGGGGTGTCCAAACATTACTCTTTAGTATTTAAAATGTTCATTGGAAGGCTGATCCCCTCCCCCCTTTCGTTGCGGTATTAGCATAGTATGTGATAAAAATCCGTGTATTATGGTAATAAAGAAATAAAACATAAAATTTTGTTAAATTGAATGAAGTTGAAACACCGCCCTTCAAAGAAATGGGATCTGAAATCGAGGTTGGACAATTTAATTACCATTTTCTTCCTCCTTTCTTTTCTTTTTTTTTTATTTTGGTATTGGTTTGTCAAAATTTTCTAGTAAGTTGAATTTTTTTCTTCTGTTTGGCATCCCCCTTTGCTTCACTCTCAACGATACTACTTGCATGATGAATTGTGAGGAAAATCCCCCCCCCCCTTGATAAAAGTCTAGCTCATTTCGCGTGGTGAGGTACTTAATAACTACAACCGTCCGAGCTTGTCGCATGCCAGGCGGTGTCTAACAATTCCTATGGTTGGTAGCACTTGGCGACTTGTCAAGTTGCTCATTTCGGCAGGGCAGACGGGGATATAAAATCGAATATTGTATTATCGCAGGTAAGTTTCATACAGCGATTGTAAAATTATTCTCTGTATATATTTTAAATATCGAGTTTAAAAGTGTATCATTTGTTTTAATGTATGTGTACATGTGAAGTGCAAGGAGCCCCAAAATCACATGTTGGTAATATCTTTATGGCAATTTTATTGCCCATGTCTGTCAACTGATAAAGACACGTTAATACTTTATTGTCTTTTTATTCTTTTATGAACATCTTTGTCATATACAAAAAAAAACGTGTAATATAAATAGAATATCATTGTTTCTATTAGTTTTATTGTCGCAAAAAAGCAACTATAACTGCACTAGTGCATACCATTTTTTAACGTCAAGATAATCAATGGATTAGCTTAAAAATTAACACTTTAATCGGATAGGATTACTGAAATTTGTCACCATCGGTAGGTATAGGCCAGCGATCCTATTATAACCTGTATATTGAGATTTATTGATTAGTTTTTTGTCTACAGTTGACAATAGAACAAAAGCAGAGAACAATACGAGTAGGTAAATCATTCCTTGCACTAAATAAATGATCACCTACTATACCAAACTACCACAAAAGAAATTGGCGCATATGCCTTTTTAAGCCCTGTTTTCTAATAAGTTCATTAGATTTAAATAATAATAATTAGTTTTTTATTCAAGAGGGCTCTGGTATTTTTCGACAGCTATTAAACCCGACTTTAAAATTCCGTGATATTTATCTAAAAATTCTAACAGTCTATTTAACACAAAATTATCCCTAATTGCCATATACCCGTGTTAGAAGTCTTCAATAACTCTAAATCAAAACAAGAGCAAATTCCATCGATATCATTTATACGTTTTCTATTAAGTATTTTTAAAACGTATATTCGTGTCGTATGATCAGTAAGTTTTAAATTCCTTAATCTTATTTTGAAATTGATCTTTTGTATAACAAATATTTAACGAACAAGTTTTGCTATTCTATTATATATACTGATAAACTCTGCGTCCCGTAGGCAGCGGTCTTTGAGAAGTTGGCGACCTTTATTGTCCACCTTGCGTTTAACACTTTAAAGTTAAAATCCTATTTAAATACTGCCAATATGAATCACCAACTAATTTGTAGGTTGTATCAACAATGTGAAGTGACTTGCTTCGAATTTTTATCAAGGAAGCCGATCTCTTTCTGTATTGTTGGTCATTGTAGTAAACAGAAGACACGCACCCTTTCACCCACGAACATTTGTAAACATTTGGTTTTATTCATGAGCGCTGACCGCATACCGTGTGCTGTCTAATTTCATGAAGAATATGTACAGATATAGGGATCAGTTTTTCCATAACAAGCACATGTGATTGATTTCTAATGACGGATTTACGAAAACGGTGAAAGAGAGTGTACAATTATAGAAGAGATATGTATGTATATTGGTGCTTTACTCATCTTTGAAAGGTACTTCTCAATTCTGTAAATTCTTATTCAAATAGGCACTAAATCTGAGTAACAATGACTGAATGAGCTTGACGATCCTGAGTTTTAGTGGGTGGGGATTGTAAATTACTTTCAGTAAGGTAAAAAGGATTTAGACGTTTTACGTGTTTTTATATTGGGCAATAAATACACGAGTTAATCTTCATTCATAGCTTTGTTAATCCTCTTTGAAAATGTATTGACTGAGGGATTAAACAAATCAAAAATTTTACAAATATTCATATTGTTTCAACGACGTGGTATGTTCACGATTGAACACAACATTCATTTAATTGTGAAAGGTCAATTAGTGATTTTCGATTGTTATATTTCAGCAAAAAATGTCTGAAAAAAAGCAAAACGGCGGCCCAGTTCCGCATAAACTTCCCAGTAAACAGCACGAGGCCCGTGAAACAGACATCAACCAAAATGACCGAATTGCAGTTATGGAGATAATCAAATACTTCAAACAAGAAAGACACCAAATCATGGCGATGCTGAAGGAAAGTAGAGAACATTTTGAAACTCTGGAAATGAACAAACGTGCGATCCATTCCGAGATGGATGCTGTTCGCCAGGACATCAACAAACATCTTGATACATTGGAAGCCAAGCTTCGTAGGAATCTAGACGAAATTCATAAAGAGGCTGCGAAAGAATGTCAGTACCGAATCGCAGAGTTAGAGGCCCGACAAAGTGCAATCCAGGAGTACCAGCGGAGGCTGGAAAACGTCATCAAGTTCTGGTCTCGGAGAAGAGATTCCGATCTAAGTGCCATACACGCTTTTTACGAAAAGATAATTCAACATAGATTAGACATGACCAACAAGTGCTACGAGTACGAGTTTCAGATCAATGATAAACTGGATAATTTGAAATCCTTGATTAAGCAATTTGGAAGCGTTCGATTGAATTGTTATGTCAACTCTTTTGACGATTCCGGTGTACGCGAGAGCCTGAGTTCTCAATTCGATCAAAGTTTGGAAGACTGTACTGCAGTGGTGTCGAATTCCTTCTCCATATGCGAGGACCACAGTTCTAATATTGGGGGATGTACATACCTTTACAACGGACTTCTGATGGTTGGAAATCGTCTGACGAATTCCTTACAACAGGTAAATTGCACATCGATCTGGGGTAATTACCATATTAAGTCAAAGTCCGGCAAAACATCAGAGTGTCCTCTAAAAAAAGGTTATTGCCTTCTCTGATAAAAAAAAAAAATAAAAAATCGGAAGAAAATTAAATGATTTAAAATAGTTTTTGCTACATTACAAAGATATGCAAATAATGAAATAAATAAGATAAAAATAATCTTTAAAAAAGGTGTTCGCTGGACCATAGAATTTAAACAAAACTGATAATTTTTCAAAAGTTCAAACTTTTATTTATATGAGGGACTCTAAAATAAGATGTTATATACGTAATTAATTTTTTGACAGTACGACCCCAATGGTACTTTAACTGCGGAGATGCCGTTACAAGGAAAGCCGTGGGATGTTTGTCTGGTCAATCCCTTCACGGTGGGCGTGTCTCTTCCCTACAACAAACCATGGAACATGTCTTACGTATCTACAATAGCCATTGTCGACACAATTCATATGAAAACAGGTAAAACATGGGATTGTCAATTACCACAACGTGTATACAAAAGATAAAAACTGTTTTTATCGTAGAAGTAAAGTTGAATTGTAATTCATTAAGAGATTTTAACGTTCAAAATGTTTTTTTCCCAACAGAGGCATATACTCCACAAGTTCCTTTCTTTTCAAGTAAATGAAGTGATAAATGCATTTTTGTGTACAGCTTTCTCTTCTCGAGTCCCACAATTGTATTTTGAAGCAATAAAACCTTTTTTTTTGAACCAACTGCGTATGATAATATTTAGAATTTTATTTTCTAATTTTAAGTCAAAGAAATCTCAGTACACTCCAAGATCCATGGTCTGGCCTATGGGGAGGAGAAATTCTATGTGGCCTGTGTAACAGAAGTCAAAATACTCAACCTGAGGGGGGAATCCGTCCATGTGATCAGGGTATCCAACGCCTGCATCCGACAAGTCTGTACTAGTAAGGGTAGGCTACTCTTCTCCGACTGGAATCACAATTCAGTACAGGTAGGAATCAGGACATTGTATCTAATTACATCAGCTCCAACTATGGCTTGATACCAATGCTTTTACTTTTTTAAAGTTCCATCATCTTTGAAAAGTCACCAGTTAAAAAAAATTATCATGGTAGTAGTAGAATTCATCAGAAAAAACCCTGATTATTTTCTCATGATATTTGATAGTGTGATTAATTTTGAAGGTCACATATCTTAACTATTTTTCTAGAACAATTTCTAAATAAGATGCTAAATTTTTACAGTGCTTTGGACGAGATGGCATAGAAATGTTTAACTACAGTCACCCCCTGATGAAGGGACCGGTGGGGATCTCCGTGGATTATGAAGACAATATCTACGTCACTAGCTTCATCTCCAACAATGTCCATCAGCTGACTCCAGACGGGCAACTGAACCGAATACTGCTCAATAAGGACGACGGCATCAAGGAGCCCAGGGCCATCAGCCTTCAGAAGTACACCAACAGATTTGTTCTGTGTGACAATGCTGGAGTTAAACTATGCCAACTACAACCAACTTCAACATAGCAAACAATCGATGTTCTCTGTGACAGTGCTAGAGTTAAACTGTGCCAACTACAACCAAGTTCAACCTAGCAGACAGTTTTCTGTGTGACAATGCTGGAGATACAATGTAAACTATGCCAACTACAGCTAGCTTCAACCTAGCAGACAGTCTTTTGGGTGACAATACTGGAGTTAAACAATTCCAAGTTCAACATAGCAAACAATTAATGTTCTCTGTGACAATGCTAGAGTTAAACTATGCCAACTACAACTTCAACATAGCAAATGACATTCTCTGTGACAGTGCTAAAGGTTAACTATTTCAACAAGTGCAACCAACTTCAGCATTTCTGGCATATGGTGTTTTATGAGCCAGTGCTGGGGTTAAATTCTACAAACTACAGGTGACTCCAACATAGCTGACAGTGTTCTGTATGATAGTGCAGGAGCTTAACTATGCCAACTATAATCAACTTTAAAACAAACAGTTGATATTCAGTGAGACAGTACTAGAGTTTAACTATGCCAACTTGAACATGGCAAAATGGTGTTTTTTGTGAAAGTGCTGTTGTTAAACTGTAAGTAACTATAACCTTCTCCAACATAGTGGGTGATAATTCAATATCAGCATGTTCAAAAGATATTTTGATCTCAGGGAAAAGTACAAAGTGAGAAAAAGAATTGTTCTTTTGGCAGGGAGTCTTAGTGATCATATCGTTTTATTCCTCAGCATTATTTTCTTTTTCTTACCATTAGAGGTACAACAGGATTCATTGTATGTATAGGAGAAATCATTTTCTCATTCATTTCTTTTGATTTCTACATAGTTTTATGATGGGATTGTGCAATTAAATGAGCTTTAAGCATACAAATTTTATTTTTGTTTTGTACACATTTAAGCATTGAATTCATATTTTTGGATGTGGTGGGTCCTAAAGCACATCTGGCTGTGCTGACAAATTGTCGAAATTTACTGTGGTTAGAGCGTCTGCTCTATAGTCACGGAGTTGATCCTTACTTTGCGGGTTTGAATCTCACTATTGGACGTGGAGACTGGTCTTTCGGATGCGACCGTATAAACCGAGGTCCCGTGTCGCAGTAGGTGCTGGCACGAAAAAGATCCCTCGCTGCTCAATGGTGTAAGTGCCGAGTATAGGACAAAATTTGCAGCTCTCCAGCGGCAAGAGATGGCGTCTCCACAAGAGAGGAAAAATTCTCGAGAGGAACGTTAAACAATATTCAATCAGTTAAAAAATCACTAGCTTCCGGGGGCGGCTCCCAAACCACCTGCCTACTCGGGCTTCCATGTCAAAAGTATACTGGCTGCGTCCCTGGTGAACATCCTTAAGGATATGTAGCTCACTCACATAAAGAGCTAATGGATATTATTGCAGTTTAAAATATTAAAAATGTCCTCTCTTTCCCGTATATTTAGTTGTCAAACAACGTGTGTGGCAATGATGAGTAAATACCCTCTTCCAAAATGGTGACATTTGTGACTGTTGGTCAGTGACACAAGGTCAGGGGTCAATGAGAAGATAGAGGTAAAAGAGGAGAGAGAGAGGTCAGGATCCCAGGTCAGGGTCAGAGTTGGGGGGAAGGAGCCTCTCTGTCTCTATCGTCTATCTACCGCTATCAAAACGCTCTCTCTTTCTTTCTCCTCTTCTATTGATCTATCCCCAGTCGCTCGCACAATATACTGTCTCTATATTCTTCCTTCTCTCTTTCTGCCTCCACTCTCTCCGCCTTCGCTATATCCTTTCACTCTCTCTCTCTCTGCCTCTCCCTTTCTCCCCCATTCACTCTTTCCCTCTCACTCCGTCCACCCTCGCTCTCCATTTTCTCTCTTCCTCCTCTCTCTCTCCTCTTTCGCCTTCTCTCTCTTCTTTTCCTTCTCTCTCTCTTCCTTTCCTTCTCCCTTTCTTCTTTCTCTCTCACTCTCCCTCCTCTCTCACTCTCCCTTCTCTCTCACTCTCCCTCCTCTCTCTCTCTTCCCACTCTCCCTCCTCTCTCACTCTCCCTCCTCTCTCTCTCTCCCTCCCCTCTCTCTCTCTTTTCCTTCTCTCCCTCCTCTCTCTCTCTTCCTTCTCTCTTCTCTCCCTCTCTTTCCTTTTTTTTGTTCGTTTGACTCATTTACCCCTTGACACAGTGAAATAGAGTAGTTATATGCAAAACACATAAATATTTCTTAGTTCTTTACAATTAAAATAATGGAAAACATGTTTATTCTAAAATAATGAGAAAATTCTTGATTTTATTTTAAAACAAATCACAAAACGTTTATTCTTGATCTTTTAACTTTAAATTTAATTTAGGAGATCTGCTAAATTTTTCCTAAAAGTGAATATTATTCAAAATTATAAGGGCGATAACTTCACGTAACAGAAAATATTGCTTGTTGCGTTTTTAGCTCACCTGAGCCGAAGGCTCAAGTGAGCTTTTCTGATCAAAATTTGTCCGTTGTCTGTCGTTGTTGTCGTTGTCGTCGTAGTCGTTGTAAACTTTTCACATTTTCATCTGCTTACATTCAAGGAACATAATGACTCAATTAGATATTATTTGTTGTACCGTAATGAAAAGTAGATGTGCGCGACAGGTGCGCCCTATATTTTCTCGCATAATCACCAGTGTAAGATTGACATATCCGGTGTGAGACAGCAGTGGCCAAGTGAGATTTTTCTGTAAAGGGGATTCTGTGTATTACACTGTGTATTACTAAGCCGCGAACGATAACGAAAACACCCTTTTTATATAAAAAAAATTGTAACAATGTTAAAAAATATTACATGAATTTACTTAAAATGCTGTCATTTAATATATAAGAAAAAAAAAATCTTATTCCAGAACCACTGGGCCAAAAGATGAAACTCATGTTTCATCCTTTTAGTGTAGATTCAAGTTTGTTCAAATCATGACCCCGGGGTTCTTGGGGCCAAAATGGAAAGTTTTACATAGGAATATATAGGAAAAATCTTTAAAAATCTTCTTCTCAAGAACCACTGGGCCAAGAAAGATGAAACTCTGGAGGATTCATCGTCAGGTAATGTAGATTCAAGTTTTTTCAAATCATGACCCCAGTTTTGGGGCCAAAATATCAAGTTTTACATAGGAATATATAGGAAAAATGTTCTTTGAAATCTTCATTTTATCAGTTTACACGTATTTACACTACGTGTAAACCATTTTCAGGTAAGCTCTATCCGATGGTGTATTTAGATTTTTTTTAATTACATGGAAAATAAAAAGAGAATTTTTATTTTTATATTTTTTAGCCCTATCATGGCGACGTCATTGATAGGCCGTAATATTGCAAATTATGCGAGAAAAATAATCATTCATTACATACTCGTGTGGGAATAGTGAAAATGGCCAAGATTCACGGTCTAGGACTTAAAGTAGGAATATCCCTCGGTGATCCCAATCGTAGTAAAAATGATTCTATTAATCCACATGAGGGAGGGGGTCTATAAAATGTTCTTTATCTGACCTTATATGTAATAAGGATTTGGCATTCACTATCCTTTTCTCTTGAAGTGGCGAAAGCCTGTCCAGTTTTCTAAAGAGAATATCAATATCACTTTCCCTTGCATGTATTCAGTTTAATTAAATTCTATATTTTTATAATTTTTGTCCTGTTAAGGTCAAGATCTAGTAAATGAAAAGTGCATACAGATTTATCAAACTTGAGAAATAAATTCCTTTATTGATGCTTTACAACTTTAGCTTGTTCAAATAAGGTGTTTCGGGGCATAATTTGTAGATAAACAAGATGAAAAATTGTATTTTAAACTGTCATTTTCAATGAAAAATTAAGAAAAATGGTCATGAATATAGGAGTTTTTCTCATATTCAGACAAAGAAAAGTGTATCCAGATTGCCTACAGTCTCTCAGAAAATGGTAATTAGTGTTCAATTAAATCAATATCAAATTTAATATAGGTATAGTTTATTTTTTACAATTTCAACTTGAACATGAAAATGACCCCATTTTCTACACAATTCTGCTAAAGCCATAAAGTACGGGAAAAGAAAGTTGAAATTGATTATGACGTCATAATGGATCTAGCACTAAAAAGTAGTCTCAAGTTATTTACTAGATCTTGACCTTAAGGCACCGTGTTGTTGCATTGAATGTTAATCAAAATGCATTGCGTCATGATTATTTAAATTCTATATTTTTAGAATTTTTTTCCTGTTAAGGCATCGTATTCTTGCACTGAATGTTAATCAAAATGCATTGCGTCATGACACACTCGTTGGTCTATGAATTATCATGTAGGTCATATTTTCACATTGCATATAATATTTAAATGTTCATTTGGTGTTTTATTCAAAATTAATGCACTCTGTTAACACATGTTGCATGATTCTACTCTTCTGATAACCATAGATTTCCAGTTAACGGTTTTGAATGGTCAGTGTTAAATGACTAACCGTTGGGTCATCAGTGTAATTTGAGTGAATGTTCACCTTATTACAAGCCTTGACCACGCTTCAGGGAAAATTATTAAAATCACTAAATTAAGCAATAGAGCCATTCAATCAAAATGACAGCCGAGCAAATTGTGGGCCTAAAAATTGTGACAAGGTTGACACTGCGGCCCATACTCGCCCTCCTTAAGCAATGTAACATTACAGAAAAAGTATGTAAAACGCTTGAATAAGCATTCAATTCTAAGTTTGGAGGAAGAATTTGGGTTATGAGAATGACCAGGGTTGAGAGAGAAGGGGAGCAAACAAAATTCGAAATTCCTTAACCCCCCGGCTCTGCCCCTACTTTTCTCTCAGTTTTTTTTTCTGCTTGTTCATATTACATCTAAGCCAAAGGAAACACGCTATTTTTGCATTGCTTTGTTAGAAATCACTCTGCACTTTAAAACACAGGCACCCGACGTTACTAATTTTTCTTTTAATAAAAAATATACACCTACCTAATAGGTAGGGGGTATATTTTTATGAAAAGAAAAATAAGTAACGTCAGGTGCCTGTGCCTAAAAAGTGTAATAGTTTTTGCATCACAGATTAATATTGAGGTTCTTGACCATCTGATATAAAATATAATTCTAGCTGAGATAAACAACTATTAGGATTAATCCTTTATAAAAATGACAAGTGAAAAGGAAATTAAAAATATTTCCCAGGAGAGATATTTATTGGAAATAAAAACAAGAAGCTTTTTGATTAGATAGGGACACCAAAGTCATTGTCTTACAAAGTACACATGAATCTGAAACAAGATCGTTTATTGTATCCCCAAGCTCAACAGAGGCCTTAGTTTGGTCAATTTCCAATATAATTCATGCATATCGAATTTTTGATATCATTTTGACCACGTATATCTTCGTTATTATTATTTTTTTTTTTGCCAAGAATTTAAACCATGACCTTGATTAATTAATAAGTTTTTTTCCTCCTTTTTTTCCCCTTTATAATGATTATTACAGCGAAATCCCCTTCCAGGGTCAAAATTTCCATGTAATATACATGTATTTATTTATTTACTGTCTCATTATATAAGAACTGAAAGGTTTCTTATTAAATATTTTTTTGATCCTCACCTTGTCCAAACCCTTATCACAATGAATCGACTAGAGTTTAAGTCAGCTCCAGTTTTAAGGTCGTATCTAATAAAGTAAACGTAGAGATTTATTATACTCCCGCTTGAAAAGTGAGGGGGATATAAAGTGATGGGGGTGTTAGTCCGTCTGTCTGTCCGTCTGTACGTCCGTCTGTTACGCTTTTGGGTACCCATCTTTTATCCGCAACTCCTCCTATACCACTGAATGAAATTTTAATGATACTTTCACAGACTATAATGCCATGTGCACCTCTTACTTTTTGATCGGACACAATTTCGGGTTTTCCATATAGC